GCAGGGCACAATCAACAACGGCTGCCTATAGTCCAGAAATGCACTAGGGTGTTTTGGAATCCCGAAATGCACTAGGGCATATCGCGATATGCACGGGTCCCGAAATGCACTACAACAGATACAACACTACCGATTGGCGATATTCTCGACAATTGCCCCAATCTCGTTTATCTCGATATCCCCCAACCTCATGATATGGGGATCACCTCTCTTCCCATGACGACATGGTCAAAGTTAACAACATTGATGATTTCGAATGCACGGGAGATGATTACCAGGGATGAAGTCAACGCAATTGGTAAACGGTTTCCTTCACTCACGAAGCTTCAACTTTATCCATGGCAAGATCCTGAATCAACACGCATGGTCTTTGATTGTTATCCCTGGATGAACAGCATCGACATTGTGAAGATATCTAGTGCTTTCAATATTGCCTACTATCAACACAAACCTCGACGTACAGGGAATGGTGTTACCAACATCGATATCCGGGTCTATTCTATGAAAGATGATGATTGGAAGTATCTGATTCATATTCTAAGGGAACACTCTCTGACGCTCGAATGGATGTATGTCTACGTGGTGGTCGTTAATGTGCACGAGGAGGTCCACAATATCAAGTACCCTTGCCTGAAGCATCTTATCCTTGACCACTCAGGGTGGTGGATACCGCGCAATGCACCCATGCTTGAGGATTTGGAGATACAACAACTATCCTATTGCTTAGAAGTGCGTGTGGTGCCTGACACAGCATCACCCAAATTGAAAAGGCTACAAGTTCACAGAGATTGTCCCACACACACTGGTGACACCCCACCCTTGGAAAGATACCTTCATCAGCTTGCCCAACACGCGCAGTTGCAAGACCTCGATGTGACGTTGTACAGCTTGGAGCGTATCGACCATATATTAGACGCGATGCTTCACCTTGGTAGTCTTGTACGCTTGATGATGTTTGTTACTAGTGATTGGGGATCGACGTCAATGCACCGATTTCTTGCTGGTCTTTCCAAAGGATGTCCAAAGTTATCCAGCCTTGGGATTAGCTGCCATAACGCCCCATCCGCATGTTCAATGAATGCCTTGAAACAGCTTTTACATTTGGAGCGATTTGGATTTTCGATTGAGGGCATGGATAGTGATGATGCTTTTTGGCATGCCATTGAAACCTTTCCACAGCTCAAGAGTATTTACATCTTCCCTTCAAATGAAACCAACATTCGTCGTCTTCGCTATCTCAAGGAAAAACGACCGGACCTGAAGATTACCATCAGCAGAAGGTTGAACGACATCTGAAATTTCTCTGCTTTATATAGTTGTATTGTATAGATCGATGGTCACCACTCTTAGCTCATCTCACATGAACATCTTCAATACAATAAATAAACATTACAATGTCGTCATGGATACGTAAACAGAACATGAGTGTTACGCTCGTGTGACCCCCTAATGCACCCAAATTCACATGAGTAGCTGTTCGTTTGGCTGCGGTTGCTTTTCGTGGGTGACGTTTACAACAGATGATAGAAGTATACACCTTGCCAAGATTGGGCATGCGCGGATGGTATCAATAATCGAGTAAGCAGGCATCAAGAATAGATATCGTTAGAGAAAATTAAAGCATAGGTGATCCTTGCTTATGAACATGGTCCTGTAGAGCTGGTGATTACATGCTTTCACAGTCATACATCCCATAATCACCACCCCGCATATCATAAAAGCCATCATAGACATCACACCACCCATTCAGTGCTTCGTAAATGGATCATTGTTCGCATCTCCGTCATTGCCTACAGTGCATGGCATACATAGAATCTTGTTTATTGTGTTTGGCGACGCTTCACCGCTTTAAATGCAACACACACTAGAGTATCTTTATAAATGTACCCATGATCCGTGATCTGACAAGATAAGAATGAGAAGGATTAAGTCAATGAGGACGACTCAAAAAGATCCAATTTCATGATCATGTTTTGGCGATGAGACATCTGTTTTCTAACAATGGTGAATCCCAACATGCGACGGTGTCATTTCGCTGTATATAGCAAAGACACTGAAAACCATAGTACTAGGTGTGTAGCTATTTATTGTGGAAAGAGCGTGCAGCAGCAGCACAATGTCATGGACGAAGGAACGATATAGGTAGGCAGAACATATAGCTATGAATGCACTTTTGGCTTGCAAATTATTATTGGAGCTCTGGGATATGATTTCAATGAAAGAAACCAGAATGATGATGACCATTTATTTACTATTTTACGACGCTACATGCATATCGATACATTAACGAGGTCGCTGATCCACATGTGGTATGTGCTTTCGTAACAACTCCATCAGGTAGTCATCCACTGGTGCGACAATGATGATAAGGTTAAGGTTGGTGAACGACAACAGGGAAATGATATCTCTGACGCTGATTGATGAAGCATAGATATGTAGACATTGGAGCGTAGGCTGATCATTGATTCGGGAAATGAATCCTTCAGGTGCTGGATTACCACCAAAGTTCAACTCAAGGTACGAAAGAGAGGGACATCCCTTAGTGATCGTTGCAATAGTCGAAAAATAGGTCGAAGATGACTCGATGTTGTATCCTGGCACACATTCTCACGTTTGTCAACCTGCTTTCTCAATCTCTTATTGAGTCTCGTCATTTATCGTTTCTCTATTCTCATAAGTGATATTACACTCGATTCCAGTTGTTGATATCACAAGCTTTTGCAAGCTTTCCAATCCGGCAATTGCATCCATCCACGGAATTGTCGATACATGATCGTCCATGAAAACCTTTAGCTCCTTCAATGGTGAATCCTTGCCAAGCCGTACATGGTACTCAAGTAAATTGCCAAACGATGCCGAATCATTTACCAGCTCTGTTGCTGAAAGCGTTCCCAACTCCTTCAATCCTTTCAATGCATTGTATAAATCATCATTGTTTGATCCCCCAGGATTACAGATCTTGATACGATGTAGATATGGTGATGCATGGATGATCCAAATAGCGAGTATAATGAGATCGTCGTTTTCAGCATCAACCTCAAGTTCCTCCAAGCGATTGAATTCCATTGACGAGTCCAGGTTTCCTTCCTGCAATGTAACGCTCCCCGCCAACGCGATATGTCCCAGAGATTCATGGTTTTCACGTAAGAGTGAAATGAGATTGCCACCGTCGTATGGTTCGTCGTCATCAATAGATCCAAAGCATAGCTTTTGCAACCCATCCAGATGTCGATCAAAGTGGTCGTGATTGAAGACGCAGTATCCACCACACATCAGTATCTTCATGTTTGGGCAGTGTCGGCGAGTGAGAAAGGTGGTGTTTGGAACGTGGTATGTGCCAAAGAGCACGAGTGACGGAAGATGGGAGAGGAGGTTGGTCATCGTATCATGCGAAAGGTGTCCACAGAAGACATTGATGGTGAGGTGTGTCAACGTTGGATATGACTCTGGGAGGTCGACAATGTCCCAAGCTGTAAGATTCAACGATACAAGGTGCGGGCAAAGATCGAGTACAACAGCCAAATGAATATCAGGTGTTTGATGCTCCTCCGTATACAGGTATAAATCCGTCACAGTCTGGCTCACAGCTTCAAGTGCATATGTAACCTCGCCTGCCCAATAACCGAAGTCTACATTAAATGCATTAGTTATCTTGTTAATGCTCACTTATCCACCAAATACCTACACTTGATTGTCAACTTGGTGAGATTGGGAAATTTGCATGTGTCGAAGATCGAAAGACAGTTCCCAAGTACGTCCATCCACCCTGATTCCATTGACAATGTTTTCACATGCTGTGAAAACCGCTTTAGCTCATGCAAGTGGCCTGGAGGGCCCTTGTTCGACTCCTCAAGGTAGAAATTCAAGTTGTTGCATTGCAAGATACGTTCTCGCCATGTGCTTGATACATAAAGATAAGGGCAAGGAGTATCTGCTTCCAGCTTGCAGTTGTGAAACACCCAAGGCAAGATCTCTGACGCAGCAATCTCCATAGGTAGTTGAGTGATGAAATCGAGACGTTTGCTGGCGGCATTTTTTGCATTAGCGTGCCCCATTTGCAGGTCGGCGTAACATTCATCTGATGATGGCACCATGCCAAGCCCTTCCTCATACATCGCTACTGCTTGTTGTTGTCGTCCTTGTTGCTGGTAAATGTTGCCTGCTTTCAAGTAGCCAAGTGATAACGTTGGGGTAATGACTCGCATAAGGGCTGCATCGCACAAAGCAAGATCAAAGTTGGCTCCATTCGCGAATGCCGTCGAACGCTCATTGAGCTTCGCCATGAATTGACATGCAAGTCGGTCGATCTCTTGTGTTGTTGTTGAAATGATCGTTTGTCGTTCCTGATAATGGTAATTGATAGGTGATGATGAAAAAGTGCTGGGATCGTGCCTTTGACTCATAATGAAGAGAGATTGGTAAAAGGAAGAAGAGATGATTGATGTTGAGGGGCCCGCCTTAATGTATTTCCCTCCGCTATGACATTGAACACTAACCATTATGGATCCCTTCTCCCACAACATTGTCTACAATGATACAATCTGCAAACAGCATGAGAGATAGGAATGGAAGCAGGTGATGTTGGGGAAAGACAAGTGTAACGTGCTTGTGTAACAATACCTGCCTATCACCATCACCAGCTTTTGATGGATGTTGGCATTGTTCGATATCCACAATAATAAATGTTGCAAGCAATGGGCTTGCGTTTCCAAGAGCCTTGTCAAAAATTAGTGTCCTCATCCTTTTTTTCATGTTGAGTGACATGATGCTTTCATTGCAAAGTGAATACGACGATCATAATCACCTTCGTTTCTGATTTTAGGATGCGTGTTACAATATGGATCACTTTTAAACGAAAGAAAATGCTTATCTTTTATAGCATTCATGATACTGCATTTCAATGAGGAACATAGATGAAGGATAATGAGGTAAGCATGTTCGGTGATTGTACCAGGATTACCATCCCTCAATAGATTGCGAGGTAATTTATCATTGATCATTTGAGATACTGCCATGGAAAACAATGGTACAGCACGCATCGTCTAGCACACGACTATGCGTACAGTTGTGTGCATGTTTACACTGCGTGGTATGTAGTCGCAGGATTTACATTGGATTTAGCATCTTTTAACCCACGACTAACCATGCTGCTATTACATCCTCAACGTTTTACTCGATTGAATGATGACCCGTTTTTATTTTCAGAGATTGAAAGGCTATACTAATACAACTAGGGAAACGAGAAAAGGAATCATCCATGCACATCATGCACCCATGTGCTCTTACCATATCCATTCTTCCATCCTTCAACGTGTATAGATATCGAGATGCATACAAGCCAAACCTGATCCTCCTTGAACACGCATATTGCCATCATCATCTCCTTGACCTAAAGGAATCACCGACCATGAACCCATACTTGCCTCCCGATCCATAAGATCCAGCAACAAAACAGTACTTGGAGGATAACAGCAGCATACGAGAAACCGCTAAAGGACACAGCTGAAGGTTCACACGCTGTTGGATGAATGTAAACCATTCTTGGAAGGCCGTGGTGTGGTTTGTTTTCAATCTTTGATTGTTACAACAGGTTCCAAGAGATATAGATCCATGAAGGGAAACAGCATACGTGGTGTGGTTTAGGCCTGGTACTACATGATGATGATGGTGTTCATGATGATGATCAGCAACCTGAAGCAAATAAACACTCTTCGAACTCTGCCAATCCTGTACCCGGTCATATTACACATACCAACGCTGGTAGCCATGGAAAAGTGTGTCTACACAAGTTTTAAAGGACGCCTTGGTTGAGAGAATGATAATACGTGGAGTTTGACACCCGTGGACCGGCCAAGCTGCATACCGATTAGCACCGAGGTGGCGAGCAAGATTAGTTGGTGACCATTGTTGGCGATTGGTTTTGACTCCAGACGTCATTGCCATACGTGCAAGGTGTGTAGCGTGGTGTAAAAGAGGCAACTGAAACGAGGACGACCAAGCGATGAGTCCACAAAAGCTGTAATAGAGATGGCGCGTAACCAAGGAGACGAATGTTGGCTGGCACCAATTGCGTTGGAAGATGGGAACCAGCAATGTCGACAAGGAGCAAAAGTAAAGCTTTAGAAAAAGTGATAAAGTGTCGAAAGGACCTGTTGTTGGAAAGGAGGAAAATAAAGCCGCTTTGTTTGACTGGACGCGCTTGAACCAATAGATTTCATGCTTGAGTGGGACAAGACCTCTTCTTCCTTCCTCCTCAGTCAACCAACAATGGCAGATTCCATTTGGCACGCTTTATGCAAACATCCCACTCAGCCTGTGTCAACTGAAAAGTATTCAACGATTGTCGACCATGCAACCACTCAACTCCATGAACCCATTCACTCCATCTTGACAACTCTGGATCGACGCGCCATGGCATTGACAAAGCTTGCCAACTTTGAATCAGCTCTTCACGATGCCAAAGCTATGCAACAGCTATCGTCTTCTTCAGCACTTGGATATATACGCGAAGCCGACATTTACAGCGAGCAAGGAAAACAACTTCAAGTCATTGATGTATGCAGCAAGGGAATGACTATGGCCGACACCATGGATAAGCATTATGATGATTTGAAACGAGTCAAAATGGATGCTGAGCAACGCCAGAATGCATGCATCGACTTTATCAGCCAGCTTCCTATGGATATTGTGATCACCATGCTCATTCCCATGTTTATGTACTTTGGACTCTGGGATTCATTCAAGCCGGATCCCTCTATGCATGTATCACATGAATGGCGTAATCGTATCGTTCAATCCTTTAATGGGTTACGTATCAGGCTCTATGAGTACAAGGTCATCTTGGACTTCATCCCGCTTGCTCGCCATATCACGGCATTGGATATTTTTTCTTTCACTGGAGGAACATGGCTTTGTGATTTACTGCGCAATAATGACTTTTGCTCGTTGAAGGAGTTAGCCATTGAAAGTGAGTTGAATGCATTCTTTGACTTCTTTTTATTGATAAAGCTGTTTTTTAAGGATTTACGGCTGATTGCATGGATCAGCTGGTTGACTCATTGAAGTCCATCAGCACCACTTTGACACACTTTCAAATTGAGCCGCTTGGGAAGGCCATGCTACCGATTACCGACATTCTTGGCAATTGCCCCAATCTCAAATCACTCGAGGTCAACCGCCCATCTGCTACAGATATCAGCTCTCTTCCAATGATGACTTGGCCCAAGTTGACGACATTGATCATTTGTTCCAATGTATGCGACATCATTACCAGCGACAAGCTAAAAGCGATTGGGGAACGTTTTCCGTCACTCAAGAAGCTTTCCCTTTCTCCATGGCAAGATATGGAATCCACACGCGTCGTCTTGGATTATTATCCCTGGATGAACAGCATTGACATTGTGAAGAGTTGTGGTGGTTTCAATATTGCCTACTATCAAAAAGAACCTCGATGTAAAGGGAATGGTGTTACCCATATTGATGTCCAGGTCTATGGCATGAAAGAGGATGCTTGGAAGAACGCTATCTATATTCTACTGCAGCATCATGAGACACTCGAATGTATGAAATTCAACGTGGAGGCTGCTAATGGGCAGGAGGAGGTATACAATATCGAGTACCCTTGCTTGAAGCGTCTTTCCCTTGCCTACTCTGGATCCCGGATACCGCGTCATGCACCTATGCTTGAGGAATTGGAGATACGCTACCTTCTAACGGATGAAGTGTGTGTAGTGCCTGATTCAGCATCGACCAAATTGACAAAGCTTGTAGTAGAGATGGATCTTCCAATGCACGCTGGCGCCAACCCACCCTTTGAACGATACCTTCATCAGCTTGCCCAACACTCACACTTGAAAGAACTCGATGTTACGTTCAACAGCGTGGCGCGTATCGACAATGTGGTAGAGGCAATGTTTCATCTTGGGACTCTTGAACGCTTGATGATGTTTGTTACCAGTGAATGGGAATGCACTTCAACGCAACGATTTCTTGTTGGACTTGCCAAAGGATGTCCGAACTTATCCTGCTTTGGGATTAGCTGTAATACCGCGCCATCCGCATGTTCAATCAATGCCTTGAAGCAGCTTGCGCATTTGGAGCGATTTGGATTTTCCATTGAAGGCATGGATGGTGATGATGCTTTTTGGAACGCCATTGAAACCTTTCCACAGCTCAAAAACATTTATGTCTTCCCTGCAAATGAAACCAACATGTATCGTCTTCGCTATCTCAAGGGGAAAAGACTGGACCTGAAGATTACCATCACCAGATGGTTGAACGAGATCTGAAGTTTCGCTGCTTTAGGTCAATGCATTGCATCGATTCGTCACCACCACTCCTAGCTCATGGCTCGTAGTCCTTTGCAATACAATAATAAACATAGCGAGATTGTTATGGACCCATAAATACAGATGATAGAGCTCATATAGCCAACCATAATGAACTTGTATACATCCTGGTTACTACACCATGTGAAGAAAGCATATGATTCTATCTTTTAGGGGATGCGCAGATGATAACCAGTAGAGGGTACGTCATCCTGTATGGTCAATTTAGCAGTACAAAGTAGAGCTTTGGGTGGTCCTTCTATGTGAACATGGCTCGGTATAGCCTGGGATAGCATTCATTCATGGTCATACGTGTCATAATCATCAAGCATTGTATTGTAAGAGATACCGTATCCATTCAGTGGTTCGTAAATGAATCATCAATGGATCATCATTGGCAAGAACTCCACTGATTAAAGTGTATGGAATGCGTTTCACCCTCTTTGTTTAGTAGCAGAGGTTATGCTTTAGTCCTTTGAATGCATTGTATACCACGGCACTTTCACAAAGGTGAGGAGCCGTATTTAGGTATGCTGCGTCATGGGGTTTGTGTGCAAGCATGCTGTCACCATCATTGGGTATGACCGTGTACCATTCAGGTGCCGAAGGTATTGTTCGGGTGCCTCGAATAAGGCCTTTATTAATAGAAGACGGTCCTAGAATGCGTCATACCTAACGCATGGTGGGCCTCCTGTTGCCAAGGTGATGGGTTGTCTAGGATACCATGACTCATGCGATGAAGAAGGATACAGCTTCAACAGATGCACCTATTATATGAGAATCAGTTTTAAGAGAGGTGATGATGATGTGGACGATTAATCAACAGAGCAAGAATACACCGCATCCAAATGAGCTAAACAATATCTTTTTGAAGAGAGGTCAATTGGGCTTTACGATAGACCACATGCAGCAGCATGCACATGCACCTCACAATCCACTATCACGCCAAGGATTGTTGCCTGCACCACATCAACAAAGCATGCAGCATGAGGCTGTACCAGTTTACTATCATGGATCAAATGACTATGAGCAACCACAGGCACCTAAAGGCAGGAAATTGTGGAACCCCAAGGTCAAGGAGCCATCATCATCGAACATCAAATCACATGTACCTGTCATGGATATCCAAGATTTTGAGAATAGCCTTGCAAACATGATGGATCGTATCGAAGGTACCGTTCTAAAGCCTGTTAGTGATGCATCATCATCGCGTGAGAAAAGTTGACCAGAAGCCTGAGCTGAACATTGCTACAATTGTGGTGGGGTTGGACACCGCTCGCATGTTTGTGACAAGCCATGTAGCTTTTGTGGTGAAGCATCTCATTTGTCTTCCAGATGTCCAATTCGGTTGCCTCATTGCTTAAACTGAAAACTCAATTAGATAAGCACTCATGCTCTATGACTTCCGTTAGTGGTCCAAGTTGATCAGAGAAGACATGAAACACGTCCCTTTGGCCCACACGTGCGAATTTTTTCTCTGTTTCTCGACAATCCACAACTAAACGTTACCTGAAATTTGGTTTACCACTATAAAAGCAGTCATTGTGGTCAACATTGACTAAGGCGTCACAGTGGTCAGAGTCAAGCCTAGTCTGATACCTCTGAGCACGTGATCTCTTTCATATGAACTTCTATTAGTCGTATCTCAACATGCTACATGTCAATCCACCTTCAAACTGAAAACTCGACTATAAACCCATCCTTCGTCTACATCTTTGGTTAGTAGCCCAAGTTGATCAGAGAAGATATAAAACACGTCCCTTTAGCCTACACGAGCGAATTTTTTCTCTGTTCCTCGACAAGCCACAAATAAACGTTACCTGAAATTTTGTTTATAAATAGAAAAGCAGTCCTTATCTTCCACTTTGATTAATACACCAACGCGATTGGACAAGATTCCGGGATGGTTGCCAATCACAGCATGGTATCCATAGATACCGGGTGAAATCGGTTGCCATGGAGCGCCGCTTGAAATTTACAATTTTAACAGGGTCAAACCAACTTTTCCTTTTTTCCCCACCTCTTCTTATCACTTGCTATTTGTTGCCATGTTGTTCTCTCAAGATCTCTTCGATGCCCTTTCTCTTTGCGCCCAGCTATTGCTGTTCCTGCTCCTGATCATCATGATCCATATTGGCGATGAAGGCCGTGTTGTCGTGTGGCGCGCACTTTGGTGTTGCTTCTGGTGCTCCTGTGTCATCCTTGTTCTTGGCACAATTGGTTTCGTTTGGTGGTGTGGTGACCGTGCCGGTGCCCGAAGTGGTGTCTCCTTCGTGGCCTGGATGCAACAGGGTCCTCGTCAACGTCGTGGTCTTCGTTCGGTGTCCTCTTCTGTGGCCTTAGTGCCTTCATCTTCGTTGCCTTCTGTGCCTCAAGAGCCAGTCGTGCCTTCCTCTGCTGCCAATGTGCCTTGTGCCATTGTGCCTGTCGTCTGTGCCCATGTGCCAGCTCCTGCCATTGTGCCTTGTGCCAATGTGCCTTCAATGCCTTCTGTGCCACAAGAGCCAGTTGTGCCCGCTTCCGCCAATGTGCCTCGTGCCATTGTGCCTTCTTCTCTTGCCAATGTGCCATGTGCCATTGTGCCTCATTCTGCCAATGTGCCTCATGCCATTGTGCCTGCTTTTGCCAATGTGCCTCGCGCCATTGTGCCTGCTCCTCTTCCTGTTTTTGGTGTGCCTGTTCCCGTTGCCACCATCACTGATGCCGATGTTGCTCACCTTTGTAAGTATTGAAAATCATGATTAATAAGGTATACATTATCTCACATTCACTATGTATATCATAGGTGATGCATTCAGGGCCCTATCCTTGGTGGATATCGGTGAGCTTGGTAAGTTTAAAGGTTATGGTGATATATGGTTTATGATTGTATATACTCACATAAGGCATTTTGGATACTATTAGTGCCAGTGTTCGAGACGTTGACAGTTGCTGATGCCTATGACGAGGACGTGTACATGCGTCCTCCTGTCGATGTCCATTACCAGGAGCCATTGTGGCTTGCTGGTATCGTCTTGAGTGATTTTATGGACGACACTGATGACATGGATGCTTGTAAGTATACATACATGAGCCAATGTAACCTTTTATAACTCATTCTAATATGCATCATGATCTTTATAGCCTTGTCTCCTCTTCCTTCGCCTCTTCCTGTTCCTCTTTCTTCCGCTTTTGGTGCCCCTGCTGATGTTGACCCCATGGATGTCATTGACGACATGGATCTTAGTAAATATACATACATGATTTACTTTAATCTTTTTGCACTCGTTCTAATATGCATCATAACTTTTATAGCCTTCACTCCTCTTCCTTCGCCGTTACTTTCTCCTCTTCTTTTCGCCCCTGGTGCCCCTCTGGATGAATTTTATGACCCAATTCCCATGTATCTTGGTAAGTATGAAATCCTATTTATCATGCTATGTGTATGGACAACCATCTAATATGGCTCAAATCTAGATCCCGCTTCTCCTGTTCCTCCTCTTTTGCCCGAACCTATGCTTGCCACTCCTTTTGTTCTTCCTCTTCCTGCTACTGTTACGCCACCTATGCCATCACCTGAAGCTCTCCTTATGCCACCACCATCACCCCCGCGTCCTCAAGCTTCTCCAATCACCTCCGCTTCCTCATCGCCATCATCATCATCCTCATCATCGTCATCCTCATCATCATCCTCATCCGCGTCATCATCACCATCACCTTCTCGTCCACCTTCACCACCGCCACCTTCACGTTCATTAGCACCATCACCACCATCACGACAACGATCACCACCACCCTCGCCATCATTATCGTTGTCATCAGGGGTGTCCTCGTTGGCACCATCAGTATCATCATCAGCGTCCACTGTTCTTTACAACGTGGATGATGATGATGATGATGACTGAGAGTTGGGTCACTTTTTGGTACGTTCAAGCATACGTTTGGATTTGAAACTATTGTTTACGTATTCCTATTTCACATACAGGCCGCATCGTTGGTGCTTCTTGGTTGGAGCGTTATGGATGGGATACCCTGCAGTCCAGTCTCAAGGTGTGGATGATTCTCAGGTACGTTCAGCTTCATGTGTGATGAGTGATAGGATCGGCATGTAGGTTTCGCGGTGGGAGGATCTGGAGGGTCATCGATGACGCTACCTTGGGTGCCGAAAGGTCCAATGAGAAGTTCCTATCTCTATCCATGTTCCTGCAAGCTATGAGCAAGTCCTTGTATGCCTACGTCCTCTCATGATCTATTTGTCATGTTGCCCACTGGGGTATTGGATTGGGTCTTGAAAAGGTAAACAAAATACTGGTATTGTTTTGTGATCCATTTACTTACATGGTATCCTTTTACATTGTGGGGTCACGTCATGGTGATTGATACTGTGATGTGTCCCTGCATAGTGACAACGCCTTTACATGTTGGATGATCATGTTTTGGCACAAGCGGTAATCATCTTTGAAGTGGGTACTTGAAAAGGAGCATCAAGACATGGTGGGCAAGGCATCGTAGCCTGGACTTGGAAGAGATGGAACGTCGTTGGACCTGGTGCTCTTGGTGCAGAGGATAAGACTTTGAAGGATCCGTGGGTGGGAAAGAGGCCTGCATGTCGTTTCCTTTCACTCTCCCATGGAGTTGGATGTGCCTGGGATGACGCCATGTCTTGTTTCTGGGTCTGTGGGGTATCCCTGTGAACCGGTTATGGTCATGCGTTATGGTATGTATTTATTTACGAGTGTTTACATTTAACAAAGTACTTATGAATGTATCTTTCATTATAGGCCTTGTGGCCCTTTTTGGGCGATCGTTATAGCAGCGGCAGCTGCTAGGGAGCGTAGGAGTTCTCTTTTCTTTTTATTGGTGCCTCGTTGCCGATTTGGATCTTCAACATTTGGTGACATCCAAGAGTTCTCTTTTCTTTTTATCGATGGTGCTATCGTTGGGATACGATATTGGGATAGCGACAACGTGGAAGAGTTCTCTTTTCTTTTTATGGATGGCGGTATCCGCTTGGCATATCTATTACAATGGGGTCATGGCACAAGACGACCTTTTCTCGTTATGGATGCTGCCGTCGTTTGGTTGCTGTATTGGCATGGCGACAACGCGCAAGAGCTCTCTTTTCTTTTTCTGGATGGCGTTCGCTTGGAAGATGTATCATGATCGGACTATGGCACAAGGCTCCTGCTTCCCTTTATTGATACTGTTATCATTTGGATATGGCTTTGTCAAGGTGACAACATGCAAGAGTTCACTTTTCTTTTTATGGATGGCGTTATTGGCTTGGCACAGTTGCCAGCACTGGTTCATGGCACAAGGCTCCCTTTTCTTTTTATGGATGGCGTTACTCTTTATGGACACGATGGTCGTCATGGAAACACAAATTTCCTTGTTTGGATGGCGGGACATGATGCATGGCAACGCAAGCAAGATGAAATACAACATGTTCTCTTTTCTTCATGAATGGCAAGGCAACTACACAATTACATGCGGGCATTCAAATTGGGATCCATCTTTTCAAAACACTGGTGCTCTCTCTCGCTTGCTTTTGGATGCACGTGGAACCTACGAAGGATCGAATCGATCAAGCGTGTATATGACAGCAAGTATGGATTACTATCTTGGGGAAGGCGTCTCCATGGCTATCACGATGGCTATGAGCAACTTTTGGATCGACGTTTATTTATGAGAACGGTGCACAAAAAGGATCAATTCAAGTGTCAGGTCTACCATCTGGTGGCGATGGATGACCGATTCAAATGGCATCACGGGCTACATACAGCAGACGACCTATCGCATTATGCAACTTTATCCTTGGGGCAATAATGAGGAGACTACAAGCATATCGATCTTTGATTGGGTGATGGCTGCAATATCGGCATACCAATTCGCATCTTGGCAGAAAACATCAATGGGTCGTTTGGCGTATCGGTGGCAAGGCATGTTTGTGGATACCATGTTTTCAAATGGGTTCCACATTGGAGCTATGGCTTCATATTGGTCCTTTGCATCCTCGACACAGTACTCGCACACGAGGATTACAACTTCAAACATACATTGATCGTGTGGCATTACATCAGCATTTACATTTGAATTCTGGGTTTTCTCCACAATGTCATGACGATCCAAAACCAGCCCGTGGTCTGGTCTATGGCCCTTTTCAAATCATTCGGGGATTCATGCATGATTATGGACGACATTATGAAAACACAAATCACATTGTCCACATGGTCGACGCTGCAACCAAAGTCAACAACACTAAAATCGGCTATGAGAACGTACGTATATGATACCAACGCTGGCCTTTAACCATTTAACTTACCGTATGATTATATAGATGCAATCATTACATGCCTTATCATACAACAATGGTTCTGGTGATCGATTCTGGATTTCCTATGCACAGCAATTGCACGATTCCACATCTCAAATCGAATCAACAAATGGCTCTCTATCTCTATCTTACGCGCATACACTCTCATCAATTATTCAATCAGCGCGACATCAAACAAAATCACAAACATCAAAGTATGTATTGGTGGGTTGAATGTTGCATAGGGTTCATGTATTAACAAAGACATTATAGAACAAACAAGCCTAGACAAAAACGTCAATGGCATCAAGACCAATCTCGGGGATATGTATCGGTTTGTCATTCAGGGTCACAGGGCACCGTGCGGCCACCGATTAAGAGTCGCCTGGCCGTTGGGTGCCGTGCTGAATCGGTTCGACAATCCCGACATCACTCGAGTTGGCATTCAATCTCATCAAACCCGAAAGAGCCTAAAAAAGAAGTACGTACATGGGTATCAACATTTATAAATGGACATGAAAGTCTCATCAATGGCTTGTAGAAATCGACATACAAGAAAAAAAGAAAAACAACAAAAAAGTGGGACTTGCAAGAACTGTGCTGGGAAGGCTGGGATCATGCTGGTGTCGGTGTTGGACCACGAATCGCTTTAAGATACTACAAGCGAAAGGATACAGATAATCATATACGCTGTCGTCATGGCAATGGGTATGTACACGTGAGCTATACAACTTGCTATGCCATTACTTATTTGGTTATGGTAGGTCGATCATTATGCACGTCATAATTGTTATCACGGCATCATCATCTATCGGTGCTATATACAAGAAGGAATGAGGAGAACTCAAATCTGAACCAAAGAGAAAGAATCATTTCCATGAATGGACAAGAACACAAAACAAGAACACAATAGAAAAGGTGTATTGGCAAGGACATTGTAAGTACCATTGATGGGTAGTGTGAATGATTAGCATGCATACTAATACCTGGGTCTTGTGATAGTGGACTCTGGATCAAAAGAATCATTTGCAGAAAAAGGTGGATGGCCTGCATTATCAGAGCATCGCTCGTTGGTGGTAGGAGAGCTTGTTGATTGGTGGTGGTAAACAAGCCGATGCCAGATTTGCCAGATTCAATGTTATGCCATGCATGCTGTACGCTCTACTTTAGAAAAGAAATACGCATACTCATTTTAGAAGAACATAGCTGATGGTAGCCTTGGCCATTTATTTATTAAAGCTATCGAGCACATGAAACACTGATTTGGTACACACATGGCTTCATGTAGCACTCATCATCGTCGCAAGGGTGAAGTCTCCCAATAATGAAACCTGTTACCAGGGTGTGCTCTCAGTCAAAAATCATTTACTTCTCTTTATTTTATCAAAACTCCGCATGAACAATTGTACAACCATTCCTGGAATCGGTAACGGAAAGAACAAAGGTTACCAATTTACTACTAGGTGGTTTCAATCCTTCATACGAGATGCCGCTTGTGGATGATCATATCTTTATGGAGATCGAATTCATACACTTACCTCCATCCTATGGAGCCATAAGATCCAACGCACTAGTAGCCTCCTGGTCATGGTTTTCTACCTTTCCGCTGTCCACGATCCCGTTCCGATTGACCGGTGAAACTTGTGGCTTCTCTTTGTGCTGTATCCTGGCACAGATTCTCACGTTTGTCAACCTGATTTCTCTATCATACGATGGAATTCCCCTATCACCCGAGTGAAGGTTTACCTTGTGATCACCAACCTTATCGATATTGGCTACCTATTGCTATATACGTACACGCTCCATCACCGTAGCACACCTTGCATGATTGTATCACACACACCATCTCGGTATATTCCATGAGGAAGCACACACACACATTCCCTCTTCAACCACCATCATCCTTAAAGCTATAAATTCGCTCAACAACCACCACTTGAATAAAGGATGAATCATCTTATTGAGTCTCGTGATTCTCTAGTCTCTTTCATCTTATAAGTGATATTACACTTTGGCATGCATTATTGCACCGAGTTTTGTCCTCGAACACCGTGATTGCGGAGCCAAAGTCTATTATACCTTCACCGTACAAGGATGTACGACGGTGTACTATGGACCACATTCTCTTGAGCGATATGACAGAAAACACTTGTCCGAGAACTTGCAAATGGATGCTTTTGTCGATCGATTCACATGGTCCTTCAATGATCTCTCCATTAATGGAAAAGAGCCTCAGGATGTTCTTTAGCGGCAGCGTGATGAAAAATCAAAGATCAATGACACAGCGAAAGTGTGTCTCCACTTTGCAGCATAACCGCTCATGAGTTAAGCACATGAAAAGATCGAGGGAACTCATGCACGATGAGGTTTGGTTCGATGTTGGCTTGTGGCATGAAGTTGTTGAGCCTGTTTGGATCATCAACTCAACACATGTTTCCATTCCAAGATGTGGGGTTGTGGCGATTGTGCAGCCAGCATAGCGGAGAAAGCTCTTCATTGATTGCCTTGCATGGCTATGGAACCTCTTCTGGAAATGGTTGCAAAGTTCCTCATCTGCGTATTGATCTTCGTAGATTCTTAATGTAGCCTCCAGCGGATCCCTTGTCAGAAGTTGGGAGCGCACATAGAATCTTGCACTATTGGAGTCTTCTTGTGGATCTGTAAGGATGCAACCATTCTTAGCCATCCTTTCAACGTTGTTGTAAAATTGAGAGTTTACTGCCATTCATGTAGTAGCTGTACGCTTTGATCGTTTTGTTCTATTAAAGACGACATCATTGATTTTTAATTTTTCATGATGGCTAGAAGTATCATGTGTCCTCAATACAACCAAGCCAAACATACCTACAAAGACCTTTTTGGTGATAGCGATACGCTTGCACATCCTTCAGATGCTTGAACACACATTCATGCTTGTTGTTCCACACAAAGCGAGCATTTTTTCTTAGTCAATGACAGAAGTAGTTCAGCCAATTCTGAAAATGCTTGAACATGGCGCCTATAAAAATTGGTGAGTCCCAAAAAAGCGCGTATGCCTGTTGCTTGGCCTGGGACAGTCTTAGAATTTGTTGATGCGAGGTGGCAACGGAGATACACGAGAGGTTGATACAACAGAGCCAAGGAACTCGATACGAGTCTTGAGGAAAGCACGCCTCTTAGAGCTGCACTTCATGTTAACTTTTTCGACACGATCCAAAAGAGCATCCAAATCTTCACAATGAAGTATATGAAAACATCAAGGAAGTTGTTACTCGAAACCTTACAATGAAACATGGGATGCTTATTAAACAAGAATTCTCAGCATGGCTGAAAGGATCTTGTGTCTACGTTTCAGGATCAAGATATGCAATCTCATATTTTGTGTTTTCCCTTACATAGCATCAAAGTTAGAATCTGGTCGGCTTCTTCAAACTTTTTTTGGCTGGCATCCAAATCCGCCCGTCGCGAGCTTCATATTTTCACACAAGGTGCACTGGACGCTGGCGAGCCACTTTGTATTACTAAAGGCCCCATGCTTCAATATAAAGTTCTGGGTTACATGTGCGTTTTTGCTTTGTCTATGTTATAGAAAGGATGCTATCATAAACGTGTTTTTCGCTGATTTCGATCGACCAATATTGAGTAGGGACAAAGATGGAGATGGGCGTGTATGTGTAAGAGAGAAAAGAAGGTATGACTAAAACGGCAATAGGTATACAGCCCATGGCATCCATGATCCGCTATATCAGGTATGCATACAAATGCTGCACTTTTTGAAATGCAACACGCACTAGGGGTATGCACATTCGTAACCATGATCCATCCACTGGTGAAGATAAGAATCAGAAGGATGAAATTAGAGAGAATGATCCATAAGATTTTCAGGATGAGTGACTCATCATTGGATTGGTTACATATACAAATTGGTTGATGCAGCTCGACCTGCTCCTACATGCAAATGTGATACGAAACACTTATTGTCATACACAAACCATGACACACCTTCATGGTTGGATGTTGTTTCACTTACGTACCTTCACAAAAGGCAAACATCATCATCATCAGGATTCATTTGTGCAGGAACCTGAAAAGGACGTGTTTGTGTAACGACCATGTGCCATTCCACTTAGTTTTGCATCTTTCTGTTAAATGCAGCCGACACCATGCAAAAGAAAAAAGCAACTCCGTCACGCTTACAGCAAAAGTAAAACATACAGGTGTCTGTATCTCTAAACTTGACAATAAAACGTGGGTTCTTCATGAGAACAACACCTTGTGTGCAAGTTTCACGATCAAGGTGGCTAACCCTAGATTTCGCAAATGTCGGCACTAGCCAAAAAGAGGTCGACCCTCGATCCAATTTGGCTGGTGGCAACATTTGCGAAATATCGGGTTGGCCACCTTGATCATGAAACTTTAACACATGATTCCTTTGGCACTGCTGAGCAAGACTGTTCTATTAAAGACCCCATGTTTCATTGTAAAGTTTAGAGATACTGGTACCTTTATGTTTTTCATATGCTGTATGCTATATGGAAAGAGGTCATTGTTCATTGTAAAGTAGCTAGACCCAGATAGAGCTAAAGATGCACACGTGCGTGTTGTGTAACTCCGCTCATTGTGCATGACTCGAAACGGCATTGTATGATATCCAGTGTCAGCCCATCATTGGCAGCTAATAGCCCATTCATCCTTTTTTCATTTACTACCCAATACACTGCATACGAACAATTCCCCTGCTCCAGCGCATCATTCCCATCTTTTAATTTTCTTGATCCGAGTAGATTTGGCTGAGCTACGGTGAAACAGCAAACAGGAAAATTAATGAATCGCAGACCCTGCGAATGTCTCCGCCTTTCAAACTTTTGGACGCCCCCATTCCAAATCTTCAAATGAAGTGTGAAGTTTTTATTAGAAAATGTTGGTCAGCATGTTCGAGAGCACCCTTCAGACCAATTTTCAAGTTGGAGGTGGGCAACTTCGGGGCGTGCGGGCCGTCCTCTTTTTGTTAGCATCATCCACCATTTGGGTTGCCCCGCATTTTAAAACTTCACAATAAAGTATAGCAATTTTAAATGAATGAGGTTGATCAGCATGTCCCAGCGACCCTTCTGACAACGTTTCAAGTTCTAAATGGCGAATCCCAAGGTAATACATACTACTTCGACAAATCTTGAATCTGGCGCTGACCTCCATTTCCGATTTACATAGCATACACACCTTACATCCTCCTATTCAATATTTTCAAATGAACATAGGGTCTTTTTTTAGATCAACGTGATCAGCATGGCCAAGAGCACCTTGTGTGAACGTTTCACCTTCGAGGGAGGCAATACCACTATCAAGCTTTGATGTACAGTGTTCATGCATATACAAGAGGTGTGCACTCTATTGAATTCCATGCCTTCCAGTCACACTTTATCTTCTCTTCCTCCCATTCTCACGTGTTGGCCCATTCAAGTACAACTATGTACAAGCTGCCAAGGATGGTCCTGCTTCAACCCATCATGGCAATCCTAGGACTCTCGTGATCCGATTGCCTTTGGTTGAATGGCAAATGGATGTATAATATCAGCCATCGTATTTTGGCGAAGATGTATCTGCTCCCTAAAAAGAGTGAATCGCAACATGACTTTGGCACTAGACAACATAGCAAAGGCATTCATACTATACTACGACGTGTATGTCGCTATTTATTGTGGAAAGCGCGAGACGCAGCAGTACAATGTCATGCACAATGGAGTGATCGATGTAGGCAGGATGTAGCTATGAATGCCGTTTTGGTTTGTCAATTATTATTGCATCTCTCGGATATGATTTCAATGAAAGGAACGACAATGATGATGATGATGCTGATGATCGTTTATTTGCTATTTTACGACGCTACATACATGTCGATACTTTAACGAGGTTGCTGATCCACATATGGTATGTGCTTTCGTAACAAGTGAATCAGGTAGTCTTCCACAGGTGCGACGATGATGACATTCTTGAGGTTGGCAAACGACAACAGGCGAATGATATCTCTGGCACTGATTGATGAAGCATGGACATGGAGGCATTGGAGCGTAGACCAATCATTGATTTGGGAAATGAATCCTTCAGGTGCTGGATTACGACCAAAGTCCAACTCAAGGTACGATAGTGAGGGGCATCTCTTGGTAATCCTTGCAATAATGGAAAAGTATGCAGCAGGTGTTGCGATTCCGACTGTTGATATCACAAGCTTTTGCAAGCTTCTCAATCCGGCAATTGCATCCATCCATGAAAATGTCGATACATGGTCATCCATGGCAACCTTTAGCTCCTTCAATGGTGAATCCTGCCCAAGCTGTACATGGTATTCAAGTAAATTGCCAAACCACGTCGAATGACGTCCGAGCGTTCTTGCTGAAAGCATGCGCAAATCCTTCAATCCTTTCAATGCATTGTATAAATCATCATCATTGATTCCAACATGATTGCATATCTTGACCCGATGGAGATGTGATGATCGACGGATGATCCATATGGCGAGTATAGATAGGTCGTCATTATAGGCATCAACCTCAAGTTCCTCCAAGCGATTGAATTCCAGGGATGAATCCAAGTCTCCTTCGTCCATTGTAATGCCTCCCACCAAGACGATGTGTTCGAGAGATTGATGGTTATCACGTAGTAGTGGGATGAGATGGTTACCATCGTATGGTTCGTCGTCGTCAACAATAGATCCAAGACATAGCTTTTGCAAGCCTTCAACATGCCGATTGTAGTTGTCATGGTGGAAGATGTGGTGACCACCGCACATCAGTAGCTTCATGTGTGGGCAATATTGGCGGAGGCTTGTGAGAAATTGGGTCTCAGGGAAGATGAAAATATCAAGTAGCACGAGTGATGGAAGATGAGAGAGAAGGTTGATCATCGTATCATGCGAAAGCCGTTCACACAAGATGTTCATGGTGAGATGCGTCAATGTTGGATATTGCTCATTGAGATCGAGAATGTCCCAAGCCGTAAGATTCAACGATACAAGGCGCGGGCAAAGATCGAGTACAACAGCCAAATGAATATCAGGCGTTTGATGCTCCTCCGTATGCAGGGATAAATCCGTCACAGTCTGGCTCACAGATTCAAGTGCATATGTAACATCGCCTGCCCAATAACCATAGTCTACATTAAATACATTAGTTATTATGTTAAAGCTCACTCATTCACCAAATACGTACACTTGATTGTCAACTTGGTGAGATTGGGGAATTTGCATGTGTCGAAGATGGAAAGCGAGTTCTCAAGTACGTCCATCCACCCTGATTCCATTGACAACGTCTTCACATGGTGTGAAAACCGTTTCAGCTCACGCATGTGTCCTGGAGGGCCCTCGTGCAGCTCCTCGTGATAAAAGCTCAGGTTGTTGCATGCCAACATACGTTGTCGCCATGTGCGTGATACATAAAGATAAGGGCAAGGAGTATCTGCTTCCATGCATTCGTCAAATAACAAAGGCAAGATGGCTGATACGACAATCTCCAAAGGTAGTTGAGTAATGAAATCGACACGGTTGTTGGCAGCACTCTCTGCATCAGCATGTCCCTTTTGGAGGTCGGCGTAACATTCATCCGATGATGGCACCATGGCAAGTCCTTTTTCATACATTGATGCTGCTTGTTGCTGTCGTCCTTGTTGCTGGTAAATGGTGCCTGCTTTCAAGTAGCCAAGTGACGACGTTGGAGTAATGACTCGCATAAGGGCTGCATCGCGCAAAGCAAGATCAAAGTTGGCTCCATTCGCGAATGCCGTCGCACGCTCATTGAGTTTCGTCATGAATTGACATGCAAGTTGATCGATCGCTTTTGTTGTTGCTGAAATGGAGGTGTCACGTTGTTGAACAGAAGAAGCGATTGAAGGAACAGGGGAAACGTAGGTATCGTAGATTGGGTTCATGGTTGAGTGGTATTGGGAGAAGGAAGAGATGATGATTCATGTTGGTGACCAGCCTAAATTGTATTTCACTCCGCAATGGGCTTGAACACTAAACATTATGGATCCCTTCCCCCACAAACATTGTCTACCATGATACAGTGTGCCTACAGCATGAGAGATAGTAATGGAAGAAGGGCAATATTGGGGAAGACAAGTGTAACGTGCTTGTGTAACAATAGCTGCCTATCAACATCACTAGTTTATAGTGCATGTTGGCATTCTTCAACTTACAATAATAAATGTTGCAAACGATGGGTTGCGTTTTCCAGAGCCTGGTGAAAAATTAGTGTCGTTATCCTTTTTGCATGGTGAATGGCATGATGTTGCTTTCATTGCAAATTGAATGCAATGGTCATCATCATCTTGGTTTCTGATTTTAGAACGCGTGTTATACTATGGATCACTTTTAAAGGGAAAGAAATGCTTCTCTTTTGCACGATTGACGATACTGCAATACAATTACTAACGTGGATAAAGGATAATTCGGTAAGCAGGTTCGGTCATGGTACCAGGATTACCATCCCTCGATGGATTGCGAGGTTATTATTCATTGATCATTTGGCAGACAATAGTACACCACGCATCATCTTGTACGCGTCTACCCCTACACGTGTGTGGATGTTTTTGCTGCGTTGTTTCAACACAATTCAATACGCATCTCACTCCCGCTACTATTACATCCTGACAGTTCTTTTCTATTGGATGATGACCCATTTTTATTTTCAGGCATTGAGAGGCTATACTAATCCAACTAGGAAAAAGAGAAAGCGAATCGTCCACCCATATCACTAATCCATATGCTCCTACCATATCCATTCCACCATTCTCCAACGTGTATAGATATCCACATACTTACAAACCAAACCTGATGCTCCTTGGACATGCATATCCGCAAAGGCCCCACATTGCCTCCCGAACCCAAAAGTAACCTACCTGCATCCGTACGTGACCGTGATATACATGAACCAACAACAGTACTTGCAAGACAATGGCACCTTAACACAACGTCGTAACCGAATACAACCCAAGGTTCAAATGGAGACTGGATCATGGCAATGCATTTCTTGCGAGGTGATCATGCAGCTTGCAATTCGTATTGATGAATGGGGTTCCATAACACATACATACCTGAATCCAGAGCAACAGCATACGTGGTGTAGTGTTGAGACATGTACCAATGATGGTGATGATGATGATCGGCTGCCTGCAAGAAGTTAACACTCTATGAATCCTGTGCCCATCCTATTTCACGTACCACCACTAGTAACCATAGCAAAGGGTATCTATACAAGTTTGAAAAGAAGTCTTGGTTCAGAGCAAGTTTGTATAGTAGAGTTCGGTACCTTTGCACGACCCGCAATGACCAAGATCAACGCCAAGATCTTGAACAAGGTTCAGTGATGCTGACTGTTAGCGATGGTTTGTCACTCAAGGCGTGATTGTCAAATGTGCAAAGCTGTGTAGCGTGCTGTAGAAAAAGAAGCTGGAACGAGTGCAGGTACGAGATGACTCGTCAAAGTAGTTGTCGAGATGACGCGTAAGCAAGACACGAATGCTGACTGAATTGACAGATGGAGAACGGGGAATGTCGACAAGAAGTAAAAGTAAAGCTTTAGAGAGGGTGGTCAAGAATAGAAAAGAGTCGTTGTTGGAATAAAGCGAATAAAGGGGTTGTTGGCTGAGGCCACTTCGTTGCTGGAATAAAGCAAATAAAGGGGTTGTTGGCTGAGGCCACTGGGCCAGCAATTTTTAAGCTGTGAGCGGGATTTGTCTTGTCACACACACACACACTTCTTCACTGCATTGAGCTTCCTCTTCCTCCTCCGCCAACATCCAATGACTGATTCTATTTGGAACGATCTATGCCAACAGCCAGTTATTACAGCTTCCACCGAAAAATACACAACGCTTGTGACGAATGCAACAACACAATTGAGGCAACCCATTGACTCCATCATGACAACTCTCAATGAGCGCGCCATGGCGTTGTCAAAGTGTGCCAACTTCGAAGCTGCTCTTCGTGATGCGAATACCATGCAACAACTCTCGCCTTCTTCACCAATTGGTTACCTTTGTGAAGCCACCATTTTCAATGAACAAGGGAAATGGCGTCAAGCAATCGATACCTGCAACAAGGGATTCAATGTTGTTGATACAAACGACGCACACTACGCTATGCTGCAGCGAGCCAAGGCTGATGCTGAAGACAGTGCGAGCAAACGGATCGACTTTATCAAGGAACTTCCTGTTGACATTGTTACTTCAACGCTCATTCCAATGCTGGTGGATGACTTTTGTTTGGAATCGCTGACACCGTGTCCCTATCTGCATGTGTCCCATGTATGGCGTGATTCTATACTTCAATGTTCGGGTGAATTACATTTTCACACTAGCTACAGCGAGGAGGAAGAAGATGTGGAAAAGTGTGCTCAATTGGTGAGGTTTGCTCGACACATCAACTCATTGCACGTTCGACGATACTCCAAGGGAACCTGGTTATCCGATTTATTGAGACACAACGAGTTTTCTTCTTTGCGGGGCTTAAGCGTTAATGGTAAGTGATACTGATATCTCTACATGCATGCACGTATTTATCATTATCCACAAAGGCATTCCCATCAGCAATATGGATGACTTTGTTCGAGCATTGGGATGCGTCGGCGACACATTGACTCATTTGACAATTCACGAGGGGGATCACGGCAGGCTCTCCTTTGTCGACATTCTCACCACCTGCTCCAATCTGAATTGGCTTACCATATCCCAGCACAATGGTGGAGACTTTAGCTCCCTTCCAACAACAACATGGCCCAATATCACAACATTATCGATTGAAGTTACAGAAGAGTACCTTACTCGGGATCAGATCATACGTATTTGCAAGTGCTTCCCATCACTGAAAAAGTTCCAACTCCATCCATGCCAAGGTGTGGGATCCGCCCTTTTAATCCCACAATACTGCCCATTGTTGACAAGCGTCGAATTGGAGATATATATGTTCCTTGCGGGTGTCACGTACATGAATGAAGTCACTGGTTCTGAATCGCTTACGATGACCAAGTTTTCTGTCACCATCGAGCACTTGGCAGGTATCGGTTCTATCCTAACACAACATCATACATCATTGGAGGCCATTGATTGGAATATCTACCATGAAGAAGATCATGAAGAACTTCGCCACATTCAGTACCCACGCCTCAAGAGATTATCATTACACACTTCTGGATCATGGATGCTTCACAATGCGCCAATATTGGAAGAATTGAACATGTCATCCAAGGCAATCAATGCGGACCCTGCCATACTGGATGCAATACCACCTTGTTTGAGGAAACTCGAGTTCAAGTTTGGGGATGGGATCGAATTTGACAACCAAGACGGCATCGTGCAATATCTCCACCGCGTCTCCCAAAAATGCCTGCTACTTGAATTTGCTATCACCTTCACCGACGCAAACTCCTTTCGATGTGTACTTGATGCAATTCCTTGTTTGAGCAAGCTTGAACGTCTTATTATCAGTGTACGAGCAAAGTGGGATGCATACCATATGGAACGATTCCTTGACAACCTCGTCAATGGTTGCCCTCATCTATCCTGCCTTGACATTGATTGCGTGAATGCTCCGCCGACCTATTCCTTGGATAGTTTGAAACGCCTTGATCGTCTAAAACAACTTGCATTTTCGATTGAAGGCACAGATGGCTATGACAGCTTTTGGCAAGCGCTTCGAACCTTTTCGCAGCTCAAGTTGATTCAAGTTTACCATGCTACTCCACTCTACAAGTCCGTAATTCGACATCTCAAGCAGCATAGACGTGACCTGAAGGTTATCTTTGTATGAATCATTCAAAGGCTCTTGGGGGTTGATTTTCAATCAAGTATTATTATCTCTATGGTATTAATGCAACGGGGTCAAATAAAAAGGGATATGGCACACTTCAACGTCATTATTCGTCATGCATGCATGCAGCTACTTCTCTATGCGCCATTTCACCACTATCAATAAGGATAGCCATTGCGTACCATGATCAATGATGTGTATACCAATACAACATTACATCAAACAAGGAAAGGTTGATCATCCCATGGGATGATGAGCTAGGTATATGTATGACGGATCGGTTCGATAGGCCGGCTCAAGAAGGACATGGTATGGAACATGTAGGTTCATACATGCTGACGGCGTAAGCATGTTGCATGAAGGCAATATGACATGGGTGTACTGTAGATGCGGCACTAGCTGCATTAATGTAATCGTTTGTTCTCGCAAGTGATTCTTATATATGGCTATAGCTTTCCCTTCTATAAAAAGGACAATTAGTAATGAAACATGTCACCATGACCCTTTGTAGCTCGTTTTCAAAACAAGATGTGGAGTGGTTGTGAATACGTTTTATCATTAGTCATGGTGATTGGAGGTAGATACGAGCGTACTTTTGACGCAACGAGGAATTCTTTACGTTGAGCACTCCATCCTTTTAACAAGGTGTACCCACAATTTACTACGTTATCTGTTACTGCTTCTTTCGCTGACTTAAGAATAGCGCCTGGAGGTTTGCCATTCCACTAAAACATGGGGTTTATTACTAGCGTGCAGCTTAGATAGGTGAACATACATAAGGGTAAACATCGAGTAGTTTCAGCATTTGCTTTATGGATCGTAAGGTGATGGTGTATGGTATAGCCATATATTCATAACGATGTTTGAGAGCTTTATTGTATACTACGTACAGCTGCTATGGAAATATGAGAAGTACATTGCTAGGTAAATCGCTTAAACCGTGATTGCATCCTTATCGATGATAACTTTGATATCTGGTCTTTGCTGTTTGAGATGATTGATTCTGGCATCCTGGGCTATAGACGAAGGGTTGATAGTAATGCATTTGAGCTGTGGAAATGATTCGATCGCATCCCAAAAGCTGTCAATGTCAGCTGTTCCATTGATCGAGAATGTCAACTTGTTTAAATTTGGAAGTCCCTTCAAGATGTTCATTGAAGAGGTCGTAGGTGCATTCGTGCATTTGAGTTCGAGTGACGATAAAAGGGGACATGATCTGGCAAGTCCATGAATGAAGCTCTGCATTCGATAATAATTCCACTCCTTCTTAACGCCGACCGATAGGTCTTCAAGATGACTGTGACGGAAGATGGCATCCAGGATGGCTTCGTTGTCGGTGTTATAGAAACGGATCACAAGTTGTCGTAGCTGGTGCTGTATAGCAATGCGATGAAGGTAGCGTAAGATGGATGCCTCATGCTCATATTCCAATGCGCCAATGAACTTCAAATCAAGCGACTTCAAGAGTTGTGGTATCGTGTCAAGTACTTGAGGGTGCGTGGTGATAGTTTTGGACGTGAACATCAACTCTTGCAGCATGGGGGCATTGCGTAGTATCTGCCATCCACAAGTAAAAAGACCAAGCTTTGTAAGACGCGGGAAATGAAGATCGTCAATGCTCTCGGTATCCTCGCTTGTGTCCATATCCCACTCAAGGTGTTCAAGCGTCTTGTGGTACTGCTTGATGATAGAGGTGGTATCCTTGCAAGGCCCTTCCGCCATGTCATCGGTTGATATCATAAGCTTTGTCATGCCAGGCTCCTCGCTGTAGCATCCTTCATCCGAGTAGATAAGCTGAATCCCCATTCCCTCCATGCAAAGATGAAGGCTTTTCATTGTTGGACGATAGTCCAAGACAATAAACGGTGATCGTATATCGGTACATGGCATAAGTGTAAGCTTCTTGAGTGATGGAAACCGCTCCCAGATCGCGATTATCTGTTCGCATGTGATATCCGTGTGTGTGTAGGTAAGCGATAATGTCGTCAATGTTGGCCATGTACTTATCAGGAGAAGGCTGACGTTGGCGTCCTGGGGTTCGATGATGCGAAGCATTGTCAGATTGGGGCATGCCAACACAATCTCGGGTACGCCTAACATGGGTCCATTTTCCATATCCATCACCAAATGTGTCAAGGTGCTGCTGATCGATTTCAGTGATGCGAGAAAGTTCCCGATGTGTTTGCTCCCGAAGCCTTATAAAGAAAGGGTCGTAAATGAACAGAGCATAAGAAAAAAGGGCACCACATACCTTCAATGTGTAACTCTTGCAATGAGGAAAAGTCGTTATCACCAATTAAGTCGGCTAGCCAAGTTCCTTTGCGATATCGTCGAATGTGCAATGCCTTAATGTGGGGTGCAAGCTCAATGACTGGCAAAAGATTGTCGTCTTCCTTAGACCCAATCTGGATACGTAATCCACCGAGCGATTCAATAATACGGTCACGCCATAGATGAGACACAAACAAATAGGGACTTGGTTTCAATCCATCCATATAACCATCATCCACAAGCAATGGAACAAGCTTTGCAATAACAATGTCAACAGGTAGCCCCTTGAAGAAGTCGATACGTTTGCCCGCACATTGTTCAGAAACATTCTTGGCTCGCTGCAGCATAGCATAGTGTGAGTCGTTTGTATCAACAACATTGAGTCCCTTGTTGCAAACATCGATAGCTTGACGCCATTTTCCTTGTTCAATGTAAATCTTGGCTGCACATAGATACCCAAGGGTTGAAGAAGGTGAGAGCTGTTGCATGGCATTTGCATCACGAAGAGCAGCATCAAAGTTGGCACACTCTGACAACGCAATGGCGCGGTCACTGAGAATTGTCAAGATGGAGTCAATGGGTTGCCGCAATTGTGTGGTTGCATTGGTGACAATTGTTGTTTGTTTGTGGGAGGAAGCTGTAATAACAGGTTGTTTGCATAAGTCTTTCCAAATAGAATGGGACATTGTATGCAGACTGAGGAGAAGCAGGAAGTTCAATGCAGTGAAGAAATGTGTGTGTGACAAGGCAAGGCAAATCCCGCTCACAGCGTAAAATGGCTGGGCCAAAGCGGCGCCAGTCAATACCGCCTTTATGCTCTTTATTTCAACAAAGCCTCTTTTCTATACTGGTCCATCTTCCTTAAAGCTTTACTTTTACTCCTTGTCGACATTGCTTGTTCTCCATCTGCCAACAAATGCGTGTTCAGTCAGCATTCGTGTCTTGCTTACGCGTCATCTCTGTAACTCCTTTGTTAGCCCATCTCCCAGTACTCGTGTCAGCTTCTTATTTTACACCACGCGACACACCTTGCAAGCTTTGCAACGACGCGTCCACAACAAACCGATCGCCAACAATCGGCATTCCTAAAGCTTGTTCAAGGCCTTGGTGCTAATCGTGTGGAGGTGGGATAGTCCAAGGCTACCAGATACAAACGTGATGCGAACAAGCCAAAACGATCTCGCTGACTTGTGCAAAAGCCATTTGCCATGGTTACGTGAATAGGTACGTTCCATATTATCTTCTCATGGTAATAGGTGTTGATACTTGGAATACGAAGGATACAACGGTAGTATGGCTCATACGCTGGGTGATTGCTTCAAGCTGTTAATCATCATCATCTCGAAAAGGTACTTGTCAAGGCACTCAACATCGACGTATGCTGCTGCCTTTGATTGCTGATGGATGTTTCTAGAACGGGTTCGACGATAAGGATTGCATGCTGCATGGCACGTCTTTATTTCGCACAACTTTATCCAATCTCAACTCGCCTTCAGCTCATGGTTTTTATTGTATTCGGCTATTGCACTGTTGGATGGTCTCTATTGTGCACCTGGCGCAAGTATGATACATGGATGGGTGGTAATCCTTTGCATTAATGGGTATGTATGGATGATGGGTTGATTGGATACGCTTGTTGAAAGAGGTCTGTGATTGGATGGTCATTCCCTGAAGGTCCACATGTTGAAAGAAGCCGGGATGGATATGGTAAGAACTATGGTAGAGGGTACCTATTGTGTTCTATGGTTGTATCGGTTAGGCTAGTTTTATGGTGGATGAAAATAAAGGTAGCCAACGTAATGTTCTAAAAGATAAAATAGTATGAGTGGTATTGGTTCTGGTTCGTGAGCGATATTGGCATCATCAATATATGAGCAACCGTCAATGCCTTGATCACATGTATCATCATTGCCTTCTCCCTTGCCATTCCTCCCCTTTATCCTAGACAAGCCATCATCTTTCTTGAATAAATATCCAGGCTTATTACCTTGCGTCTTTATCCTCAACTTAGCCTTGATCCCTTTTTCGTTGGGGTGTTGTCTGCTCTTAGTGCTAGGCATGTGGTCTTCCACAGACGCGTTGCGAATGTGGGCCTCATCGCTGCCTTTCGGTTGTGGTTTAGCTTTTTTTTTACCCATGTTGGTGGACTTGAACGTAGTGACGCAAACCATTTATATGTCATCAGCATTCTTTTTTATTCATCTTGGATTACATTCACTTGGAAAAAGTGGTACAATGATGGTGGGATCTGGTAACTCAAAAATCATCACCTTAAGGATTCCAATGATGCATGTGGCAGTTGGCTCGTACAATTACCTTGTTTTCTTTGGCTTTGAAGATTGTCAAACTATTTCAAAACCATATGCGTAGCCGAATGCCGCTTATTATGGTGGGTATAGTGAAGAAGGCGACGTGTGAATCCATGATGTCTTTGGATGCTGTGTAACCTTAGATGACGTTTTATCTCTCACAAGATAAAATCATGCTGGCCCTTTACTCAATCCTGGATAAAGGCGACTTTTTATTCGATGAACGATACCTTTGGGTCTAAAGGTTTACCATATCGGCAACTCTCGTTCTTTGCCTATTCATGCAGTAAAAGGATGGTAACACAAGGATGCAAAATGTCTCACTAAGGTGGTGTGGTGCTGGCATCATCTTGTAGGCCTAAAACAGCATCCTCTAGTGTAGCGTTCCTATATATTATACCTTTTTCTAATAATGCTTGATGACGCAATGATATCAAACTGGTCAATGGGCCGTCTTTACAATATGCATGGCACGGATGATGATACCTGGTGGCAGGTGTTCCCAATATATCCGACTGCCATATTTTGGTCGGTACTTTTCTCCCTCTATTTCTCTCTCACACTATTTCACCCCACTTTTACCAACACCCTCCATCAGTGACACCTTCAATGAAGTACAAAGCTTTTACAATTGAACAACCTAATTCCAACAATCCACGCATTCCTCCATGTCAACTTGGACCCAATCTCGCCATGGGAATCTCAAAGCTTGCCAACATTGATGTTGCCTTCCACAATGTCAAGCTCATGGCACAACAGTCGCCATGTACACCACTTCGGCCATCGTGTGTAGTCAATGCTTACAATGTACAAGGTAACCAGGGTTACGTTATCCATGCTTGCAACCATAGGCTCACTACTCTTCTTACAAGAGGTGCAAACAAGGGGAAGCTACAACACGCCAAGGTGGACGCCAAAGAAGCCTGGACCACACTCATTGAACTCTGTCAGCCAACGCCCTTTCGAAATGGCATGGGAACTCTCGTGGTGATGTTTGTGAATCATCATTGGCTTTGGTTCAATTATTCCATATCTATGCATGTATGCCTCTTGCTTCTTGCGCGATCAAGGCGATGGTTTACGTTTAAGGATGACTTGGGCCAAGCTCCCGATACAAAAGGATGTGGACAGGCTCTTCCCGATTCAACAGGGTACAAAGGTGGCGACTATTGGATGACATTCGCAAGGAATATGGCTGAAGGATGTACCACATGATAATGGCTTCTGGTGATTAAAGGAGATGCACGTTCATGGTATGTTAGATAAAGGCCTTGTTTGCTTGTTCTTCTGTTGATCATGGTTTCGATTAGGTGTTGAGAATCCTTATTTATGTATCGTATCAGCATGAACCACTTTGAAGGATTTCACTTGTTACCCCTATGTTGGGATCGCTTGGCGTGCTGGAACTTGGCGTCTTATCTTTCACAAGCATGATCACACATACGAGGCAGTGGTTCAGTGGCTATGAGATAGTAAGTATGTTGAGGGGATTATAATCAAACAAGGCATTTACCTATTGCCCAGCTGTTGACGTTCAATATGCATTCGCCGCACCAAGCAAGTGTCCATTTACCAAAGGCATTTCAAGTTTGAGGTGATCGTGAAGATGTGCAAGGCTTCGATACGGATCAATGGGATGCATGGAAAAAGGAACGCAATAGCAATGTTTGCAACAAGAGCTCTATTGGTACATGATTGGTATGTATAGTCTTGCATCTACAAACCTGGTCATGTTCATTAAAGAGGCTTACAATGAATACCAGCAGCACATACTGGATCGCATGGATACAAGGTTATCTGCAAGCATCATTGAAATGGTATTGGGAACACCTCAAGGTAAATTGCACCATTTTTGGATTTGTCACCTTCAAGTGCACTGATGAAAGGAATAGGCTCTCTTTCGGCGATACCATTATTATCATGGCTGCACGTCAAGGATGTCATTGTATAGTACTGTGCTCTCCTGGGGAATTTTGGCCCGGAAACAGTGTGACTCAAGATGCGATGGCAAGGCCAATTTAAAAAGGCATCCGCTGTGCACACGGCCTCCATCCAAGTACGGCTATTGATTTCCTTGCCTACAGAGAGAAGGTGGATATCTCTTATGATGCCAATTTCAGGATCCAATGAGAGTATAGTACATATGGTGGCATACCTTGGCGCTGCAGGTTGATTATTGTATTGCCTTCGGATGGTGTATTTGGTTGCAATTCCTTGTGATCACCATGGTTCACGGCATCGTGTGTCTTCCCTACCGAGTTGTCCACAATGAGAGTACTCAAGACGTCTTTACATTGCTTCTTTTGGGTATGCTGACAACAAAAGCGTGTGGGTTGGTTTTACTTGTTATCTCACATTGCGTTTATGGTAGGTTGAATATGTTGGATGATGGTGCCTCTGGAAGCGACAAGATACGGATCTCAAAGCAAGAATGCTGTACGTTGACTGAATGGTATGCGTGGTATTGGATCTACAAAGCGAAACCTGTCAATTCACGAGACTTACAGTGAAACAGCAGCAAGACAATATGGATGACATGGAAATACGGTTTTATTTGAGGCAATGATGCTATTGAGAAATACCACAAGGTAAGAGGTTCATTGTGGGGTTGGTGTGATTGAAGTGAACTTACCAAACGCCTTACAGTGGCAGAGCCTCATTCGGCGATACTATTATTATCAAAGCTGCACGTCAAGGACGTCATTGTACTACACTTTGCTGTGGAGCTCTACATGTTGTGCCCGGGGACAGTGCGACTCATGGTGCGGCCTCAGGGATTTAAAAATGCATCTTCTGTTCGCACGGCTCCATCCTTTGACGGCTATTGATCTCCTTGCCTTTAGAGAGAAGATGGGTATCTCTATTGATGCACTTCATCGCGTCGATCCACAGGAGAGCACCAGTACTATGATGTTTCTTTGGCTGTGCGCTTTTAATATTGCTTTACATCCTGATGTCGTATGGGTTCCACGTATTCATTATGATGGGGTGATTCAGGTATGTATGATGCCGACTCTTTTTCGAAACTTTGCTGAAACACCCCATCTTTAGATGGTCCACTGGAAGCAACACACAAACACTTGTCTCTTCGTGCTTCAAAGTATACGCGTTCACGGCTATGGCAGTTTAGGTTTGTTGGATGGGTTTGGGAAATCATTCACCCTGAATCTCTCATATATGAATAATCTTAGGAACGAGGGCAATGGATTACGTGTCTTGGTGTCGTCAACGGTTCCTCGCGCATCATTCACAAGCAACTGGTTATTTCTTATGCGAAGGTCAGCAGCGCACATCTCTTATGGGTGGATCGTATTATTGACAAGCAACAGCCTTCATATAGTTGGATGCACGCCAAGGTTTACCCATCGTCATGTGGATTTGATTCTACCCATTTCGTGCATGTCTTGAAACAAAGGCCTCTTACCGGTTGATCATGTCATGAACAATGGACTTCTCCTATATATTGGGTGCCCGCAAACTTTCCATGTCCTGTGCTGTTGGGTTATCTGTAATTGCTTTGACGCACCGCCACTTCGATTCAACATCTCTTATGGATTTAATCGACCTTTTCAACGCAAAGGGCCACTTGTATATCTTTGGTGTCAGCACGCATTCCATGTCATGATCGTTCTGGTTATCGACAATCCCATTCACGGATCTCTGCATCTAAAGTGGATCATGCCATCAACAAACAATGAGAGCTGCTTTGACATCTCTGCTGTTACCAAGGTATGTATGTATCTCCCCAAGGCATCAATCGCCAAGCTGCGATCCATTCCCTATGAAAAACGATTACCATTCACATTGCTTTTTAGCCACATGTACGTCACTCCGCAGCTAGGATGCTGGTTCGGGCTTTTCAATTGATGGCTTCTACGATTTGCATGTTGTCTTGGGCAGCAAAGATGGTCGCGTTGTCTCTTCTTCCAATGGCTCTCAGGATAATGTAAGTATACTTGCGTTGGTGGTACCGTTATTGCTCAAGCTTCGCATGGCATTTTCATCTCAAGTGTCATTTATGGTCTATAGGTCCAGTGCCAACACAGGGTGTTCTATCAAGTGGTCGATTGCAAAGGGATTGGTTTGGTTGGGATATCGAATGGTGTTAATGGATATGGCTGTGATCGGTAAGTAGTGATCTTTTCATTTCTACAACATGTACTTACCTTCTCTTGTATTCTACTATGCGTGCGGTTACGGGAACTACGTGTGTTCTGGTACTTTGAAATCTTCATGGATGCTGCAAGCATGGGCCGGCAAGAGCGTTTTGTGCATATGGCTATAATTGGTAAATGATGATCCGTTCATTGCGTAAACGCCTACCAACCCCCTCTTTTATGATAGCATGTGAGATATGCAGCGTGCTACTTCTGCTTTCATGCTTTGGAAGTGCCTTGGATGGATCTATCATAGGTACGTACTGCTCTATGGGGTTTTGAAAACTGTTTGCTGTACATCATTTCTACATGGGTGACTCATGTCAACATCAAGCAGTGTCATTACGTCATCGTTCAGTGCCTGCAGCTCATTTCATCCTATGATTCACGTGATGCATCATGATCAGCATTTCCTTTTGTGTACGCCTGCAACAAAATTCAATGATTCTAAACCTCTCGCTGACTTCATCCTTTATATGTTTCACTCTGATTCAAATAGTCTATAACCTTCGGTTGGTGTCCCTTTATGCATGCTCGGCATCGGTGGATCATATCAACAACAATCACGAAGCAGCCATTATCAATCGCAAGCCTATCTTTGGTATCACCAACATTCATCTGATCGCTTCATGGCTGTCTTTATTGGGCAATCGCATACAAGGGTGTTCTTCAGTGAAGTCTTTTATGGATGCATCACATCAGGATGAGCCAACAATGCTATGGCTCATTTCGGCGCTATCAAAGTCTATTCATCATGCAACGCATTCATCGCCAAATATCGCTTCATTTCTTCCCAATTCATTGGTATGCATACTTTTGGATCTACAATACAAGTCCTATCAATTAACGAGCTTTCCAGTGAACCAGCATCGACAGATTACGGATGGCATGGGCCTACGAGTTCGGTTTCAAGCAAGGTGGCTATTGAGAACACAAGGTAATAGGGGTCATTGTGGGGTATGTTGCATACAAGCGCATTTACGGTGGAAGATATGCAATCCCAGAATCAACAAGGCTTTTTCCCCGGTTATACCGTCACCAACAGCAAAAATGGTATCGTACTATGTACTCTTTTGGGGGAACCATGTCGCCCTCAAAGAACGTGTGCTCATGGGGTTATGGCCTATTGCAGGACCAATGTCTATTGCACCTTGATGGCGTATGTCGTTCGACCTCTATGGGATCATTGGGATTGAGGTATGTTTTATTCTGTTGCTTTTTGGAAAGTGTTGCTGAAACGTCTACTATTTAGATGGATTACTGCAAGCAGCCTACACCTATGATCAAGGAGTGTATCACGTTATCAGCCATGGTAGTCATTGCGTACGCATCGCTCTAGTGCTATGGAAAAATGGTTGCCAACCTATCACTTTTAGATTGATCGCATTGCAACAGGCAGCATGTTTTGGGGATTTGAATCCGCAGGATGGCATTTATCATTGTGAGGTATAGTTTAAGGGTCTGGAAGATTGTTTACTATGCCTTACGTAGATCCGTCATAGATCATCATCAAGCTGCCGAGACCTTATCTTCGTTATCATTCACGTTTACATGAGCATCCGGTGGTTGTCGCGTACTACTAATCTTTTGCACGGCCGCGTATCGACGTAATGGTTTGTGGATGGATCGTATGGACAACAAGCAACAACATCTACAGCTTTGTGGTGCCAGCAAGCGTTATCGCCTCATCTGTGGATTCCTGTTACAGATACCCTGCGGATGTATATCTTCTGGTTCCCAACTTTTATCGGTAGGTTACTCTGCATCAGTAACAGGCACAAGGCATTTACCGATGTTCAGGATCGCGCCTATTCGATCCCCGTATGACTTTGAACATCGCGTACTGTCCTTGATTTAAAAGTCTTTGGTCATTGGCTCATGTATGGATTCCTTCGCATGAAGTAAGTATGCAGTGTTTGGTGATATCAATATTACTCTTCTCACAACATCTGTCTGCTAGGTATGGTTGCTTCGCTTCAATTCTTGGTACCAACCTACTTCATCCCTTGAAAGTGGATCATCCGGAAGACTGTAACCAGCGTCTCGTACATATGGCAACCATTGTAAACCGATCCCGCAAGCTTTTTACGACACTTGTCAAGTTCCTCATTTACAACCTATAGCGCTGGATTGTGACGCTACAGGTACGCTTTGTATTGGATTTACAACGTAAGACTAGGTGAGTAACAAGCATTACAATGACAGAGCATCAATACATCTTTGGAGCAGATGGATACAAGGCTACTTGCACCGGCAATGTTATTCAAGGTAAAAGGGTTCAATGTGGGTTTGGTTGCATTCGAGCACCTTGGCAACTCCTTGGAAGGATATTGATTGAGGTAATCCTTTATAGGTGGATCATACATATGAGCAATCAGCAGCGGGCAGTACTTCGGTTAGGTGTCAGCAAGCTTTATCCCGTCACCTGGTGCTCTGTGTTTCGAGCAATGTGCTTGATGTATTTCTTCCGGGTCTCATCTCTCGTTGGTCTGCGAATGATACCCTATCTACGACATTCACGAGACGAACACCTTTATCGGGCATCATGTTGATCGAATTACCAATATGGTTTCGGCTATCAAGCACCATCGTTTTGTTGGAAGGATTTACCATCAATCGTCCATTTATCGAATGCTTGATCTCACGTAAGTATGTTATGGTTTATGATACCGATCGTCTTCACGCCTCTGACATGTGTACTGCCAGGCATCCTTCCTTCGCTTACTTGGCATGTGAGAATGTCCCATGTCTTGGCAAGTGGACCTTTGCAAAGCGTCGGGGTCCTTTGGATATTTACAAATTTGATGGATATATGGGGATCGCTGTTAAGTAATGATCCGGTCTTTTCTACAACGCCTAGCAACATCCTCTTTTATGATAGCATGTGGGATATTCATCAAACTACTTCTCTTCTGGTGCTTGGATCCTTCAAGGACGAACCTATCATTGTGAGTATCATACGTTTGTGTTTGGGTCAAATGTTGACCATGCATTTTTAGGTACCCCATGCCAGGATCAAGCAACAACGTCCACAGCATTTCTCAGTACCGGCACACCGTATTATGTGATTACATTTGAACATCACTTACATGGACGTCTGCAGCACCAAACAACGGCATTTATACCTTTCGGTCAGCCAAAGCGTTATATTGTGTCGACCTTTCATTTTGATCCATATCCTGACACGCCCCCATGTTACGCGTCAATCATATCAACATCAATCACAAGGTAGCAATGCGCAATGTGGAACACATTTGAGAAATGTAATCGGCGCTTTAAGATGTGAAACAAGCCATTTGGGAAGTGGAACACGCCATTTGAGAAGTGGGACAAGCTACATGAGAAGTGGAACAACGTATTGGGAAGTGGAACAAGCTACTTGAGAAGTGGAACAACGTATTGGGAAGTGGAACAAGCTACTTGAGAAGTGGAACAACGTATTGGGAAGTGGAACAAGCTACTTGAGAAGTGCAAAACGTATTTGAGAAGTGGAACAACGTATTGGGAAGTGGAACAAGCTACTTGAGAAGTGGAACAACGTATTTGAGAAGTGGGACAAGCTACATGAGAAGTGGAACAACGTATTTGAGAAGTGGAACAAGCTACTTGAGAAGTGGAACAACGTATTGGGAAGTGGAACAAGCTACTTGACAAGTGGAACAAGGTATTCGGAAGTGGAACAACGTATTTGAGAAGTGGAACACGCCATTTGGGAAGTGGAACACGCCATTTGAGAAGTGGGACAAGCTACATGAGAAGTGGAACAAGCTACTTGAGAAGTGGAACAACGTATTTGAGAAGTGGGACAAGCCATTGGAGAAGTGGAACAAGCTACTTGAGAAGTGGAACAACGTATTGGGAAGTGGAACAACGTAGTTGAGAAGTGGAACACGCCATTTGAGAAGTGGGACAACGTATTTAAGAAGTGGAACAAGCCATTGGAGAAGTGGAACAAGGTACGTGAGAAGTGGAACAACGTATTTGGGAAGTGGAACAAGCTACTTGAGAAGTGGAACACGCCATTTGGGAAGTGGAACACGCCATTTGAGAAGTGTGACAAGCTACATGAGAAGTGGAACAAGCTACTTGAGAAGTGGAACAACGTATTTGAGAAGTGGAACAAGCCATTGGAGAAGTGGAACAAGCTATTTGGGATGCGGAATACGCCATTGGAGAAGTGGAACAAGCTATTTGGGATATGGAATATGCTAGTTGAGAAGCGCAACAAGCTCCTCGAGAAGTGGAATACGCCATTTGAGAAGTGGAACAAGCTACTTGAGATTCAAGGTTATCGGTTTCCCAAGTCATCATCAAGAAGTAACATTCCTTTCCCTGGAGAATAGCTATCAGTATTGGTCATTTTATGAACATCTCCATAGCAACGAAATTGGAATTGGTTGTTGGGTGGCACTGAACATCGTGGACTTCCATATGGCTTTGACTAAGTATATACATTTCTTCCGCTATGTGCAAGACGAGTTAGTAACATGCGCATTGATAGGTCTCTCATTCCATCCAGCGGTCGTTTGAGTTACTCCTTGGTGCCATAAAGGTCTTCAGGGGCTGACTGCAATTGTGGTACTGGGCGCTATCGTTTTGATGGACGAAGGTCTCTATTTCGCCTTGGATGGTTTTCTCGGAGACAGCAAGTGGATCGTCGTAGGGTTGTGCCTCTCAACTACCGTCTCGGGTGACCGACAATCAGCTACCTGCAGCTTGTCTCGCTTATTGGTAGATCTTGCAGGCAACATTTATTATTGGTTCTATGGTATATACTACTGTTGGACTCCCTGAACGGATACCTTGAGCAATCTCTCAGCAAGTGAAATCGTTAGCTTGTGCTATATCATCGAGCGGGGATCTATTTGGTGCTGTGCGCGGTGTGTCGCTGGTAACGCCTGTCGTAGTCTCAAGACCTCATCACCATCATCTTGCATACTCAGCATGTTTGCATCATCACATCTATATACACAACGTGTAGTCATCCAAAATAAACTTCGTCTTCTTTCTCTTTATCGAGTCTCACGGACACTTACTGTTACCAGTTCTCGCTACACAGCTCTCACACACACGCACACACACATCTTCTATCTTCCTATATCACAACGCCAACGTTAAAAGGGCGTTTGATGGCAGCAACTACCGATATAGTAGATATTTCTTTGCTATGCATGGAGCGGGATCGTGCCTTCCTCTCTGAAGTAAGGCATCCTTGGCAGCTATGATTTACATGCAACCATGTGACAGCGCTATCGTGGCCCTATCAATTGCATTGGGGATCATTGAGGATTACAGCCTTAGCCATTTGCAGTGACACAATTGATCAGTGACGATGGAGTATATGCCAAGGTTATATGGTGGGTAGCGAATTCTGTGCAAGGAGCCTGTTGTATTCTGTAATTGTTTATGGATACGATATCTAGAAACATAGAATAGACCTTTCCACTACACATTCGAACGTTCCTTAGAAGCACATGACATGTCAACAACAACAATAGAATAGTATAAATAAGCATCCATCAAGCAGCTAGAAACCATCATCTTTCATCTTTTGATCTTTCATACATAAAGACATACACACGAGTCCTAAAGGATTTATCTTGTCTCTTCTCTTCTTTATTTGAAACATCACAGAGCCAATGTTTACGGTATGTTTCTACCATATCACAGATCACGTCGTTCTTTAATTACAAGCCGCGTTATATGATACATGTAGCTAGTGAAAAAGGTAAGTTGGGCGTTATGAAACGAACATGCAAGTACGCTAGGTTTAAGTTCTTTGACAGGTATGGGAGATGATGAGCAACCAGTTTACAGAGGCGTCCTTTTTGTTTTCATCCTGCAACATGCTGTTTCACGTTACCTACAACTCGACGGCAACCATTCGACGCACACTATGTCGACCATCATCAGAGCCACATCCACCTACGGCACGCATCTGACACTGTGCATTATTCCTGAAACAAGGAAGCTGTAAAAACACATGCCTATCAGTATACACACGAACAAATGCAAGCCTACATTTGCACACTATCAACATGTTACTCATCTTGATGCATGCACTCTCCCACACACCGTTTGCTAATGAGCTTTTCCCAATGTCGAATTACGGTCCTGTTGTTGTTGAATCTGGCTATAACAAACAAGCTGAAGCTGAGTACACAAAGCAACCGTTTTCACGCACATAAACGAAAATGACCCATCAGCATGCACCTTTAGACACAGCACCACTCAGCATCTCTCACACTTCGCCGCTTCAATAGCAACGCACATAATTACTGCCACAACGTCTGGATGAATGATTGTTTATTTCATATATAAAAACTACAACATATAAAACAGAAGGCTATCTGGCTATAGACATTGTGTTACTTATATAGGAAGATGACCATGTAGATGCTTTTGTGTATAAGAAAAGCTTTATTTAATAAAAGTAAACAACTAGTTGTGCCAATGCTTAGCCCATCAATGAAGATGGTTTCCAGGTGCGACCACGAGGAGGTGATTGGCAATCCACACCCGTAGTTTAACGTCATTTCGGACGGATTGGTTTAACATCGTAATCAGGATGCAAGTTTTCGTCATTGAAGACGACCAATTTATAGTCGTGGTCAGACTACCACCCACACCACCCATACACATACCTCTTTATCCCCTCTTCTTTTTTCTTCACCTCCCATCCACATACCCCAATAGCCCTCTTTATCCCCTCTTCTTCATCACCCATGCACATACCCCGATAGTCCTCTTTATCCCCTCTTCTTCACCACCCATTCACATACTGTATCCCAATAGTCCTCTTTATCCCCTCTTCTTCACCACTCATTCACCTACCAGTGCAAAAGAAACTTACCTTTGAAGACCGTCGGAGGAGGGGAAAGAAAGATACTTTGGAGTTGGGGAAAAAAGACTTCTCTTTTATACCAAAGTGGATTGCGCAAAACCTTAGACGCGTAAGCGTTCGTGTCACCCTAAACCTTATCCACTTTCCTACTTTTTCTATAATCTTCATATCTCATTTACTTAAAACCTTTCAATTCAACCTGTTTTTGGCCGTTAGGAAAACATGTCCGTCTCATCGAGACGCTTCGAATGGTATATTGTTTGCCATGATTTTCTTTACTTTTGTCCATATGAACATTGCTATGGTCACGTAGTACAATTTCCTTTTTGGGTCGAGGTTTCAGGTCTCGGGCCGAGCTCTTTCGAAACACTGCTACAGGCCATAGCGCGTTGATTTTCAAGTAAACCTCACTTGTGGTAATAGAAAAACGTGTTCCTCTCGATGAGACGAGCCTACCGGTATGTTGTTTGTATAGGTTTGAAAGAAGTGAATTTATTAGGTGTTGATGCACAGCTCTGTTTCAGCCATTCAGGATATAAAAATCTATCATACGAATAGCATACCGTTATGCTCGTATCATCGAGACGAACACATTTCTCTATTACCACAAAAGAGGTTTACTTGAAAACCTAAGAGTTATACTCTATGGCAGTGGTTCCAAAGAGCTCGGCCCGAGATCTGAAACCGTGACCCAAAAAGGAAATTGTACTACGTGACCATAGCAATGTTCATATGGACAAAAGTAAACTAAATCATGATAAATAGGATACCATTCGAATCGTCTCGATGAGAGGCACACGTTTTTCTAATGGCCAACAATAGGTTGAATTGAGTGGTTTTGAGTAAATGCGATACGAAGATTTTAGCAAGTTGGCCGAATTTCGTGTGTCACAAACGCTTACGCGTCTAAGGTGCTATGACAACCCACTTTGGTATAAAAAGGAAGCCCTTTTTCCCCAACTCCAAAGTATCTTTCTTTCACTCTAGGTTTCCCGGACAAGACCGCAAGTATGGCTCGCTAGGTCCTATAAACAAGCGTCACGAAACACGGTATCCAGGTTAGCTGGGGGAGGGGATTCGGGGTACTCACGAAACCAGCAAGACACCCACGAATCGAAAGGGTTACGAAACTGCAAGGTCACGAAACACGGAAACACTTTACACTAGTACCCCAATCAACTCGACCCAGCCAAACCTGAGCAAGAGTCCGCAATGACAAAAAACTAGGGTGTGGATTGCCAATCACCTCCACGTGGTCACACCTGGAAACCATCTCCATGGAGATGGGCTAAGCATTGGCACAAGTAGTCATTTCGTTTTTCATAATAAAGCTTTCTTATTCTTATACAAAAGTTTCTTTTATATGGCTATAGGCTTCTCTTATATATAAAGCATGTTCAATAATAAAACGTGTTCATTCAGAGTCTCCTTAACACGTTGCTATGGCAATATGGGTAGTAGGTGGGTGAATACGGTTTACGGGCAGTGCCCGGTGAGAAGGGTATCATGGCGTTGAGGAGGTAGATGTGTGTGGTTAAAGCAAGGAGTTATTATATACGTTGAGCTTTCAACCTTTTTAAGAGTTGTGCTCTACTGATTTTTACCCAAATGTAACGGCAGCACATAGTGCTTCGTGATTACTTTTAATCATGGAGTTCATTAACAATGACGATCATGAACGTGTGACAATAAGGGGTAAACAGCGAGTTGCTCCAACAATGGTTTATGGATGTTATGGTGATGACGCATGAATATAGGTGTATGCACACAACTAGTTTGAGATATTTATTGTATCCTACGTACAGCTACTAAGGAATAATGAGATGGGGTGATGGAATTACTGGATTGCTCACTTAAGATGGGATGGCATGTTTATTGGTAATCACCTTCATGTCCGGTCTTTGTTGCTTGAGACAATTGATTCTCGCATCCTCGGCCACAGTGGAACGGTAGAGCGTAATGCATTTGAGTTTTGTAAACGTTTGGATTGCGTTCCAAAAGCTGTCGATCATCCCCATGCCGTAAATCGATAATCCACATTTCTTCAAATGTGGAAGACGTTTCAGTGTATTGATTGAATCGGCTGATGGTGCAGTCTTGCATTTGAGTTCGAGGGATGATAAAAGAGGACATGATTTGACAAGCCCATTCAAGAAGCTCTGCATTGGATAGATACCCATTCTCCCGTAAACCTGATCTTTAAGCATTCGAGGTGATCATGTCGGTGGATAGCATCAAGAATAAAGGCGACGTTGTTACAGCTGTTGAAATGAATCACCAATTTCTTCAACCGCATTTGGATAGCAATACGATTAAGATAGCATAGGATGGGCGAGTCATCATCATCATCATAGGCGTGCTGAGAATTGAGGTCCAAATCAAGCGACTTCAAGTTGGGTGGCATCGTATCAAGAACTTGAGGATGCATGCTGGTCATTCCCACTGTCAATGCTAATTCCTCCAGCATAGGCGCATTGCGTATTATCTGCCATCCACAAGAAAAGAGACAAAGCTTTGTGAGCCGAGGGAATTGGATGTTGTCAATGGTCTCGATGTCATGGCTAGTATCCATATCCCATTCAAGGTGCTTGAGTGTGTTGTGGTGTCGCTTTACCACCGAGCTCGTGTCCTTGCATATATCCGTTCCAAAATCCTCAGTGTCGATAACAATCTTACTCATGCCGCTCTCCTCCTTGTAGACTTCTTCATGCAAATATACCAAACGAATACTGGCACCTTCCATAAAGATACCAACGCTGGTCATCGCTGGATAATATTCGGGAGCAACAAGCGCTGGTTGTACATTGGTGCATGGCGAAAGCTCCAACTCCTCGAGCGATGGAAAACGTTTCCAAACCTCGATGACATGATCACAAGTGATAGGTTTTTGCAGAGGTAAAGCGTAGTGTCTTTATTGTTGGACAATGCCACATGGAGAGAGAGCTGACATCGGGATCGTAGCATGACCATATACGAAGGAAAACGAGGTTGGGACATGCCAACACAACCTTCGGTACGCTCAACATTGGACCACCTTCCATATCAACATCAAAGTGGGTCAAGGTGCTGCTGACTGATTTCAACGATGAGAGAAAACGGCCAATGTACATACTCGTGAATTCTTTTTATAGAAGTCAATGATAAGTAAATAGTGCTTTTAAAAGAAGGGCATAACTTACTCTCAATGTCTAGCTGCAGTAATGATGAAAAGTGATTGTCACCAATCAAATCACCCAACCATGTTCCTTTGGTATATTGTTGAATGGCCAACACCTTGATATGCGGAGCAAACTCCATCAGTGCTGCGAGCGTCTTGCCTCCTTCTGATCGAATCCAGAAACGTAATCCTCCAAGAGACTGGATAATACGCTCACGCCATAAGTAAGAAACATACAAAGCCGGGCTTGGTTTCAATCCATCCATACAATCATCCTCCACAAACATAGGGACGAGTAGCGATATGACAAGGTCAAGAGGCAGTTGGCGGATAAAGTCGATGCATGTGGCATGGCACTCCTCAGCGTGGTTTTTGGCTTGTTGCAATATAGCATAGTCTGAATCCTTTGTAAGAGCCATGTTGAGTCCTTTGTTGCAAATATCGATAACATGATGCTGTTTTCCTTGGTCACAGTAAATGGAGGCTTCGCGTAAATACCCAAGTGCTGAGGCAGGCGACAGGTGTTGCATGAGCTTTGCATCCTGGAGAGCGGCAATGAAGTTGACACACTTTGACAGCCCAATGGCGCGGTCATTGAGAGTCGACATGATGGAGTCAATGGGTTGTTGCAGGTGAACAGTGGAATCTTGTACAAGCTTTGTGTATTTTCCAGAAGAAGCAATGGGCATAGGCTGTTGGCATAAATCGTTCCAAATAGAGTATGTCATTGTATGCAGGTTGAGGAAGAAGTGTGTGACAAGCCCAAGTCCCGCTCCCAGCTTAAAATTGCTGGCTCAAAGGGGCCCCAGTCATCACCGCCTTTATTCGCTTTATTCCCACAACGACTATTTTCTATTCTTTAACACCCTCTCTAAAGCTTTACTTTTACTCCTTGTCGACATTCCTCGTTCGCCATCTGCCAACAGAATTGGTTTCAATCAGCATTAGTATCTTGCTTACGCGTCATCTCCAAAACAACCTCGGTAGGTCATCGCTTGCGTGTACTCGCTTCAGCTTCCTCGTCTACACCAGGCTAAACAACTTCCACGTTTGATAATACCGCCTCACTGTAAAACGATCGCCAACAATCAGAATTGCTCAAGCCTGTTCAAGATCGTAGAAACCTTGGAATCTTGGCTGGCGCAAAGGCACCAGACTTGGCCACACGATTATACACCTTCTATCAAGTAATCACGTCGTCTCACAAACTTACCTCCATGCACTTTGGTATGGTTACAGGAGGATATGGTGTGTGTACTATCGTGGGAGAGTGGGTTGATAGGCTTAAGAGAGGGGTTGCTTGTTTCAGGTTGCTCATCATTATCAAGATTAGGAAGTTTTTCAAGCCCCCAACCATTGTCGCTTTGTATTGATGGATATGGTACGTGCAATATTATCATAGGAGAGAGGGTGGGATGGTTTAAAGGTAGAGGGTTGTTTTTTTTTTCAGGCTACTCATTATCATTATCACCACGAACTTCTTCACGCACCCAACCATTGTCGCTCGGTATCAATGCATATGGTACGTACAATATTATCATACGAGAGATGGTTGACAGGCTTAAAATGGGGTTGGTTTGTTTCAGGCTGCTCATCATCATCGTATCACCATGAGGATGTTTTTCAAGCGCCCAACCATTGTTGCCTTGTATTAATGGATATGGTACGTGCAATTTTATCATGGGAGCGAGGGTTGACAGGCTTATAAGGGGGGTTGTTTGTTTCAGGTTACTCATCATCATCATCACGCACTTTTTCAAGCGCCCAATGACTGTTGCTGTCTATTTGAATGGAAAAGGAACCAATGTCAACAACTACGGATTACCGGCTCCAGGGCAAATTTTGGATCAGCAACTCCTTTACCTTTATCCAGTCCTTGCTTCCCTTGTGCTGTATTTGGTCGCGATGGTTGCTGGATGCTTTCATTTTGTTTGATGTGATGCTCTTGTTGGGTGCTGACGGAGGGATGAATCATTACTTTCTTTGGGTTCACGAGGTACGTTTGTATGATGCATGGATTCCTTCAAGAAGGACCTGGTTTTGTATGTGTGTTTGCAAGCCATCCGGAAAAGCTGTACTCGTTGAATGCCGGGTGAATGGGTATGGTAAGAGCATATGGAGTATGGATACAAGTGGATGGAGCCGATTGTTGTTTCGCTAGCTGTTTTAGTGTAGTCTCTTTGATGTCTGGAAATAAAAATCGTTGACTCAAATTGAAAAGGAGGTTAACAGGATCATTGGTGGTGGAGATGGTGTGATGGCAACAATAGGCTGTCATGTCCTTAACGTTCGCTTTATCTTTCTCATTTACAACCGTATTACTATATACATCAAGGTATGTCCTAGGAGCTCAACATGGATCGTCCATTAGCTCCCATGATTATGAATCGGAATGGCTTCATGATGCAAAGGAGAAAAACCATATCTTATCATTGGTATCTTAAGATATGAAGAAGCAAGACATTGTGGTAGAAACGATTAGATGTATTTTACTTCAAGGTACAATAAATGTAATCCAAAGGCTGACAACGGGCCATTCATGAACGTCAACTACTTGAATCATCAGGATGTGAATGATGCTGCTGATGGATGGATCCCACAGGTGAGTTCCCATGCTTTCTTTTAGCATTTTCTCTCATTGCTAGTGCTGATGTTGGTACATCGGATTATGGTTGTGGAGAATGGATAATTAATGTGCGATGTCTAAAGCTAGCGGGTTGTGAAATATATCTCAGGCATGTCTCCACCTTGCATGATCGCCTCTTTCTTTACCCAATCTCTATTCATAATTGCCCAAATAAACGATCCCAGCACTCCTTCAATCGAACCTATCAATTCTCATCATCAACAACGACAAGCGGTCATTGCAACGGCAACAGAAGAGATCAACCAACTTACATGTCAATTCATGGCGAAGCTCAATGAGCGTTCGACGGCAATGGCGAATGGAGGCAACTTTGATCGTGCCTTGCGCGATGTAGCCGTTATGCAAGCTATCGATCCAACCTCTTTTCTTGGCTACTTGAAGGCAGGCGACATTTATCAACAACAAGGAAGGCAACAAGACGCAGCAGCCATGTATGAAAAAGGTCTTGTGCATGTATCATCATCTGATTATCGTTACACCAACCTCCAAATGCGGCAAAAAGATGCACTGGATGCAGCAAACAAACGCGTCGACTTCATTAGTCAACTACCTTTGGAGCTCGTTGTATCTGAAATATTGCCTTGGGTGATCAACTACTTATACCGGCTAGCAGTGGATACTCCATGTCCTTACCTTTATGTATCACGCACATGGCGACAACGAATCTTGCTTTGCAACAACTTGAGCTTTCATGCTGATGGAGTAACCAACAGCGATGTATTTCAATTCCGTGAGCTTGAACGATTTGCCGAACACGTCAAGACATTGTTAGTGGAAGCAGGGAGAAGCAATTTACATGAGGGTCCTCTTTCAGTTTTCGATGATTGCGATTTCCCAAATCTCACCCATGTAACGATCTGTTGTAAGTGTCTAAAGAAAGAACCTCAGCGTGGTATGTACATCTAACGTATTTCATGTAGATAATGGGTATGAAGAAGACGATCTCATGTCTGCTCTTGAATCTGTTCGCCGAACGATGACGCATCTAGTCCTTTATATGGAGGGTCATACAGAGGAAGATAATGACGATGATTATGGTACATCCCGAATTCATTTGGGTGGTGTACTCGATCTGTGCCCTGGTCTTGTATCTTTGGAACTGATGTCGTTCACTATACACCACCTTACAGTGCAGCATACGACGTTGACGCAACTCACCTTGTCCACTGTTATCTTCCCGCTTTCGTATGATGCGATGATCAACATCCTCTCGCACCTTCCATCACTCGTGTACTTTGATCTACACCACGTTCCAGATTTACGATTTTTAACGCGTCTTCATGTATATTGCCCAGGGATGAAGCTATTGAAATGCGGTGGATGCGATTCTTTTGATGAAGACATATATGATCGGCATGTTCAAGGATTGCAAAAGTTGCGTTTGGGAATTGATGATGTCGACGAGCAATTCAACGCTGATGACCTTGTTCCACTCTTACTTGAAAACCGGCAATCCATCGATCACATTCGCGTGACGGGAAGACTCATTGGTGAAAGCGTTGTACGGGATTACAAGAGCTTGGGTTCATCGTTGACCTTTGACCGTTTAAAGAAACTTGAGGTCCACGCTGCCAATGATCAACTTGCAACACTCGCTCTATCGATCATACACCGATCACCTAACCTTTGCCATGTCCGGTTAGGCTCGCATGCAGCTAATCGAGATACCATATGGAACGCATTGAGAGGATTATCCAACTTCCAAACACTTTCCACAAGAAAAATGACGATGGATTCGATATCGTTTCGCAACATTCTTGAGCATCAAGTAGAGCTTGGCAAGGATTCACTGTTGAAGGAACTACAAGTTGGTATGGGTGCAGATGTATCGACCTTTTCTTGGATGGATATGATTGGTGGATTACAAAACGTGACGAAGGTTGCATTATTGACAACAACCATTGAAACACCTTCAGCATACCTATCAACAAATGCAACCATTGCCGAGGGATGCCCATCTCTTTTGCGCCTTGAGTTATACTTTGGTCGTCAACCAGCACCGGAAGGAACTATCACGCTCATGAAGGATCACCCTACCCTGCAATGTCTTCGAATCCATGCATCTTCGATCGCTGAAAGGGATGTTGTCAATCTCTTGTCGTTCACCAAGCTCAACAATGTCATCATCATCATCGCACCAATCCAGGACTATCTTATCGCGTTGCTCCGTGCCCGTATCCCACACATGAAATACATACCATATTGAAGCTTGGCTTAAGCAGGATACGAGTGGGTAGATAGCTCCTATAGCAAATAAATAGTGAATCATGCATAATGGTGATAGTGTTAGTAATTGTATTGATACGTGATTGTGAGATCAAAGGTGGCCTAATAAAGGCTGCTTATATAGGAACCGTTAAATGCAATCATGGATATTGAATAATATTAAAGGATGAATGTTTTCCCTTAAGGAATACATGAGAATGACCTAGAAGTGATTGAAACCGATTAAGTAACTAGGGAACCACCTCGAATCCAGTGAAACATCCGACTAGCGTAGCTGTCATATAACGTTGGTTCTTGTCATGGATCCTTCTTGAAGATTAGTCATACCACTCGTAAAACTATAGAAATAAGGATAGAGCGATAAGAATAAAGAAGGATCTTTCAGTCTCAACGTACTTTTCATTGTTATATTTTCATTAAACATCACATTTTTACGTTGAATTCTGCATCTCTATCCACCAACATGTCTTCTACCAACGACCAAACCAAGACCCAAGACGTTACCATGACCGAGGCCCAACAACCTCAAGGACAACAACAACAAGACAAGAGCAAGCAAGAGCTCGTAAAGATCATCAAGCACTACAAGGATAAACACGACAAGCCGTTTAGTCGATTGAAGTCATGGAGACCTGACCTGAAGCAATTCGAACGCCGTCAGCCAAACCATTGCCAAGACCCAAAGGCTCTCGATAGCTTCCGCGCCTTTATACCTATGACGAATGGTGAAAAATGACTTCTGCTAAAAAGGAAAAGGCTAAAAAGGCGCAAGGAAGGTGGCAATACCACTACAAGAACTACAAATGGAATTAGCAGAAGTGCCATTGTTCCAGATTGCTGGTTTCTCTGTGTTCGATAACCTTGGGGAGGTATACCCAACTGCTGAGCACTTTTGAACCGCTTCGAAAAGATCTTGAATGCCGATACCATTGGTTGCAAAAAAGACTTGGAAAAGATGGCTACCTTTGGCGGGAGTGCCCGGCTTGGATCATTGGTTCAAGGGAAAGGTTTTGCTCGTAAGGGCATGACTTGGGACCGGGCGTAAAATATTACGAGCGCTTTACTGCTGCGGATCAGCAAATGCACAAAGGCTAAGAGCGTCGCCGCGGTACAGTGCAGTCAGTTGCTGATTATGGAATACCATTTCATGAATACCTGTATAGAGGGTGGTCTCGAAGACAACCATAATTTGGCTATTCGTTTCCTCACTTCTGCTTTGCAGAATGAGATTCCCGAAAACGTTCGGTAACGTGAATTGTCGCGGGCAGTCATAAGCCCAAACGGGTTAGTGAAGAATCCTCAAAGTGGCCAATTCATTGACCATTTACAAGCGTAAGCGTGAGGAGGATCCGCAATCCAATGCTGGTAACCGTGACTGGTGCCCTCATCATCAGCAGTACGTTAAGCACAAGCCTGCTGACTGCAACCAGCGGTCAAGTCCAAGCCCAAAGAGCAACAAGGCTAAAGCAGGTTGAGTCTTGCGAAGATGGGCTTTGCATTTATTGTGAGAATGGGGATCCTGATCCATCGTTGTGACGAATACCGCGAGGCTAAAAAGAAAAAGCGGGAAACGACAAAGAAAAGAAGCTCCAATGCGCACTTTACTGCGCGCTGCTACTACTGCCGCCGATAATACATGCAACTCAGCTGATCCTGAGCCTGCTACCGATAAGATGGAGTCCACCGATATGGATGAAGTCCCTCACCCTGCCGATGATGCCATGGAAGATGTTTTGGAGGTGACACGGCGAAAAGTCATCAAGGCGCCATTGTTCAGTCTTCTGATGAAGTGTTTGAGCATGTGTCAACAAAATCCGCCGCCTTGCTCATCAATTCTCCCATTCTTATGGGGCAATATGGCATTACTGGGCCTTAGTAGATTCAGGAGCTGAAATTTCATGCAGGTAATAAAGATGACCATGATAATAATTGGACTGTTATTCATTGAAGTGGGAACTACTGCTATTTATCTGGTTAATTTTGCGGTGATCATTCTGCACGGTGATGATATATGAGCATTATAATATCGTATTCACTAGAACTACATTTGTCTTTGAAGTGATGGAGGATCTTGATAAAGAGGATGTCATCATTGGGCGGTTGATGCTATTGGACTTGCAATTACAGGGACGCTGTCCGCTGGATGATGAAGAAGATTCTAGTGAAAACGAGAAGCCTGATTCAGACGCACTCTATTGGCTGCAGGTTCTGATGATGAACGTAAAGCTTTCTTCAATGGGATTAACAAGTTCCTTGAAGCTAATGCTAACATCTTATCCACCACGTTTTAGCAATTCTAGTCGTTGGCTGGAGTTGCCCACGCCCGATGGTGTCACTTCATATCACCGCCAATATCCATACCGTTTAGCTGAGACCAGTTATTGATGCTGTCGAAAAATGGCTTGAAGGATGGTGTCATTATTCCAAAAGCTCAAGTCAACAGTCTTGGAATAGTCATGACGTGGCTGATAAAAAGGATGCATGCAGCAATAAAGCAGGCAAAGACCATGCCCAGTCCCGTCACCATAACCATTACCTGCCTGACGATCGATATCCATTGCCGCTCATTCGTGAAATCTTTGAATTTGGTTAGACAAAGGTATTCACTACTCTTGACTTGACGAAACCTTTCACCGCTTTAAGATCAAAAGAGATGATCGGCATAAAACCACGTTCACTCACAATGGTCGCAATACATGTTCAAGGGTGTCCATTTGGTTTTCAAAACCATTTCTTCTAAATTTCAGCGGGTCATGCATATGGAATTTTTAAAGACATGCCATTCAATTGCGCATTCCGACGATAGTGATCTTTTCCTCCGATATGGATACACATCGTGAACACGTGCAACAAGCTATACATGCGTTGACCTGCAAGCCATTGCCCAATCCAAACAAATGCCACTTTGCCCAAAAGGCATATACCTATAGGCTTCTGCACTGATCCGCAATGTTATTAAACTCGATCCTCGTAAGGACGTACTCCGTATGACGTGGCTATACCACAATGTGGCAAGGACATTCAAAGGTTCATGGGCATTGTTAACTACTTCAGGAGTCACATCCCTAATGTATCCCAAACAAGCGCTCCCTTGAAGCTCTACGTGAAAAGAGGTCCTTGAGAGGTTACTGGACTCGTGACCATACGTTGCGCTTTAATAAGCTTAAAGAAGCCTTAGCTGCAACTATACACCGAAGTATCGATCTGAATGAGCCTTTTTATGTCGCCACAGATGCCTCTAATTATGGCGTGGAGCGGTTCTCTTTCAATGAGGCCTTAGCAGGCACGATATTGGCTTCTGCGCTCTGCGTAAATCGGCACGGTAATTATAACAATAAAGAGGGAGTTACTTGCTGTTATTTATGCTCTCGACAAATTCCATCAATTTCTTTGGAAAATCAGTTTACTCTTTATACGGATCATAAAAGCCCTCACGTATCTTCATACTCAAAAGATTGCCAATCAATGATCAATTGGTTGGATACCATCCTTAACTACTCTTTCAAAGTAGTGCATCTACAATTCTTAAGAATGTACTTCACAGTCAGCTCTCTCGCTTGTTCACCCCAAGTGCAGCTGGGAGGGGAGCAAAATTGCCTCCAGCTCAACGAATTGCTATCAAAGCAGAAGAAGAAGAAAGCAGCTCATTACTGCACCTTCACCCAAAATCCCAACCGATACATTGACTCCAACCACAGATGCCGACAAACAAAGTGATCTCTTGAAGAGATGCTCCTACCCAAGTTGGCCATACTGGTGAACGGTAATCGGAGTACTTGCAACACAAAAGGCGTACCATTGGAATTCCATACTCCAGGATGCCGTTGAAATAGTAAAACGTTGTTCACAATGCCAAAAGTATAATATTGCGAAGAAGGTATAATCCTCTACGACCAATCTATTTATACCATGACGATGGGCTGTTGACTGGCCTCAAATGAACAGCACATTCTGTATGTACTTACTTGTAATGGTAGACGTATGTACAGATTCTACATCCACGCGCCTTGCCTAACAAGGAAATCGATGCAGTGGTTCATGCCTTCACCGTCGCGCGATTTCGGCTTACCTAAAGTCATCCAGGAAATCTGACAACGGGGCTGGGTAAGAATCACCTCGGCTTGTCGATAGCTTGGGAGTGAGCGCCTTGGGACTCACAACGCCTTATCATCCTCGAGCAAATGGCATAGCCGAACGTTGGGTGCAATCATCAACTCAAATCGTACGTAAAAGGATCGAAGGCTCTGGAAAAGACTGGGACTACTATGTTCTAGCACACAGTTAGCACTCAATATGCGCGTTTCCAAACGACTGCAATTGCCCACTCCTTAATGTTCGCCGCGGCATCGACGAGTTTCGCGATTACCGACAAGAGGACTCCACAAGTATCAAACCGATGTCGTATGAGCAATTGGTTGAGCGTATCGAGAAGGCATATGCAAAAAGGTCGTGTTTTCGCTCAAAGAAGAAAGAACCATGTTGTATATAAACTTGCAAGAAAAAGTTTACGACCAACACCGCCTCGGTATTCAGCTTCCTGAGCAAGTCATCATGGCACGGGTACAAACACGTGGTACGCAAACTTACCTGCTGCGAGGCCCTACACAGTCTTGCGCAAGACGCAAAAAATTGTCTTACATCTTGCAGGATGAAACGGTTCTATTAATGCTAAGATTATGCACCATCAGAATTAAAGCTCATCTCAAGATGAAGTTATACCCGCTGATGAATTATACGAGGTACAAGCCATCATCAATCGCTAAACGGCAAACCGAGCAAGCAGCTGACATTCTTCTTTTCAGAAGAGTTGCTATTGGCCCTGAAATGATACTTGCGGCTTACACGATAAGTTTACCGACCCTGATTTCATCATGCAGTATTGGAATAGGCTGGTCAAAGATGATCAAAGTCAGCATCATGCCGATAATACATCTTCAAAGCGTAAGAAGCCACAGGCAACATACTACCACTCGACGTAGCAAACGCCTTAGAAAGTAATCAACAAGTATTTGTATACATAAGCATTTGCGACCACCTTATTTTTTCCCACTGGGTTTTTGCACGGGTTTTTATGACGGCGCCATTCATGCGCTCATCTTCAATTTGTGTTACCGCATCCATTTCATGTTGCTCACAATACACATTCCACCACAATACATCCTACACCATACCACCATAATCCTTCCACGTTTGTTCCAAACTGGAGGGGGTAATAATGATATTATGGATGACCAGACTAATAAAAGGATGAATGTTTTCCTTAAAGAATACATGAGCCAAACCTAAGTGATTGAAACCGATTAAAGTAACTAAAGGAACCACCTCGAATCCAATTGAAACATCCGACTAGCGTAGCTGTCATATAACCATTGGTTCTTGTCATACAGATCCTTCTTGAAGAATTAGTCGTACCAAGATCTCGTAAAACTATAAATAAGGATAGAGCGATAAGAATAAAGAAGGATCTTTCAGTCTCAACGTACTTTTCATTGTTATCCATTTTCTATTACCAAACATCACAATTAGCAACGCTAATTAGCTACGGTTATACGAAACAACAGCATGTTTGTGCACTATTCCGATAACAGAGCGCATCCATACATCCAAGCTAATGCGGGTTATTGTTTCAATTGATCACGCTTTAACATTTCCTCATCCACATGATTGGAAATAAGTATTCATGGATACATCATAAAGCCTCTGCAATGATTCGATTATATCTATGCCCATCGTGAGTGTGTTCCCTTCAACAAAAAATGACCGTATTGAAGGGATTACGCAACCGTACTACAATAGCTTTAGCTACTACACCGCCACACAGGCAAAAATGGAAGGTGTGTTGTGTGCAGCACTCTGCCGATAGATTACGTCACATCCTTGTATTTCTGAGAGCAGTGGTCATGCATACGACTATAAGGCATCATTCAAAACCTCTATTCACACATATATATATACTAGCGAAAGCAGGTTTATTGATCGAAAACAAATGTCTGGATATGTATTAGAGTTGATTTATTCGTATTCCACTACTTACGAAGACATTCAGAATGGTTGGTACCATCCATCTATAATAACATTCATGTCTGGCCTGTGTTTCGTGAGATGTCGAATTTGAACCTTGGTGACTGGATCTTCCGGCCGTACCCGGATACACCTGAGTTGAGAAAACGTTCGAAGCGTAAGCCAAAAGCTGTCATAGGGGCCCATGTCCTTGGTAGAAAAGGAAAATTGCTTGAGGTGTACAAGTCGTTTCAATGCATTTATGGAAGAGATTGATGGGGCATTCATACAATTGATCTCAAGGCAAGATAGATAAGGACATTTGTTCACAAGCCTGTCAAGGAACCTTTCCATTTGAAACGGCTCCCAATTCCCGCTGAAGCAGAGCATTAGACCTTGAAGCATGTTGAAACGGTAGATGGCATGAAGCACGCTCTCAAAGGCAACCGACGTGTCGAAGTGTATAGTAAGTTCATGTATTTGGCATTGCTTAACCACACGACCAAGATAGCGTGCGATGGTGTTTGTGTCAACGTGGTCCCGACCACCATCCAATTTCAATTTGACCTTCTTCAAAGTGGATGGGATTGTATCAAGAATAGTAGGGCTCGCTTTGATTGCTTTTGATGTCATCTTCAATTCTTCAAGTATAGCCGCGTTGTCTATTATCGATGGTGCGGACGTGAGGAGTGATAGCTTCTTCAGCCGAGGGTATTGGATGTTGTCAAGGTCGTGGAAGTCTCTTTCGGGCGAAATATCCCATTGGATTTCTTCGAGTGTTGTATGATTCTGTCTTAAAGCAGGATACAAATGCGTAAACGCAACATCGCTAAATTCTTCCCAATCGTCCATGCAAACAGAAATCTTGGTAACCTCAACCTTTTCAGATCCAGTGTTGCGATCTGAGTAGGCAACCCCCACAGAGAGTTCCTCAAACGCAAGCTCAACACTTTTCAACAAAGGGCAATATCTTGGTATGATGAGCGCCGATTCCATATCCGTACATGAGTGAAGGTCAAATTTCCTGAGAGCTGGAAACCGCTGGCAGATGCGTATTATCTCATCACGATCAAGGCTTGCTCCTTGGCAGAAGAGCGATAATGTCGTCATGTTTGGCCATGGTGTCATCGGGACATGCTTGAAATCGTCAAAATTGGGCTCGTGCATTGTAAGCGAAACGAGGTTGGGACAAGCTGATAATACTCTCGCCACAGGCACCAGGGCGTCATAGTCTTCAGGAATATCCAAATGTGTCAATGTGCTGCCGATTGATTGCAACAACGAAACAAAGCAATCCATATAGCCAGGTCCCATTCCTTATATGAAGAAGGTTGAATAAGAGTACTTTAAGAGATGAAGCCCACACTTACCATCCACGTACAACTCCTGCAGCGAAGAAAAATCATTCTCACGTAATAAATCAGAGAGCCAGGTTCCTTTGGAATATTCGCGAACATGCAATGCCTTGATGTGCCGAGCAAACCTCACTAATTTTGAACACTTTTCAAGGTCTTCCTCTTCTTCCTTGTCCCCAGTCTTGAAACGCAATCCATGTGAACATCGCAAAAAGTAATCACGCCATGCATTTGACACATGCAAATAGGGACATGGCTTTAATGAATCCAAAGCTGAATCACCAGCAATCATAGGAATAAGCGTTGCAGCAACAATGTCGATAGGAAGCTCGCTTATGAAATCGATGCGTTTATCCTGCTGTTGCATAGCATCGACCTTGATAGGTAGCAGTGCTGCATAGCCGGGATTTTTGGTATCAATAGTGTCGAGCGCTTTGTTGCAAACATCAATGAGATCGCGCTGTTTTCCTTGCTCGCTGTAAATGGTGGCGGCACGTACATATCCAAGTGGTGAAGTGGGCGAGATCTGCTGCATAGCTTTGGCATCACGAAGAGCACAATCAAAGTTGGCAAGCTTTGACAATGGCATGGCGCGCCGATCCAGAGTGGACAAGATCGATTGAATGGATTGATGGAGTCGAGTGGTTGATTCGTAGACAAGCTTTGCGTACTTTTCAGTGGAGACTGGCTGAGTGGGCTGTTTGCATAAATCGGTCCAAATCGAGTCGTCCATTGATGGTTGGCTGGGAAACAAGAAAGAGCTGTGCCACCACGCAAAGGTAAAAATTAGCGGATAAAATCCACCGAGGTAACAGGCTGCTGCTTTATCCCCCTTTTGCTCCAACAACGACTCCTTTCTATACTTGAGCATCGTTTTAAAGCTTTACTTTTGCTCCTTGCCGACATTCCTTGTTCACCATCTGGCAACAGAATTACCTTCAGCCAGCATTCGTCTCCTTGGTTACGCGTCATCTCTAAACAACAACTTCTGGTGGCTCATCTCTTTCCTGTACTAGTTTCAGCTTCGTCTCCACCACAACCTTAACCAACTTCCACTTGGCACGAAGCCGCCTCCAGTTAAAAACGATCGCCACAATTGCTGTACGCTCATCTGCTTCAAGATCGTGGTCCTTGTTTTCAGCTTTACTAGTACAAAGGCACCCTACACGTCCAAGGGAAACACTCGTGAAGCCAACAGACGAAAACGTACTCGCAACATGCGTTGATGCACTTTGGATTGCCTGCACGTATCGGTATGTTGAATATCATGAGAGGCCATGTTGGCAGGATTACAACAGGGGTCATTTATTTCATGGTGCTAATCATCATTTGCTTCAAGAGGTACTTGTTCAAGCACGCTCGGCCATATGACCCTTCAGCAAAAGCAAGGATTGCAAAACACACGACACTTTTTATCCGAACACGTCTGTTGCCATGGAATTGCTCCACCTCTTGCTATCCATGTTATGCTTTTGCGAGGTTCCTTGATGGTGTCATTGTTTAGCGAACCGTGGCGGGTATTGTTTTACTCGACGCTCAAGGATGGATGAAGGGATGAATGAGCCTATGGGATGATGAGGTAGGTTTGGTGGATGATGGGTCTTATGGATATCTTTATACAAGGAGGTACAGGTGTGGTAAGTGTATTCAGGCAACCTGGATAGCTAAGGATGATGGATAAAGGCAGGATGGATATGGAGTTTGGATATTATTGGATACTGTGTATTGTCGTTAGTGTAGTCTTGTGCTCTATCACAATAAAAAGCAGCAGTATAATACCTTGGGGAAGATAATCGTATCACGCTTAATGTTGATGGTGGTCATGATGTTGTATTGTCACAACCAGCTGGCTATTATCCAACACATGTATTAAAGCAAGCAAGTCCAAAGCACTTCGAGAAGCTCTATTTTGGGTACATGATGACAACAGTAATGATTTATTTTGATCCTTAGTATAAATGGCAGTGAAACATGGAGAGGTATTTAGGTGGTGAGCCCATACATATGAATTTCAGAAAATAAGACCTTTCAAGCTGAGTGGACGTTTGTTGATGATGATCTTCAAGTTAGGCCATTGTCCCTGGAGATATCGAATAGCATCCATGTTGGCACCCTTTACAGAATATATGCGAATACATTTGAGCTGTTTAAAAGTTTCAAAGGCATGCCAAATATTATCATCGGGATCCATCTCCTCGACTGAAAATACAAGTTGTTTCAAATCTTCAAGTTGTTTCAAAGCATTCACTGTATATGTCGACGGTGCGTTCTTGCAGTTGATTTCAAGATTGGATAGACGAGGACATCCCTTTGCAAGCCCATCAACGAAGCTGTCCATTACATAGGAATCCCAAACACAAGAACGCCATGTCCTTGTAAAGATCAAGTTCAAGCTCTCAATACGACCAAGATGTTGGATTGCTTCGAGCACATTGCTAATGATAAGCGCGTCGTGGAAATGAATAACAAGCTCTTTTAGCTGAGAGTGATTGGCAAGTCGATGGAGATACGCTGAAACAGCTGCTTTTTCGTCACGGAGATAAGGTGATGCATGTCCCAATCTCAATTCGAGTCTCTTTAAATTGGGTGGTATTGTATCAAGCACTGCCGGATTTTCCCTGATTGTACGGGATGTCATCGTCAATTCCTCAAGTATGGGTGCGTTGCGTGGTATCCACCATCCAGAGTTAAAAAGAAAAAGCTTCTTCAGACGAGGGTACTCAAGATCATAGACATCCTCGTTGTCATTGGCAAAGTTGACGTCAATTTTCAAGTATTCAAGCGTTTGATGGATCTCCTTCAATATAGGAATGACACTCTGCCAAGGGTCACGGAAATCATCAGCTTCCCAAAACGAACAATCCACATACACTGAAAGATGCGTAATCCCAGCATGGTTACATGGGGGCCCTTCTTCCGAATAGGTAAGATCAGCAATGGGGCTATCCATGCAAATGTGAAGATGTTTCATCCTTGGGTAACTATCCAAAACAACGCGTGTCAATTGTATATCTTCACATGGATAAAGTGAAAGTTCCTTGAGTGATGGAAAACGCTTGCCAATCGCTTTAATTTGATCACAGCCAACATCCTTTTCTCCCTGGGAGAAGGATAATCTAGTAATTTTGGGCCATTTTACCATTCGAAGCGAGCTGAAATTGGTGGCAAATGGATGGATAATGTCCAGTGAGACAAGATTGGGGCAGTTGAGGAGAATATCGCCTATCGCTAACATGCTGCCATCTTCCTGCTGGATATAAACATGTGTCAAAGTGTTGCTGATTGACTTTAGCGATGCCACCAGGTAATCACTGCAATCAGCCGTAATGCCTTTTGGAAAAAAATGGTGAATAAAAACCCATAAGGAAGGAATACAGCAACTCACCTTCAACGTTTAGCTCCCGTAACGAGCAAAAGTCATTATTGCGCAGTAAATCACAAAGCCATTTTCCTCGCGTAAATTGGTGAACATGCAATTCCTTGATATGACGAGAAAGCTCAATCACTTGTTCAAAGTCGTCGTCGTCTTCAGAAAAAGTCTCAAAACGTACTCCATTGAAGGTTTGGCTGATACGATCACGCCATGTGTTGGATACATGCAAATAGGGATTTGGCTTCTTTAAGCTGATAGCTGAGTCATCCATCATGAAGGGTAAAAGCGTGGAGATCACAATGTCGACAGGCAGTTGACGAACAAAGTCGATTCGTTTACTTTGATGTTGGTCAGCATCCATCTTGGCTCGTGTCAAATCATCATAGTGGTTATCCATGGTGTCCGCCATACTCAATCCCTTGTTGAGTACATCGATGACTTGAAGTTGTTTTCCTTGCTCACTGTAAATGGCGGCTGCACATAGATATCCAAGAGCTGAAGAAGGCGATAGCTGTTGCATAACTTTGGCATCGCGAAGAGCAGCATCAAAGTCGGCGCACTTTGTCAACCCAATGGCGCGTAGATTCAGAGCTGACAAGATCGATTGAATGGGTTGAAGCAGTTGCGTGGTCGAATCGTAAACAAGCTTTGCATATTGTCCAGAGGAGGCTTTGAGTATTGGCTGTTTGCATAAATCCTCCCAAATCGAGTGGTCCATTGTTGGTTGGCTGGGAAACAAGAAGTGGTCGTCGCCACCCAAACATGAAAATTAGCGGATAAATCCTCCGAGTCCAGCAGGCTGCTGCTTTATTCCCCCTTTTTGCTCCAACAACGACTTCTTTCTATACTTGTCCCAAGCCTTGCTTTTGCTCCTTGTCGACATTCCTCGTTCGTCATCTGCCAACAGAATTGCCTTCAGCCAGCATTCGTCTCCTTGGCTACGCGTCATCTCTACAACTAAGCTGGTGGCTCATTTCCCAGTGCTCGTTTCAACTTCGTCTCCAGCACAACTCCAAACAACTTCCACCTTCGACAATGACGCCTCCACAGATGTCCACCTCCCCAACAACCGCTCATTGTCTTTGCTTCTTGACGTCTTGCCGTTAGCTTGGTGGTCTTGCCTAACCCAAAGGTACCCAACAAGGCTATAACAGGTAAACGTGCTGGCAGCTTTTCAATGCGCGTAGAATACATTCTGCCATGGTTACAGGTATTGGTACGTGAAGTATTAAGGAGGCAACGGCAGTATGGTGATACAATGGTCAAATGTTTCAAGCAGCTAATCATCATCGTCATCATCATCATCATCATCATCTTCATCATCATCTTCATCATCATCTTCATCATCATCTTCGCTTTCATCATTAACATGAACGTCAGCATCGACACCGACATCATCATCATCATCAATAGCATCATCATCATCGTCAATAGCATCATCATCACCATCAATAGCATCACGAGCATCATCAACATCAGCAAGTACTTGCCAAAGCCCCAACCTCCACGTATGCTGCCGAACGTGATTACCGATGGATGCCTTTGCAACGAGTTCAATTATGATGATTGTACGCTGCACGGCACCTTTTACCCGCAAGCCTTTTATCATGATCCAGAGTCATGTCAACTCGTCTACGTCTCGTTACTTTCATTCTATGGGGTTACGGCATTGACGGATTGTATCATTATAGACCAGGTTTACTCAAGCAGTGCATGGATGGGTAGGAGTCCTTTGGGATAAGGGAGTAAGTATGGATCATGGATCGATGGGATATGGTTGCTGACAGAGGTTCAGGATTATGTATGTGCTGGATGGAGGCTCTCGTAAGTTGAAGGAACTGACAATGGATATGGTAAGAGTTCTCGGAGCTATGGTGGAGCCCGCCTATTGTATTTGGTAGCTGGATGGACTAAGGTAGCTTTATGATTCATGAAAAATAAAAATGGTCAACTGTGAAGGATTACTGGTATTGGTTCGTGAGGGACATTGGCAGGGTCATCATCATCGGACTATCTTGGATGCTTGGTCATGAATCTCATCATTGCCGCTATTCTTGTCGTTGCTCTGCTCTCCTTCATCATAAACAAGCTAACGTCTTCATTGAATAAAAGCGCAGTGTGATTACCTTGTGCCCTTGTCTAGCCTTGGCTTTGATGTCTTTCTCATTGGAACATTGTTTTGTCTTATCGCTTTTTGTGCGACCTTGTACATAGACGTTGTGATCGTGTACCTTTCTATCATCGACTCACTCTTGCTATCCTTGTTCTTGGACTTGAACTTGATAGGTGCGCTTGCCTATCATTCATATGGCATTAGCTTCTTGATTTATATCCTTAACTGCATACTTTAATGACACGACACAAGTACGCAACAAATTTGTAAGATACATGGCATATATCGTAACTAGCGAATATTACATCCTTCCCTGAGAATACTGGTAGGATGGACATAAGGACTGGCAAATGGGATTATCACTATAAGGAATACAACGATGGGGCGTTTGGATTGTACAATTCTCTTGTTTTCTTTTTCCTTGAATACTTTGTAACTATGCTAATAACATGTGCTTGGATGCATAGATCTTGTTATGGTGGATAGGATGGAGAAGGCAATGGGTTGGATCATCCTAACCTTCGATGCAGTGTAACCCCAGCTGATCTTCTCATCTCGAAGTATAAAATCATGGAAACCTTAACTCAATCCTGGATAAAAAAAGAAACGAGTTTTTGGCAAAGTAATTGATTTGCGTCTGGCGATATGCCATATGAAGAATATTCGTCTTTTGCCTATTCATGCAAGCAAAGAGTGGTAACACAAGGAGGCAATGCTAACGGCTGATGCGCGCTGATACCATCTTGCAAATCCAATGTAAAAGAGCAACATCCTGTGGTTATCTTCTATTTCTAACAATGCTAGATGACTCCATTATAAGAAACAAGCCATTGGTATGTCGTTATTGGATGCATGCCATGGACGTCCTTAAATCACCCCTATTTAAGATGACTGAAAAAAACGTCTGCGATTATGCAGCCCCCACTTGGAAATCGACCAAGTCACCCAAGCTCAATCTGCAACAGCTTATTCTTCTTCTACAACTACTCTGTTCACGCCTCCCACCTCCTGTACACCTTTTCAGCACCCTTCAGCCTTCTCCATTGTCGCCATTCACTCCATCTGAAACTCTCCATCTATAAGCATCGCGTGTCCTTGACGGGTTCTTGTCATGGCAACACCTTCTCAGACAACACTATTCACGGCACTCGATACACCCAACGGAACATAGGCTTCTTCACCACTGTTGCAATGCACTTTACAAACACATGCTGGTCAACCTCATTCTCTCCATCTTGTTCGCCATCCGCAAACGCCCTATCACCAGAGCCCACACAGCGCACCAGCTTGCGTTAAGGACATACATGATCAGAACTCGGCTGGTGGCCACTATCACACCATGTATATCTGCAACAACAATAAAGGCGAGGTTCGAAAAGCGTAGTGCACATAGCCACAAAATACAGTAAGCACTAGTTGTATGATTGTTTGCATTCCTTGGCTGATGGATTAGCGTGTCTATGGTGGTGTATAGTCCTACAACAACATGTGATGATCAAGGCAGGCACCTTTTTGTACGCCTTTTGCGGATACATGTGGTAAGCTATTCTATGCAGATCTTGAAAACGCTCGGTGTCTATCGATATTGGTCATGATGATTATGAACCTTTGGCCGATACGATCAAGATTGGAATATTGCGTGCAAGATGGTAAGTGCCATCATGGTTTATGTGGTTGGTGTATACGTGGATATTTCATGTCACTGGCACCTACATGATTGGGATGGATGGGCCATAGCAGCGGGAATGAGTTACTTGGCTACAATATTGCTCATACTCACCCACACCGATATGCCGAATTGGAACCACGTTATTATGAAGAAGGGATGACCAGAAAGCGCTAGGATGGTACATTACAAGGTATGGATGGCTTACAAATATCGAGATGGTGGATGATGGATTGATCGGCTTGCTAACAATGGCTTAGTTAGTCATAACGCCTGGTCCTTCAACATGCGAGCTATTGTTGATGTCATTAGAAAAAGGCCTTTTGTGAACCCAAAGATGTTTGAGGTAAGCTGCCAATGTTGCTTGGAACAAGGTATCCACCAATGCTTGTAACCACTGACGTAAACGTGGGTCTTTACTATCAGGCTTTCATCATTCTTATACTATCCTCGGATCGAGATCGCAAGATGTTGGTACGGTAAAGATGATCTTTTGGCAATCATGACACTGACTCCTATAACGATAGCTGATCCCTTATTGATTTACACGCCCTGCTGGACATAGTATGTAAAGTAAGTTGAATGTTTATTTTGGATTGAAGTTTCAATATGGAGAATTGCGCTCATACTAGGGCCATAGGCTGTGAACAACCAAACCGGCGTTGCAGCCTTTCCTGTGATTCAACATGGGCAACCATCTTCTTAGTATCTTCGATACTTTTTCTGATCAACTATACAAGCGGGAAAGCTGCCATAATACTCGTCAACTAAGAGAATACATACATCGAGGATGAGTATATGAAAGGTCAATAAAGCTGTTATTAGCTTACCCATAGTCCATACACAGTATCCAACTGTACTGCATTTTTCTTGACCAGCTTCAGTACACTTTTCGTGGTATTCATCGTATATTGCCGCCTTAAGATATTCAAAAGCGGAGACACTGTTGATAATCGCAACAGCAATAAGGATGGTAGCGAAGAGAAGGGACTTCATGTGGTTGATAGGATAGAATTTACAAACGCTCTATGATGGTCATTTTATATTCCTGAAGGGGTCGGTGTTGGTATCAAGATAGGGAGCCCCATCATGTACGCTGATTCATAACCAAAACCAGGAAGCAAATGTATTGCGCGCCCCTTACCACAAATAGGAAGTAGCTCACACATCACATATCAATACCTTCCCCATATTTCCCCATTGGATTCCTTTAAAGATAAAGCTACCGGTTCTACATCTCCACCTAGTGCAGAATGAAAAGTACGTTAATAGCCACCGGTGAAAGTCATGAATATGCTGTTGGGTGTAGTTACCCCTAAATGTGTACACTAGATAACATAGATGGCACAGTAAACAACATGCAGGGGGTGGGGTTAAGGAGGTCTCCATGGCAATCGTCAATGTTGCATAGATCTATAGCAATGTCTCCATGATTGATCAACAATGCTATCGCTGGCAGCAAATGACAATCATCCAAAAGCATCACCAAGGATCACCTTGCACCACTTCATCAATCACAAAGTTGCGTAAAGCGTCCGCCATATCAAGTAAGGTGCTAGATGACGATTATTCAACTGACCTCTTACCTAACCAGTCAACAAAGATGTACTCGATGCTGCATCATTGCTTTTTGCATGCGGTTTCCACCCCTACTTTGGAAAATGGAGATGTATCATAGCAATGTACCAACAGCCTATTTTAGCGTTATCACGATCTCCTGATAAGATAATTATACGCGTGATGGAAAAGGAGTTTGGTCATGATGATGATGGTGGGGACGGGACAGTGGTGGTGGATGATTCTCGAAAAGAGATTCTATTGGTAGTCATTCAACACGTACAAACACCCTAAGTAACCCCCCCAATTCCATATTGGTTGAAAACTTGCATACAACAATGATTACATCGTATGTGTTCACAAAAGCATGCATTGTTGATAAAAGGCCTCTCTTTGCTTACCTGTATTGGCTATAGCAGATGGTGAATACATTCGCGGATATCATGAGGAGAAGGGAAAAACATCCGAGCTTTGTTTAGATGTACATTGTTACACATGCAATCTTCTTTTCTCCCTATGCACCTCCAGTGGCATTGTACTTTTTCACAATGCTCGCATCGGATATGGTTACGTATCCGCATCCAGTATTTGGAGAACTGAAACATTGTTAGTGATGCATACATCAACGAGAATGGCACCAACGACAAATGATTTCATGCTGGCTATAGGGTGATATTTGACACCGCCGTTAACGGATGATATTTACGCCCATGAAGAGATCGGTTTTCCCATCATCATGGTACTTCTTGCATGCGTACATAACCGCACCTGGGAAACTCTACTGAAAGGGCAAGAAAATTCCCAAAGATACAAAGAATAACCTTAAAAGTATACATTTTGATGCTGCGTGGATGTTCAGTAAACAACATGCAGGGGTCACGAAACACTCTGTGCCAAAACGGCAATAGTGAGGGAGGTGGATATTATGACTCTATAGATGCTGTATAACGCTATCATTTGTGTAAATGGAATACTTTTTATAACCATCCTATATGCTTAACCAGTGTTCAGCTTGGGTAACTCCAATTGATGATTGAGCTGTGTGTGACGTACGCTACACCATGGTAATGAGGATGATGATGTATACATGCAGATGCAAACAAACAACAAAGAGGCACACGCTTCATCATGGACCTTTGCAAGAGCTTTCCCAACTCCTGTTTGAATGGAAGCTATCATGGCAAAAGTGATCAGCATACTGCTTTTTGGCAGGGTGAGGGTCTCCTGAATATGGCGAAGCAATTTGATTTACGGTCGAATGGTACCAGTAGCCACGACGAGCATGTTTGAACATCAATGTGGGGTGGCGTTAGCATTCATCCTATTTTAACCACCGTAGTAGAAAATCAGGCCTCCTTCTCATGAACACAGCCTTGTAAACCTGCTTTCCTTTCTCCAACACTCCCACGATGCAAACCCATGTCTGCTTCCAATGGCCTCGTCATCGATAAACGAAATGCAAATGAATCCCTACAGTATGCTCAGCTACGGCTTTATTCAGCAAAAGTACTTTGACACTATCGGTGGGCTCGGATAGTCTTGTTGCCGAGATTGTGTCCGCCAAGATCCTCGTTTGCCATTGACTCCCTTTCGACATTGGTCACCAAGGTGAACTACAGTTTACGCGTTGCCCATGTACGAAGCACTTGAAAGCACGTTTGAGGTACTTTTAAAGCGCGTGGTTTGTGGATTACAGCGTTTCCATGGAGATCGTTTGGATTAACACTGTTATTTAGCGTCACCTCCTATTCATTGGATTGATCATCTTTTTCAGCAACTTAAAAGCACTACTATAGCGTTGGAATACAGGAGCACCATTTATACAATAAGGAAATCGATCGTGAAGGGTATACCTCTCTTGAGATGATTGAAGGTATGTTGGGTTGGGCTGTGGAATGGTATCTCTTTGCTGGATGGAGATTATCAACAGGGTGGAGATCTTTGTGGTCAGTATGGATGTTAACAAAGGAAAAGTCTTAGTTGTCGTGCCCTTGGATGCCAGTTCAACGAATATGAATGCAAGTTGGATGGTGATCAATGAGAACATGGGAGAAGGTCCAGAATGGCTATGGCGATAACGTTTGGGTTATGGAATCATTGGCAGCAGCAATTTCGGATACAGCCTAGTACTTTGTATAAGAAGGAAATGGACCATGGAAATCACATGCTTTGCTTTAATGCTCTAAGGTATGTCTGTTTGTGTTGGATGGATGGGATCTTTTTGCGGGATGAAGGGCGCCATGAGCATGGAGCGTTTATGATGAACATGGAATTTGATGAAGGAAAGACACAGGTGCCATACCCTTGGATGCTGCTATACAGGATATGACGGGATGATGGCGAGCAAGGAGCACTTGGCCAAGAGGGAACATGTTCAGCACGGTAATCGTGATAAAGGTAAAGGATGTCATTATGACTGATATATTTGCGTTGACATGCATCATATCGTAGCTGAAGCTCAAGGGTACCTTCTATACCATTTGGTTTTTCTCGTGACCCCGGGTCTTTCCGTTAGCTCTTTCATTCTTGGATCATGGCCCCTCTTGTTCTATATCAAGGATTTATATGAATATACAGTACCAAGCATTCTCTTTTGCATTCTCGATGATGGAAATGATGTTGGTTTGAAAGGGATGGATGTGCTAGAGACTTTCATGGCGGTGATTGGGATGATGATTCAGATGGTGATGATGATAACGGTTATGGTGGTACTTCGTATTTATAAAAGGAAAGCACAAGTGTTATAAAAGAATAGAAGTATCTTTTGCGATAGGCATGGTCACTAAGAAGGAGGAGATAAGAGTATGTATAGGTTTGAAGTGGATGATGGTCGACTATCGGCATTTGGGAAAGAGGCTGCACAGTGCTTACAGGTATTTACTGTAATGGTGACGTTGGTTGTCTGGCAAGATTTGTGATGTAATAACGGGTTGGGTACTATTGGATGCTATCCAATATGGTGATAACGAGCACCACGTGTAGGTTATAGACGTGTGCTATATAATGGGTGAGGGAAAAGTGGTAGCATTCGATAGGAATGACAAATTAATAAGGGATGATGGACTTATAATTAGGGTACGTGGGCCCTCATGGCCACCGGACAACATGCAGTATCCAATGAAAGAAAAGGGGGAAAATGGGGCGTGTATGTATGTGTGCGGGTTGAAGATGGCAGGCACCTACTGCATCCACTCTAAGAATCATCATATTCATCAAGAACCAGTATTATTGACGCTTACAATGATATACATATCCTTTTTATTGTATAACCCAAGAGACTACCCTAATACCGCTATCGAACCACACCATGTAGCCACCTTTGACACTCTTACCATAGCCATGCTTGTGTTATCCATCGCCGTGATTGTCCATATTGCGGGATACAATACCATCATCAGCCATGAAGTCGTTATCCAAAAGAGCATCATCCAATCCTACCTCTTAACCGAAAGCATCAAGCACACCATCCCATCATCCAACAACGTCATATTGTAACAGAATGCACTGCAAATCAAGGGTGGATGAAAACAAAAACCGGATCGTGAGAAAAGATTTGCTGGTGCAAAAACGCCATCATTTTTTTGACATCGTTGAAGAAATACCCATCATGAGCCAATAGCAACAGCATACATGGAGGTGCATTGACAAGTACCTGATCAAGATGATCGTGATGATGATCAGCAGCTGAAAACAAAGAGCCCTGTTTGCAACCTGCCAGCGTCGCCTCCTACCATATGGTACGTAACAATCCATTATCAGGCTGAAGTGCATCTTGGGATGTGTGTGAGCAAGACCTATCTTGGATGCATTGTGCTCATAATCCATGGCGTTGTTGGGTACTTTTAGGCTAGAGTAGATGACCAAGCTGAGCACCAGGATCTCAAGCAAGCTGAGGCAATGGGATTCGTTGACGATCGTTGTTCACTGTAAAGGTCATTGTCGAAGGTGGAAGATGTTCAAGGCTGTGCAAAGGAATAAGCAATAAACTGAAACACGTACAGCGAAGAGATAAGGCACTGGAAGTTGTTATAGAGATGACGCGTCACCAAGCGGACGAATGCTGCATGGCACCAATTCTATTACCTGATGGAGACCAACAATGTCGACAAGGAATAAAATTAACGCGTTAGAGAGAGCTTCAAGAATAGAAAGGATCCATGGTAGGAGTGGAGCGAAATAAAGCAGCTGGTTTGTATGGCTCGACGAGGTTGCCTAACACTTTTGTGTGTTTGGAAAGTCACGCGGGGCTATATTTGTTTCCCGGCCAACAGCCCATATTCGATTGTGACTTTTTTGCATGTTGGGTGCCTTCATCTCTTCCTTATCCTTCCATAATGATGATACTATAAAGGTGGTCCTCCCATAATACTAGCCCTAGCCCTGAACCCTGACGCCTAAAACCCCGACCTCTTGAAACTTTTTCGCTGGCCATCGACAAGCGAAAAATTTGCTATTGACGATCTCGTTCCTGAAACTTTCACACAAGGTACTTTCGACCATGCTGAGCATGCTGGTATCAAAAAGAGCTCATGTAGCATTCTGAGATTTTGAGTTACAGGTGCGTGTATGTTTTGCGATTATAAAGGTGGGTCTTTTTCAATTGTGACTCATATGTACATTTATAGTGAGATAGGTGCGAAAGATGGTTTTTGTATACGAAAGCGAAGAAAAAAGGATTAACAGAGCAATGGATCATATGGGTACACTATCTGATGGCCATTCATAGATTGGATGCTACTAACCAATTCCATCCAATTGAGTCCATTGTGGATTTGACAACGTGTGGTGAATGCTCCTGCTCCAGCCCAACATTTCCATCATTCAACTATCTTGATCCGAGCTGCTTTGGATGAGCTACGCTTCGACCAGGTTTGCTCTACTCCATACACCCGTGTACGTTGCATGTTGGAAGCGATGTACCCGTTACGTGGCTGTAATTTCCTCAAATCGGCTCGGATCAAAACACCTGAATGATGGAAATGAATCTTTAGAGCAGGTGCATTTATCATATGGTATCAAATCCACAATGGGCTGGATTGGGTGGAATTGGCTGATAGCGAGCAATGTATGAATGACTGTGACATGGCGTATACATATGATCCATTGCTCTTTTAATGCTGTTTTCTTTGCTTTCTTATCCAAACACGGTCTCGTGCAGCTATTGCACTATAAGTGGTTATATGGGTGACAATGGAAAAAGACGACTTTGTCATATAGCATCATGTTTACTGCATAAAGACGACCATCACTCAAAATGTCACAATGAAGCATGGGCTCTTTTTGCAACCACCGTGCTCAGCCCAGCTCAAGCAACCTTGTGTGCCAGTTTCAGGATCGAACTCGTTAATCTCAAATTTGGCCATGTCACCACCCGCCAAAATAAAATCAGGTCGACCTCCAGAAACTTTTTGGCTGACATGGACAAATGCAAAAATTGCTATTGACGAGTTCGATCCTGAAACTGGCACACAAGGTGTTTTCGACCATGCTGAGCATGCTGGTTCCAAAACGAGCTCATGTAGCATTCTGAGATTTTGAGTTACAGGTGCGTGTATGTTTTGCGATTATAAAGGTGGGTCTTTTTCCATTGTGACTCATATGTACATTTATAGCGAGATTGGTGCGATTGATGGTGCTTGTATACGAAAGCAAAGAAAAAAGGATTAAAAGAGCAATGGATGATATGGCTACACTGTATCACGGTCATTCATACACTGCGAGGTATCAGCCAATTCCACCCAATTGAGTCCATTGTGGATTTGACAACATGTGGTGAATGTGCCTTCTCCAAGGTTCCGTTCGATGGTTTAATTACATTGATCCGAGCTGGTTTGGATGAGCTACGCATAGACCAGGTTTTGCCTAATCCATACATCCGTATACGTTGCATGTTGGAACCGATGTATGCCTTACTTGCTGTAATTTCCTCAAATCGGCTCGGATCAATCTAATGAAACCATCAAAGTGAATCTTTGGAGCAGGTGCAGTTTTCATACATTATCAAATCCATGATGGTCTTGACTGGGTGGAATTGGCTAATAGCTTGCAATGTATGAATGACTGTGAGATAGCGTATACATATCATCCATTGCTGTTTTAATCCTGTTTTCTTTGCTTTCTTACCCAAACACGGCCTCGTGCAGCTATTGCACTATAAGTGTTTATATGAGTCACAATTGAAAAAGGCGACTTTGTCATATAGGATCATGTTTACAGCATAAAGACAGCCATCACTCAAAATGTCACAATGAAGCATGGGCTCTTTTTGCAACCGACGTGCTCAGCATGGTCGAAACTACCTTGTGTGAACGTTTCAGGATCGAACTCGTCAATCTCAAATTTGGCCATGTCACCACCCGCCAAAATGAAAACCGGTCGACCTCTTGAAACTTTTTCGCTGGCCATCGACAAGCGAAAAATTTGCTATTGACGATCTCGTTCCTGAAACTTTCACACAAGGTACTTTCGACCATGCTGAGCATGCTGGTATCAAAAAGAGCTCATGTAGCATTCTGAGATTTTGAGTCACGTCCAACTTTATGTTTTTACTAAACGTGAAGCCTGATCGTGAATAACAAGCGACCTTTAATGATCGTGAAACGTCTCGAACAAGAGCTGAACATGAACATGAAAGTATTTGTATTCAAAGATTGATATTGGCAGGATACCTAGCTCAAAAGACCGTAGCTAAATGGATGTTCTCCTATCCAATCCTCTTTCAAATTCCAGCATCTTTGGATTGTCGAAGAAAGAGTAGATGTCAAAGAAGGGCACTGAAGCAAGTACAAGCAATAACGAGAATCTGTATCAACGTTGCCATCCCCAAGAGACGAATTATCATGGGGTGCTGTTGATTAACCAAAGGAAAGCATCATCATCATGCTGACCGATGTGCATATAGGATATACTTTGAACATGAAGCAGCATATAGGTATGACATGTAGCATGTTAACGAGTTGCAGTGTGTGTGTGTGTGTGTGTGGGGTGATAGCTTTGGCTGTTTACAAGTCATAGCACCATCATTCGAACCCTTATCACCAAGGCTGACGAAACTACCCAACCAAGTGGATGTCCTTTGCACGTATGTGCGGTGAATGATCAAAGAAAACATTTACTAAAAGCAAGAAGCAAGCGTTTACGCTCTCTGGTGAAAGAATACTCAAAAGTAAATACTAAACATTGCTACATCGATTTTCATATCTGGTCTACGATGCTTGAGGTCTTTGACATGTTGATCCTTGACTTCAGAGGCAGGGTAAATTGTAATGTGCTTGAGCTGGGTAAATGTCCGAATGGTATTCCAAAAGCGGTCAGCATCATCGGTGCCGAAAATGGGGCATGCAAGCTGGTTCAAATGTCGAAGCTTGTTGAGGGTATGGATGGCATGGATCGATGGTGCACTTGTGCATTTCAACTCGAGGCAGACTAAACGACGACATGCTTTGACAAGCCCATCCAAAAATCGGTCCATTTCATGGGAATCCAAATCCTCCATAAAACTGATCTTTAGGCATTCAAGTTGGTCAAGATGATAAATAGCGTCAAGCATCCCGGCAATGTTTTGCTGCTCGTTATCGAAATAGATCACAAGTTCTGTTAGCTGGTGGTGCTGAGCAATGCGATCGAGGTAGTGTACAATGGTTGCTGGGGCGATAGGGTGTGCTCCTTCAACATCGTCATCAAGCATTAAATCGAGTTTTGTCAAGCGTGGTGGTATCATGGCAAGTACAGCAGGATGTGCGCGGATGGTTCTCGATGTCAACATCAACTCTTCAAGCACGGGTGCATTGCGTGGTATATGCCATCCAGAAACCCCGATCTGAAGAACCTTGAGACGAGGGAATTGAAAATGCTCAATATTCTCGGTGTCCCAACTGGTATCGATATCCCATCGAAGGTGTTCAAGTGTGTTGTGGTGTTGCTTTACGATAGAGGTTGTATCCTTGCAGATATCGTCTTCCAATGTACTTGAATCGATGTTCATCTCTGTGATCCCATGGGCTTGGTTTCCTTCATCCAAAAAGGTCAGCGTAAGGATCGAATCATACATCCAAAGCTCAATGCAGTTCATTGATGGGCTATACTCTGAGACAATAAGTGTGGATTGAATGTCGGTGCATGGTGAAAGTTCAAGCTTTTTGAGCCTTGGCCATCGCTTCCATATGTGGATTATCTGATCACAGGTGATGGGATTGCGTGCGTCGTTGAGAGATAATGTCGTCAAAGTCGGCCATGTTGTCATTTGTTGAACATTGATATTGCCATCCAGCGGATTCATTATGCTGAGCGAAATAAGATTGGGGCAAACCATCATAACATCAGGTGCGCGTAGCTCAGGTCCATCATCCATATCCAATTCCAAATCGGTCAAAGTGCTGCTGACGTGGCGCAATGATGATACAAAGTGGTCAATGTTGCCGCTTCCGAAGCCTTTTATAAAGAAATGTAAATGAGTGGAGCTTATGAAACCGATGTACCTTGAACTTACTGCAAATGACTATCTGCTGTAACGATGAAAATGCGTTGCCACCAATCAAGTCACCTAGCCAGGTTCCTTCAAAGTAGCCTGAAACATGCAAGGACTTTGTGTGCTCAGCAAACTGAATAACGTGTGACATGTCATCATCTTCTTCCACCATGAAACGTAACCCTTTGAAGCATTCAATGATACAATTGCTCCACACATTGCTCACTTGGAAATAGGGACATGGTGCGAATGTCTTCACAACGTTATTCTCCATGATCATAGGAACGAGTATTGTAATGACAATGTCGTTTGGTAGTTGGCTGATAAAGTCGATACGTGTGTCTTGCTGTTGCTTAGCATCGACCTTGGCTTGAAGTAGTGTGGCATAGTGCGTATCGCTGGTGTCAACCTTGCTGAGTCCTTTGTTGCAAATATCAATCACCTGAAGCTGTTTCCCTTGTTCGCTGTAAATAGTAGCTTCACACAAGTATCCAAGTGCTGAAGAAGGTGAGAGTTGCTGTATGAGGTGGGCATCTCGAAAAGCCGATTCGTAGTTGACGCACTTTCCGAATCCAATGGCACGTCGATTCAATGCCGACAAGTCAGGTTGAAGGGATTGATGGAGTTGTTGTGTTGATTCGTAGACAAGCTTTGCATACTTTTCAGAGGAGACTGTGAGTGTGGGCTGTTTCCAAGAAGCAGGCTGTGTCATGCTTGGTTGGTTGTGGAACAAGGACGCCACGGAATTTATTGGCTCCGGTGCTGCCACTCAACAACGCTGCTTTATTCCCTTCATTCAAACAACAGCCCCTTCCTATTCTTGACCCTTCCATCTAACGCTTCACTTTCACTCCTTGTCAACATTCCTAATTCGTCCACTGCAATGGCATTCGCTTTCAGTCAGCATTCGTGTCTTGCTTACGCGTCATCTCTTGTTCTCTTGTTCGCTTGTCGCTTTTACTTGTTTCAGCTTCCTCTTTTCAACAACCTTTACACCTCCCACGTTCAACAATGTCGACTCCTATGGAAAGCAAATGTCAACAGCCATTCCCTGTGGTGCTCATTGTGGTCGACTCTACTAGAACAGCACCACCAAACAAGACCACGGATACAAACGAAGGCCCACCATCCTAGGCTTTTTCATCATAACTTGCATAAATTCACTTTGACATGATTACAGGCATTGGTACGTGGTATGGTATGAGGGTGGAATGCTGGCAAGATGTAAACAGAGGTTGATTGCTTCAGGTTACTAGTGTTCATCATCGTTTTCCAACACTCAATTTTCCAAGCATGCGTGGTATCATCCGGTTAGCTGAATAGGATCGTTTCACAAGGGGAAAGGTGACACATTGCAGGCTATTCTCAACTCAAGGAGGCTTTTTCATCCTGTCGCAGCTCATCATCGTGCCATCCATTATATGCAATCTCTTCTGTCGTGTTGTTCAATGAAGGATTCGTATGATATTCTCAATGCTGGATGCAAGTTCCATGGTGATGGTAATTCTTTCGGTTACTGTCGTAAGTATGGATGCGATCTCGTCATCGTACGGTTGCTCAATGAGGGTCAGGCTTGATTTTCAGGGAATTTGTTACAGCGTGAAACCTACATGTGTTGAATGAAGGCAAAATGGATATGGTAAGAGCGCATGCAGCTGGGATGCAGGTGTATTATGGCCCTTGGCGGTTGGCTAGTTGTATTAGCGTATCCCTCTTGAGTATGTTATGGAAATAAAGGCGTTTTGAATAATATTGTAACAGAGGATAACATGATCATTTATGGTACTTGTGTACACAGTGTACCTTTCGGGATATATATGATGCACTTCCTACCGGGGTATTAGATTGGCACTTATATCGTCATGATCCCAAAACAAGATCATTTTACTGTTACGGTCAATAGGCGTTAGCTCGTCATGCTATACACCCACTTATAGCCATGTACGTCGTGTGGAGCTTGTAATTGAAGCACGATGGTCATAGCATGCATGTATTTTTTAGTTCCATCATGATCGATTACTCCTTACGTTCTTCTCAGCTAAGGCGATGACCGAAAAACATCATATATTGCAAAGTCATATACGTTTAAGGATGGTTGTTCACTGTTCCTTATACATAAGAGCACTATGAATTTCCTTCTCGATACCACTTGCTTTACTTTCAGGGAGGCTGGTGCATGTATGTGGTCGATGTTCCTAGCAATGGGATGCATCATGTGCATGGTTCAAAATCAGCGGGCTGTGAAATACATGGACGCGGGTTGCGAGCTTGAACCATCATCTTCCTCTTTCCCCAATATCATTGTTGACGACTCAAATGCACAACAGCATCATTCTTTCTTTACCACCAATTACCTCCTATCATCAGCAAGGAGAAAGCACTATTTCTACTGCAACAAAAGACATCGACCAACTTGCATGTCAACTAATGGAGAAGCTCAATGAGCGTTCTACGGCAATGGCGAATGGAGGCCAATTCCAACTTGCCTTGCGCGATGCAGAAGCTATTCAATTTATCTACCCATCCTCTTCACTTGGCTACTTGAGAGCAGGCACCATTTACCAGCAGCAAGGACGACAAAAAGAAGCAGTAGCCATATACCAGGAAGGTCTTGTCAATGTACCATCATCCGATGCATGCTACACCAGCCTCCAAATGCAGCAAGCTGATGCCTCGAATGCAGCCAACAAGCGTATTGATTTCATCAGTCGACTACCTTTGGAGCTTGTTGCCTCAGGGATACTGCCTTTGGTATTTCACCGATGCAAGCTGGAAGCAGATGTACCATGCCCATACCTTTACGTCTCCCGCACATGGCGGCAACGCATCTTGAATTGCAACAACTTGAGCTTCCGTCTCAATTATGGACCCATGAATTCTACATTACAATTTCGAGAGCTTGAACGATTTGCCCCACATGTCAAAAAATTGCGGATGGATGCACGGAGAGCGGTGTCGTATGAGGACCCTCTTTTGATATTCGGCGACTTCCATTTCTTGAATCTCACTCATTTCAACCTCAACTGTAAGTATCAATTGATAACACATCCGCATGCTGTATCTGATGTTTCTTTATGTAGATGCCGGGTATGAAGATTACATCATTACGTCTGCTCTTCGATCGGTGCAACATAGTCTGACGCATTTGAAGCTTTACACGGAGAAGAATTACACACTAGGAATTGATTTGGACCGTGTTTTGGATGATTGTCCCAACCTTGTATCACTGGATTTGGCCACGTGGACCATACTGCATCTCACTGTGCAACACCCAAAGTTGACGCATCTCACCTTGCAAATTGGGATTGATCCTCTTCCCAAGGATAAAATGATCAACGTCCTCTCTCACCTCCCATCACTGGTGTTCCTTGATCTATTCCTACTTCGAGATCATCGCTTTGTGACGGCTCTCAGCGTATATTGCCCCAAGATGAAGATCCTACGATGCATTGACGAAGTGTCTTCAGGTCATGACAGCTATGATGAGCGTGTGGATGGATTGCAAAAGCTCTATTTTGGAGCGCAGTGTGATGATGAACCTTACGATGCACATGGCGTGTGTGATATTATGGATATTGAATAATAAAAGGATGAATGTTTTCCCTTAAGGAATACATGAGAATGACCTAGAAGTGATTGAAACCGATTAAGTAACTAAAGGAACCACCTCGAATCCAGTGAAACATCCGACTAGCGTAGCTGTCATATAACCATTGGTTCTTGTCATGGATCCTTCTTGAAGATTAGTCATACCAAAGATCTCGTAAAACTATAAATAAGGATAGAGCGATAAGAATAAAGAAGGATCTTTCAGTCTCAACGTACTTTTCATTGTTATCCATTTTCTATTACCAAACATCACAGCGTGATTCAAATTCTACTTGAACACAAACACTCATTGGATCATGTCACCTTAGCCGGCAGTATCACGGATGCAAGTGGTGGTTTCGATGGTCCCGTCATGGATTCAACATTCCAATTTGATCGTTTGCAAGAACTCGTAGTCGATGCTCGCAATGAGGAGCTCGTTAAGCTCGCATTATCCATCATTCACCGATCCCCTCACCTTTGCACCATCACTATGGATCACCTTACAGCCACCGATGATGGTGTATGCAATGCTGTCAAACGATTGCCCAACTTACGCATGATCACTGCATACCAAATGCCCCCCGATGCACCATCATTTCAGGATTTACTTATCCACCACGCACAGCTCGGCATGGGTTCTTCGCTAAAGGAATTGAACGTTACATTTGAGGTGGATTCCCAACGCTTTCCTTGGATATCAGCCTTGGCAGAATTGCAAACGTTGGAAAAGCTTGTACTATCGACATGGCATATTAGTGCCGCTTCCACGTACCTATCCATTCTGGGAATATTTGGCAAAGTGTGTCCTTCGTTAACATCTCTCGATTTGGATTTCTGGGATTGTACAATACCGGATGGATCCGTTACCCAAATCAAGCATCATCCTACGTTGCAACGTCTTTGCATCAATGCTTCATCCATTAGTGATAGCGACCTCATCAGCCTTTTATCATTTCCCAGTCTCAAGCACGTCATCATCATCCCAACGATCAAGGGATATCTTCTCAACCTGTTACAGACCCGTATTTCACGAGTTGAACAAAGGCATCCCTGACAGTCTCGGTGCCCCAGGATACTAGCATGTAGCCAGACATTGCAGCTAATAAAAAGGAAATGAAGGGTTTGCTGGATTCATTTTTTTTGATACTATCAATGAGTGATTGTAAATCAAGCATCAACTCGCCATTGGGGGAAGACGAGATGCCTATAGCCAATCTTTGGCACAGCATGTTTGAACATTTTATTCTGGTAGCATAGCAACGGCATGGACACGTAGCAGAGATGACCATAGATTAAATGGTTCAATTTGCGGTGGTCATCCATGCGATTGAACACCTCGGGCATTAGTAGCGCCTTAGAAAGGATGGGATTACTTTCATGACCTTTTCCATTGTGATGCTTCTTACAATAAATGCATGTATGGCTATGTAATTTTTCGCCTTCAAACCAAGTCGCCTTTATTCTTTATGAATCATTACACTTCCATGGAGCGTGGTGTAGGCAACATGCTCCTGCGCGACCCCAAATGTGATTTTATCATATACCTCCCCACTATTGGTTTCCTCCTAGCGGTATTGCAGGCCTTTGAATCTCCACATGAATGGAACCACTCATGCTTTAAATAACCCATTCAAAGTACGTAGCCTCAAGACAATACCACCCCCACCGTTATAAACATCACGAGACCCTTTGTATAAATCGTAGATCCCACAGCACAGGGTTTCCTACTCGTACAATTGTCGACGTATCCTCCGGATGGTAAAAAGGGTGTTGATCCCCAATAACGGGTAGAGTAAAACAAAATGATACAGATTTTATGGTTTGAATGGGTTGGTGCTGTAAGGCGATGTTAGCTATTGTACAGAAAGCAGCGGCTTGTAGGATACACCATCCACGTACGAGGTGTATGTCATATCCCAATACGCTTGTAATCAGCAATCTCGTGTACGAGAAACCACAATGAGAGCCATTCATGGTGACATACAAAAGATACGACAATAGTTTTTCAACTTATGAACCACAAAGCAAAGCTGTGACGTTTTACTTTGACATAAAATCCATGTTGATCTAAGACAATCAACATCGTTACAAAACGAATAAGGCTAAGCATAGAGCTTTCGATTGTTTCATAATACATTGCCTTATCGGAATGTCTATATACCATCATCATGTGCCATTACGTGCCATGTAATATGGAATGCATATGACTGTATGCGTGATTGATATTTGTATTGCTGCTGGATGTGCTTCATGCTAACGATGGATAAAGTAGGTTCATTTCTGGTGTAACAAACAAATGTTGCATGATAGCTATGCATGAGGATTTGTAGTATTATGTACTGCTGGTATCTTTATGTCACCATCTGAGTCATCATAGAGGAAGCAAACATTAAAAAAAAAGAATGGTGTACGTATGGTTCAGCTATTACAAGCTCCTGGCGATCACGTGCTTTATTTACTGCAATCATCATTATCACCCAGCATGGATCTTTGTGATGAGAGACTTAATACAGGGGAATTGGGTATATACAAGAATCAATGTCTTTATTTATTATACAGATTAAACGATAGTAAACTTGGGCCTCATTATAAAAGTGGTCGAGCAGGAGAGTGTATGGGTGGGTAGGTTGGGGATTGTTGTTGGCCAATCAAATGGCGTGTTACAGGATGGCGCCTGATTTCCTTGTGGACGCTTTATGCATAAGCCTTGTTTCCGCTTCACCCACTCCACTCGATCTTCACATGTTGCCTGCCACTGGTGTCCCCATTACGATCGACAACCCAACAAGGAATGTGCAACTCGATCAAATGTCATCCACCGTACACGATTGCGACCAAAAGCTTGTGCCAGCCTTTCATTCACGAGCATCGCTACTTTCAGATTGTGGGCAACTCATTACCGACATGGGCGAAGCAACGGCAGCGATGACTATTGCACCTACTTCATCCGTTGGGTATCTTTGTGCTGGGAGAATCTTTTCGGATCGAGGACAACACGCGTCAGCTATCAAGATGTATGATGATGGGTTGCAACATGTACCAAATTCTGATGATGGATATGCGCAGCTCGTGTCAGCAAAAGCGGCTTCACAGGATCAGCTCAACAAGCGTATCGACTTTGTCACGTGCTTGCCGTTGGAAATAGTATCGTCAAACGTTGTGCCAAGGATTTTGGGTGGTCAAAAGATGATGCAGATTGGACCAGCAGAAGGCTATTTGGATGTGTCTCGTACTTGGCGTGAGAGGATAGCAATGGCAGGCGGTTTGACGTTTCGTGTCGGACCTTCACCTTTATCAGCGAGGACCTATGACTACTTATTGGATATGGCACCCTTTATCAAATCATTCACTGTATGGGGCCTTCATGATGGCATGGTGGATCAGCTAACAAGTCGCACAATGTTTACAGCACTGAAAACATTGAATGTTGATGGTAAGTGATGGGACAGCGGAAAAGAACGTGGCACCAACAGCTTATATATGTATATTTGCAATAGTTCGTTCGCGACGCTTCAACCAATTGCTGCCGGTTTTACATTCAATGGGTGCGTCATTGACACAGCTCACTATTGACTACCAATATTGCTATACTTATGGGACGCCTTACCGACTATCCGACTATCTCGATCAATGTCCGAATTTGGTGGCGCTTTCGATTCAACGTGGAATGTTTGATACGTCCTTTGTCTCTTCAAAGTACCCAAAGCTCAAAAAATTGGATCTCATCAAGGTCAACGTGAAGATGGATGAGGATACAATGCTTGAATTCCTTCGACCAATTCCTCAGCTACAAGTATTGAACATCATACCCACGCCATGTTCTACCATCTTGCCAGCCATCCACCAATCATGTCCATTATTGCAGCAACTCTTCCTGGCAAAGAACTTGCCTCCGTGTCTATCTGGTCTTGGTGACATTCATCATCATGAAGGATTGCGTGCAATGATTGTAATGGATCCAGGAAAAAAGCAAAGGTTCAAGGGAGATGATATGATGGGCTATATTGTTAAGCATTGTGATACCATTGAAAGCCTTGAGATTGGACCTGGCTTGAAATTTTCCATGCCAAGAACCGTATTGGGACATGCGGTGATCCTGGATATGACATTTATACGATTGCGCCAAATATCCTATCCTACTCATGCTGGTGCGTGTTACATCCCTTTGATCGTGTGGCTACTACAACTTGCACCTCAATTGGAATCGCTGGAAACTGTGCATGGAAGTATGCAGGCTGCTGTTTTTGAAGAGCTCATGCGCCCAAGTCATCATCATTTCAAGAGTATCGGATTAAAGGCAAATGGGTCATCGGAGGAGACTGAGAAGAGGTTCATGCAGCACCATCTCGCTCTTGGTCATGAATCGAATCTGAAAGAGATCCATATACAGATCAACAACCTCCAGCTATCGGATTCATGGCTCCTATTGATTACGCAACTTACACAATTGAGGCAACTTGAAGTTAGCTGTGAAGGAGCACGTACTATGCATGGTGTAGTGATACCCTTCATCTCCCATATCGCTTCTGGATGCCCTGGATTGGAACGATTTACATTGACGTCGCTATCATTACCCGTTGATTACAAGATTCTCAGTATTATCGCTCCTCATACCACCCTCGCAACTATTTCCATCAACGCCAGCTGTTTGATTGGTGATGCATCGTTGCTCCCTTCTTTTATTGGACGCCTTCAACACCTTCAAGCACTTCATCTCAATCTTCACTCATTCGACGACAACATCTATGCTGCACTCAAGAGCTCATCATTCCAATTCGTATACACGTAGAGAACGAGGCATGGATATTAATACTCAAGGAGAAGGATTGCAGTGATCAACTACCACCCACTCACTATGTAGTCATTGAATCTCAATATAAAATTGCTATCTTTTTACTTCAACATTGTTCGGTGACGGCATCTTCTTGATACATTAGCGTACTGGAATGCATGAAGAGACGTTGGAAGGACCAAGGAAATCATGTTCATCAGCTGATAGACGTGGAATGCCATGTACTCTCTCACATATCGAAAAAGGAAAGCACGCGAACGAATCATTAATCATACGACTGTGACTCAAACCAATGATGGTGTTCAGCTTACAGCATTCCCCAAAAACCAGGTTGCTCCTTTTCCTCCGTTTTCGTTTTTCTCGAACTCTTCACTCAATACTGAACTTTATGACTTCTGGACAAGATATGAAGCGAAAGCAAATTGATTTCATCAGCGAGTTGCCATCGGATATCGTAGGGGAACGCATTGTTCCTAGGATTGTGGGATACGATGGTGGACGCTTTCAGCTACATGGGCGACGCAATTACTTTGCTGTGTGCAAGACATGGAGCAAACGAATTGCTGAAAACGACGACAGTATTCATTTTGATATTGAAAGCCATCGTTTGGTATCACATCGCGATTGGATGCGAGTGCAGGCAGTGGCACCTTACATCAAAACGATCACTGTACATGCGATGATGGAGATACACCTTTCGAATCTTATCCGCTATACCCAATTTTCTTCATTGCATGATTTGAGGATCAAAGGTAAATACATAGGGTGACGTACAAGATAGGCACCAGCACTCATATCCCCATTACATATCCAGTAAAGGGGTTTCAGCAAGTGTGGATGCAACTACTGCGATCGATCCCCGGCCTGAGACATCTCCATATCAAGTTCGAAGCACCAGGGAGCCAACTACAATTATGCAACATGCTGAATCAATGTCCCGGGTGTATTCAATTGAAGCTTACGATGGTTTCAGACTTGAGTTTAACGTCTGGGACATGTCACAATTCAATTTACCCCAACATACGCCATCTTGAAGTTATCTACAGGCGCCGTAATCGGTCTATGAATACGCAGCTCTGCCAGCATTTCCCTGGTTTGCGTCTACTACGATTGTCACATCTGCCACCAACTCAACAAGACGACTTGCATATGATCTTCCAACATTGCCCAAAGCTACAGCACCTGTTGCTAGGCAACCAAAGCTACGTATCGGATATAGAAACCTCCATGATTCAACAAGGGGATTCGCAAGGATTAAGAGTAATCTCTCTTCGTGATGTGTCACTCTATGGAGACGCTATTGCCGATTTGATGCGACGCCATCACGCCACACTCGAAGCATTTGCATTGGAAGGCTATTTTCGATCTTCGGCACCTGTGGGCATGTTGGCTAATGATCCTATTGAGTTCAATCAGTTGCGCTCCTTGAGGTTTCCTCATGAAATGGGGGTACATGTGATCGATCTTCTTCGATGGATTATATCCCGGGCGCCCTATATCGAATATGTGGAATCTCGTGGTGGTGGATGTACGCAAGGGGAGATATTGGATGCCTTGATGAGTCGACCTGTGCGATCGATCCATTTGGAATGTTCGGCATTTTCTAGTGAGTTGAGTGCACGCCGCTTTCTCAATCATCATGAACAGCTATCCACAGCATCATCACTTCAAGAAGTCGCGTGCACTATCATCAATCCATGTGGGATGAGTGGGGATTGGGTATTCTCCATTTCGAAATTACAGCAACTCAAGAGCCTGGAACTATCTCTTTCAAGTGGAGGTCGTGAAGATCTAATGGAAATACTCATCCTCTTTGTTACGCGTGGATGCAACTCGCTTGAAAAGGTTACTTTGACGTTCCCAACTCTCTCGGTGCCTGTTGAATCGATCCTGCCGTTATCTGAACATCCACACCTTAAAAGCCTAATCATTGTTTCCGACTCGATACCGAATGACGCGTTGCAAGCTTTGGAGTGTTTTTGGCACCTGGATGTATTGCATCTAAAGTTGAAGACCTTTGATTGGAACGCTATTGCACGATTGAAATCTAGAATACTTCATCTCACATGTACAGTAGTAAAGGACCACCCATAACATATGCACATGCATGCCATCGTTTACGCATTACGCGAATAACCTCTTGCTCTCTCTTTCTCGTATAATAAAAACATTGCTTTATTGACTTGTTCACACCATCATACATACACGTCTTCTTCCCACCAATACAAAATTACCCCATGGCTACATGTTTGCTTGGTGAAAAATAAAAACATGGAAAAAGCGAGAGGTTCATAAAAGAGCATTCATTACTCCACGCATGCGTACAAGGGAAGTAGCGCGAATAGCGGCATGTATAAGGTGGTATGTAAAGCAATGTGGGTCAGCTTACATGTTGCTTTCATCCTTCTCTTTAAGCACTATCAGGTGTATCCATCTCAATTGTACGTTGACCATGTTTATTTTCATCGACCAAAACAACTGTCTTACTACAGCGAGGTAAGAAACAATGAACATCATAGGCTAAGATACAACTCTTGTGGTCCTTACCATATCCATCCTGCCTTCATCCAGCGTGTATAGTTCTACTCCATCTCATCCAAACCTACCACATTTATAGAAAGGGCCTTATAAATCACCTGAGCGTTCACGATACCGGTACAGAGCCTGATCCATCGTAGCACGGCTCCAATCCAAGATGATCACTACCAAATGCCATCGTTGCATGCCAAGAGGTAAAGACAGGATCTTATACAACAAATTCTCGAAAACCGTGTGCCTTGTAGCTTGCCATACCATTATCCATCACCGGGGGTACTGAACCACCATCCACATTCGACAAATACGATAAGGCTTGGCAGGCACCTATTGAAGATGATGATGATGAGCAGCTTGAAACAAAAAGTCTCCCTATGTACCATACCAACGCTTCCCACCTTATTCGAACGTACTCATCGATGTGGCTATCGCAAAGTTTATCGATAAACGTTTGTGGGAATCCTTTCTTTGCAGTTGTTGTTCAAGATGACCAAGCAGAGCACCAACATCTTGAGCACAATGGAGGAAGGACAATTGTTGCCATTCGTCTTTCTGTAAGGTGCCTTTGTCGAAACGTAAAAGTGAAAACTTGTTGTATGAAAGAGGAAGCTGAAACAAGGATAAGCACGAAGCCGACACGCAAGGTGATGACGCGTAACCAGGAGACGAATGTTGACTGGCAACGAATCTGGTGGCAGATGGCGAACGACGAATGTCGACAACTAGCAAAAGCAAAACGTTAGACAAGGTACCCAAGCATAAAGAGGTGTTGTTGAAATAAAACAAGGCAACGGGGTTCTATTGACTGGAGCCAATCGATTGTATGTGTGGTAGGGCGTGACGTATCCCGGGCTTTGGAACTGCACCAATCATCCTCAACAGGTAGCTGCCGATCGACATCATGTTTAAGGCATATGGGTGATATGGATGATCAATCAAGTTTAACACGCGTAGTCCGTATGAAATGAATAAAAATGCAGTTGCTTTCATGCAGGTCGTTATGATCACTTGCATTATGCTTGACAAGAGAAAGCTCTCTCCAACAGCTATATTGAGATAGCTGGTTAAGACATACTTCCCCATATCATGGCAACCGAATCCCCGCCCACCTATAACCAAACACAAAAGCAGCTAATGCCATGTCTTTTTCGTCACCACCCACCTTCTAATCCAACATCACTCAAATAGGCCCATCCATTTTACCCAATCCTTATTGGTAGTTTTGAATGAAAATAGCATGCATGTTCAAGTTGCGAATGAATAGTACTATGCGCCTGCTTCCTTTGTTCACATAGGTTGTATAGGGGTTCATTTCTTTTCTAGCTGTTGAAGGTATACCGAAGCCAAGCAACAATGGATCTCCCCGTATTTTTATGGTTGACCAAGTTCCATACACATGTCCTGATGTTAGTCTGGATGACTTGAACATGCCTATTATAGGCTAATGTTTTCAGTAAAGTAACGTTTTATTATACGGGAGAGAGCAAGTCATAATTGCATGGTGGAATCATATAGGATACTTGATAAGATGTGAGTGTAGCAGAAAGATACGGTGTTGGAATGGGGGATTATTGGTTGGCTTTTTGGATTGTACACACTAGACAAGGCATGTCATTTTTCAATCGATCAATAGCTTTCCAATCAAAGCTGTTCAGCTTAAGGTGCAATGATTCGAGATGCCGGAAACGCTGCAAAGTCATCAACGTGTCATTGGATACCATATCGGAAGCAATGAGCAGTGACCTGAGATGTGGGTGTTGCGATAAAGGTAGAAGCCAATCACCAAAAGATGAGAAAGACAAGACGTTGAATGTGATCTTTTCCAAGGATATACATCCACGTGCAACAAGGGGTACGAGTTTCGTCAATAGACCCAAGTTGTTGTCTCTTAGAAGCGATAGCTCGAGTGACTTGAGTTGCTGTAATTTTGGGATCAAATGTAACCAATCACCGCCCCCCGAAAACGATTCGTAGATGTTACATTTCATCTCTTGGAGAGACGAATTTACTCCTAGCTGAGCATGATGTTCAAGGAATTCATATTCCTCGACGCTATTAGAGGGTCCCGAAGATACCAAAGTAATTCCTCTGATACGTTGATGGATCAAAGCATGAAGAATTATCCCAAGTACACCTCCGTCCGTAACATCCACAAATTCGATATTCGGTGCGCGTAACACAATCCATTCAATGACCTTCATCTCAGGCCGTTGTAAATTCCTATCATATCGCAAGGAGCGTAACCGATCAAGGGAGACAGGGTCATTGACGAATGTAAGGATGGGTGGTGTACAAGGCGAATATTTCAACAACTCAAATGATTCGACCGTAGCGCTGTTTTCCTTTAGGAATCTTGCAATGCAATCTCCACGAAATGGTACCTGTCGAATGGAAACTGATCGACATCCTTCCCCGTGATCATGTTGTAGTAAGGCATTCGTTGTGGCTGATTCCTCATTCCTTGACCAAAGCAAGAGCTGTTGTAGGTTTGGGCAATAGTAACGAATCTTTTCAAAGTGTTCATATCTTTTGATGTGAACCGCCAATCGTAGTACATGCAAACCTGGGAATAGCGGAAGAATGTTTTGAATAATCGGATTACTCAATGGGCCATTTGAAACTTCAAGGTAGCGTAGTGTGGGAAATAGGAGCTTGCATTGCGTGCCGAAAGTGAAGCAGAAAGGTGAATCCCATGAAATCTTCAAATGCCAAAGCCGGGGACATTGACACAGCATGTCGAGTAATTGGATGGGTCTCCCCTGCATTTTAAATTCAACTTGCAAGCATTTCACATTGGGGATCAATTGCAAGAGCGTCACCCATTGGGCTTGAAATCCTGTCACTAAACAATGTGCTATGAGCGATGTCCATGTTTAAAAGTTAACGTCTTTACCTGTTATTGTCAAATTATTCAATGATGGAAAATGTGCGTATTGAATGAGATCGAAAAGGGCTTCAAGGCTGTATGCAGTTACAGTGGCAGTTTTGATACAGCATGCTACGGCTTCTACACGCCTCCAATCTTGCTTCGATGTCAGCTTGTTGCTTTCGACATGAAAATGAATGCTCGTATCACTTGCAGCGATCCTCGTGCTCCAAGTGGTACACACAGCAAAGTAGTTCCATTGGTAGCGAAGATTAAAGGATCTACCTTTTTGGCCCATTATCCTGGGAATAATGTTTTCCATCACGATATCGAATGGCAGTTTGCTAATGAAATCAACGCGTTTGGTGCCATCCATAGCAGATGAGCCATTATATCTGCAAATGCCCATAGGGTGCCCAGAAGACATCAAGTAAATACTTGAAGGGAGCCGAGGAGAAAAAAAAAAGCGAGAAAAAGAATCCAGTTTCGTCTTGGCAGTTGTCAGGCTAAATCCATCATTGATTTATTTGAGAGTCTTATGACCCATGACACAATGCGGCAACGTAAATCATCCCCGCGCACACGAGAATGCTTATTGGCTAAATCATCCGAGTCAACAGCGGCTGCCTTTATTCCCCTTTTGCTTCAACCAACGACAGCAATAGCTCCTTTCTATACTTGACAACCCTCTCGTTTTACTCCATGTCGGCATTCCTCTTTGGCCATGCGTCATCAGAATGGGTTGTCAGCCAACATTCGTCTTGAGGTTACGCGTCATCTCCACTACTACCACTTTTGGCTCGTCGCTTTCCCCTCCTCGTTTCAGCTTCTTCTTTTCAACTACGCTAAACGTCTTTTTACGGTTTACAAAGTCACCTCGACCAAGGTACGATCGTCGACAATGAGCATCGCGTCAGCTTGTTCAAGGTTTTGGAGGCAACCAAAACTTCCATGCCAAGATCAAACCAAGGCTTGACACAATGTTTGCGTATATGCTTTCTATACAATCACAGGTATTCATACGTGGATGGTGATGGGAGAAGATACAGGTATGACCTATTCACTGGTTACTTCCAATTTCATGTAGATCATCATCATCATTAGAAACTTTTACAAGCACCATCTCAACGTACGCGTGCTGTAGTTGGTTCAACAGGTATGTTTCACCATCTGGATTGTTCAGGAAGGATTATAAGAAAAGACACCCCTGTTTAGAGGATTCTTTGGATATGGATTCGCGCTCGGCTTCTTTTTGAGCACTTGTCTTCGACTCCAACGTACTATGGCGGGATGCTTTTTGGAAGTGCCACTAGGTTGGGAAGGATCCTGGTATTGAAATGATGCTCAAATAATGTTTGGATGGATGTCCACGCGGCTAATGAGGTAGGTTTGGATGATGGATGTACTTGTTCAAAGAGGGATTAGCCTGGTAGTGTATTACGTAATCGCTAGACCTACCCATTGTGGATCAAGGCAGAATGCTTATGGATTTGCGATACTGGTAAACGATGCACGTGGTGGTATTGCTAGATGTTTTAGTGCAGTAGTGTGGTGTATGACAATGAAAATGATAAAATGGAGCTTGATGGAGATATGGGATCATTTTTATTTGCTTGTGATAGACATGATGATTTCTTAAAAGTGACCAGTCAGGCTGTTGTACCACAAGAGCAGCTGATACACGGATCTAAAATCATGTGTACATCCTGAAGTTTGTCGTGTACTTTAGGATCAACGCTTATTTAGAAGTCAAATAGAAAGCTGCATGAAAAACACGTGCATCGCTGTGTATAAAGGCATCTAAAAAGGTAGCATCACCTCGCTGCACTCGTACAGCATTCAGAAGGGAACATTTATGTATTGTTTGTTCCAGTAAAAAGCGTTCCCCAATGCTGCAATGGTTTCCATTGACAAGGTTTTCAAAAGAAATGATAGAGTGAACTCTCTTACGCAATAGCATGTTACACAAAGATGATGGTTTCTCGAAGCATTGAAAGTGAACATGCATACACACATGCACGCCCAATTTATCATTGGCTTTATTTCTTATTATGATAGTGGATGAACATTGAAATCACCTATTTACATAGCTGAAAGATGGAATACCCCTGTAGACGAGTATACATGCAAGGTGGTACAAGGCTTCTGCTTATCATCAGCGGCATCATTGCAGCCTGTAATTTTGTTGTCTTTTTCTCCCTTTCTTTTCTTTATCATGACCCATTCAATGGACTTTACAGTTATTGACAACCTGCGTACTTCAGCATCTCGAGGTCAACATGACCATGTCATTCAGGAGACCTTCGCCATTGGCAACGAATTGCAGAATCTTCAACTCCATGTACTCGACATTCGAGCACGATCGTATGCCGCGTGTGCCCAATTCGTCAAAGCCTTGGATACGGCAATTACAATGCAGCAATTGAATCCAGCATCAGCACTCGGGTATCTATGTCAAGGATACATCCATATGGAACAAGGACGACACATTGCAGCATCCCACGTGTATGACAAAGCACTCGAGCGTGTTGATAAGCATGATTCATTGTATGAGACGATTCAGGCAGCCAAAACAAAAGCCATGCAGCAAGGTGAAAAGCGTAAAGATTTTATATGCGACTTTCCTATGGAGATCAGCACTCGTATCATCGAGCAGTTGTTTACTAGCGACCAATTCGATCAGCAGCGGCAATACGTCATGGTGTCATGGTCGTGGTGGCATCGTATCATGGCATCCAACCAGCTTGAATACGACATACGATCGAATCTTCCATTGGATGAAACCAGCGATATGGTGATTCAATCGTTCAATTACGCGCGATCTCTTAGTGTCTTCTCTTGCGAGGCACAAATGCGTCAACTCTTTGAAAAGTATCACTTTGAACGCTTGACAACAGTTGCATTTCACAGTACGTATTCATGTTATTGGGGAATGCACGCAAATAACGCTCATCATAAAACGTTAGCTTTCAATGCGTATGCTCTTGGTGAAAGCTTTCTAGCATGGGAGGGGATCAACATGCAATTAACAGATCTCACACTTGGCAATCATGGACATGCACACATTTCCCAACCTCATGGAGCATACACACTTCAACTGCAATACATCTTGGAAAAGTGCCCCAATTTGAGAGCATTGCATTGTCTAGGAATGATCGACATTTCACTCATGGGTGGCACGTACCCAAAGCTTCAAGAGCTCAGGCTGGACGAAGTGGCAGGAACAGTGGGTAACCAGCACATGATGATGATTCAGCAACACCTACCTGGTTTGGAGATATTCGATATGGCAATCCCAAAGAGCTTGCGACCGTTGACTGTGAATGATACATGGCTCCCTTGCATCCGTCATTTACATTATGGAGACCGATTCGGCATTTATCTAAACGGACTCGACATAAAGCAAGTTCGATACCATGGATTGGTCTCTCTTTCAATTCCGTACACCAACCTATTTTCGCTTGATGATATTGCACCCTTCATCATTGATCATCATGTGACGTTACAGGTTTTGACGCTCAAGGCCACGTTGGATACAACACAAACACGCAATATGATGGATGCCATGCACAATTATCAAGACATTGAATTTAAGCGACTGCAAGTATTAACGGTGAACATCCTATCGACAATCGACAACATTGAGCCATATTCCGATTTCATCAGCTGGGGCATCGAGCGTGCTCCTTATTTACGGTCGGTGGAATAGGACGCATGCCTAATGAGCCAACCTTCTATCAAGGCCTTGGGCAAATACAAGGATCTATGTGCGATCGATTTTGCCATACGCAATAGACAAGGACATGACGATTATGATACACTCGTGGCAGAGTTTGTGGAAGCCCATGTCGACTATATGGCTGATAAAGGAGGATCACGTTTACAATCGATCAACGTTCGGCTCCAGGAACCACACCCAAAGCTCATTGATGATATACGAGAAATGAAATGCTTGACCAATTTGAAATTGTTTACCAGCAATCTTGCATCAGAGTCATTTATCAAGTTGTTTGAGTCCCTACGCCAAGGATGCGAAGGTCTGGTAACGCTATCTATTGTAAATCGTTGCCTTATGCCGAATCGGGTTCTCTATCATATTGCCGTGCTATCCAATCTCAGGAGTCTTACAATTACCGGAGGCATTCATGATGCGAACACCAGTATTTTGAGCTTGCGACGATGCCGCCATTTGGAACACCTCGATGTCGCTTGCGAAATTGATGAAGATATCCTGTCCCTACTGCATGAATGCAATCCACGTTTAAAGATAATGGCCCCAAACAGCTTTTACTAGTTGACCAATGGTAGTATAGGCTTGTCTCCTCCAAAACGTACAATAAACGAGCTACATGAATAACACGTTTATGGAATCCTGAGTCTGTTGTTTGAAGATAAACAAGGGCACCATCATCATTATGTCTTATCACCATCGCTGTCCTCTGAGACATACAAAAGCTTCTGTGTGTTGGTTTCTTTTTTCTTTGTAGCATACGTATACATCAGTAGACCACTTTATTATAGTATCGTGTGGGATATTCATATTTGAAGGTTCCATCATATCTCGTGCTAACTTGCACCATTATGAACATGGTGATGTTGCCATGGAGACAACGTGGGAACCACGAAAAGTTTTAGGAAGCTGAGGTTTATGTTGTGATAAACTAGACGTGGCATAATAAAGCCCTCGATCACCCTCCTCAGCGTGCACGACCTGTATTTTCGTAGCATCCTACTGATTACCTTGCTCTCAAATTCAAACTCACTTATGACCTAGACGCTGTTTGATACAAGCAAGACAACTTGAGTAAACGGGGATGCTCAATGCGTGTGACCATTTGAACGCTGATCGTTATGGTTGTTGCATCAACTTCCATTTATTAGCGCAGCTCAAGTGTACGGTATCTAAAACGTAGGATCTAAATCTAAACCTTTTATCAATCACAGATGTAAGGTGCATGGAGATGGTGGTATCCCTATCGCTTAAAATTGGATTATCATATTTTCAATGGGCGCTGATCACCAAGATTTTCGAAACTACCAATACCAGGTGAATGTCCTTTACAATAGATTACATGTTGGTGGTATTGAATGATGAAAAGGAAAATTTATTAGAAGCAAGTGCTTAAGCTATGTCTTTAAATGGCGAAAGCAAAACGGTAAACATCTCAAGGTTGATCTTGATGTCTGGCCTATGCTGCTTGAGGTGCTTTACATGTTGTTTCTTGACATTAGCAGCATGGTCTATTGAAATGTACTTGAGCGGTGTAAGGGTCTGAATTGCATACCAAAACTTGTCAGCATTATCCATCCCAAAGAAGGGCAGTCTAAGATGCGTTAAATGTTCAAGCTTCTTAAGGGCATTGATGGCATGGATCGATGGTGCCCTTACGCATTCGAGTTCCAGGCGGGCCAAACGAGGGCACGATTTGACAAGCCCGTCCAAAAATCGCTCCATTTCATAGGTCCCCAAATCCACCGTAAAACCGATCTTTAGGCATTCAAGGTGATGATGATTGTAAATTGCATCAAGCATGTCGATAATGTTTTGCTGCCCGTTATTGAAATGGATCACAAGCTCTTTTAGCCGGCGTTGTTGAGCGATGCTATTAAGATAGCGTACGATCACTGGTGGGTCCACAGGGTCTACCATCGAAGCATGATAATGGAGTGCTAACTCGAGCTTTGTCAAGCGTGGTGGTATCATGTCAAGTACCGCAGGGTGTGTACGAATGGTCCTCGATGACAACCTGAACTCTTCAAGCATAGGCGCATTGCGTGGTATCTGCCATCCAGGAAAACCAATACGAAGAACCTTGAGACGAGGGAATTGTATGTTGTCAATGGTCTCAGTATCCCAACTTGTATCCATCTCCCATCGAAGGTGCTCAAGCGTGTCGTGGTGCTGCTTTATGATTGAGGTGGTGTCCTTGCAAGTATCATCATCGAATTGGCTTACCCCAATGATGATCTTTGTGATCCCATGTCCATGGTTTCCTTCATCCGAAAACGTAAGCGTAATATCGGAATCATCATTCCAGAGCTCAAGACAATTCATTGATGGGCAATGCTCCGAGACAATAAGTGTGGGTTGAATGTCGGTGCATGGTGAAAGTGTAAGCTCCTTGAGTGCTGGAAATTGCTTCCACATGTTGATTATCTGATCACAGGTAATGCGATTGCGTGTACCCATAAGATATAACGTCGTCAAAGCGGGCCATGTTGTCATTCTCTGAGAGTTGATATTGCCATCCAGTGGTCCAGTTATCTCGAGCGAAATCAGATTGGGACAAACCATCAAAATATCGGTTGGGCGTAGCTCAGGTCCATCCATCATATTCAATTCCAGAGCGGTCAACGTGCTGCTAACGTTTTGCAAGGATGAGACGAAGTGATCAATGTCGTCGCTTGTGAATTCTTTTATAAGGACAATGGTGAGTTAATAGATATGATGCCAGCGAGGAATGTATATGTAACTTACCAGCAACGGTTATCTTCTGTAGTGATGAAAAGGGATTGTCGCTAATTAAGTCACCTAGCCAGGTCCCTTCCGAATACTCAGAAACATGCAACGACGTGGTGTGCTCAGCAAACTGAATAACATCGGACATGTCATCATCATCTTCATCCACCTCGAAACGTAACCCCTTAAAGCATTCAATGATACGATCGCTCCATACATCAGCCACTTGCACATATGGGCATGGCATGAGATTATCTTTCACAATCATAGGAATGAGTGTTGTAATGACAATGTCTTTTGGTAATTGGCTGATAAAGTCAACGCATGTGTCCTGCTGTTGCTTAGCATCAATCTTGGCTTGAAGTAGTGTGGCATAGTGCGAGTCGCTGGTGTCAACCTTGCTGAGTCCTTTGTTGCAAATATCAATCACCTGATACTGTTTCCCTTGTTCGCTGTAAATAGTAGCTTCACACAAGTATCCAAGTGCTGTAGAAGGTGAGAGTTGTTGTATGAGGTGGGCATCACGAAAAGCCGATTCATAGTTGACGCACTTTGCGAATCCAATGGCGCGTCGATTCAATGCCGACAAGACGGGTTGAAGGGATTGATGGAGTTGTTGTGTTGATTCGTAGACAAGCTTTGCATATTTTTCAGAGGAGACTGTGAGTGTGGGCTGTTTGCAAGAAGCAGGGTGTGCCATGTTTGGTTGGTTGTGGAACAAAAACACTGCAGCTGGTTTCCTAGGCCACCGCCCCGCCCCTGAGAGAGAATTTATCGGCTCCGGTGCTGCCACTCAACAACGCTGCTTTATTCCCTTCATTCAAAAAACAGCTCCTTTCTATACTTCGTGCCTCTATACAACGCTTCACTTTCACTCCTTTGTCAGCATTCGTAATTCGTCCATTGCAGGGATTCGTATTCAGTCAGCATTCGTGGCTTGCTTACGCGTCATCCCTTACGCGCTCGTTCGCGTATCCTTTTACTTGTTTCAGCTTTCTCTTTCCCACAACCTATACACCTCCCACGTTCAACAATATCGACTCCTGTGGAAAGCAAATGTCAACAGCGATTACTTTCTAACGCTTATTAAACATCGCGGTGCCCATTGTGGTCGCCTTTGCTAAAACAACGCCACCAAAGAAGGCTACGGATATAACCGGTTGACCAACAACGATGGCTTTTTCACCCCAACGCGCATGGATACAGTATGGCATGGTTACAGGCATTGGTACGTGGTATGGTATGAGGGTGAAATGCTGGCAAGATGTAAACAGAGGTGGATTTGTTCAGGCTACTAATCATCATCATCATCATCATCATCATCATCATCTTCATCTTCATCTTCATCTTCATCGACACCATGATCGAACAAGCATCCATACTCGCACACTCGTCGGGTAAGGTGGGTTCCCTAGGAAATGATGGCACACTTCACGGCATTCTCTTCTCAAGGAGTTTTTTGGTTCCATCCTGTCAGAACTTGTGTTATTGTCCTGGTACTCGGTATATGTGTTCTCTCGCGTTGCGTTGATGGATGAAGGATTTGTATGTATACTCAAGGCCCAAGGGGATTACTATGGTTATGATCATGGCTTTTGGATGGTAAAGTAAGTATGGGTGAGATATCCTTTCGGGTATTCGTGCTGAAGGAGAGTAATTTGGTATACAGGGATGCGTTTTACCTTCGGACGCATATGCGTTGGATCAAGGGAGAATCGATAAGGTAGGAGTACATGGGTCAGGATAGGGTTGCCTCATGCCCTTTGGCGGCTAGCAAGTTGTATTAGTGCACCCTTGTTATGTATGGAAATAAACGCGCTTGAAGCAATATTGAAAAGACGCTACCAGGATTATTTATGATGTATGTGGACATGGAGTCTCCTTTGAGTATACAATTGCTACCGTGACATTAGGTTGGCCCACAGAAGAGCGTCTTTGCAATCATCATATCAACAACGATCATTTTTATCGCGATAGCCAACATCCCTTAGCTCGCCATCCGATAGATCCCATCACGGCCGGTTTATCAAGGGGGACGCAATGATGGATAAAGTTTGGAAACCCCCTGAACCTTGTAAAGTGAAGCATTGGGTCATACCCCTGCATGTTGTTTACTTGCCACCATAGCTGATCCCTTGGTATGCTCTCCTGAATTAATGATGGTAGAAAGACATCTTTTACTATAGAAAAATAAACGTTTAAGGGTCGCTGTTAACCAAGATACCCATATTGATCGAGAACTAAACAAGCAACTCGTTGGTGATTTGACCAAGGCATTCGTGGCAGTGGTAGTAATGTATTGAGGCGATCATGGTATCCATAAACACAAGCGTGAAGCTTAAATCGCTAGGGGTAGTGGCAATGTTTGTAACACGTAAACAACGCTCTCACAGTAATTCACGCTGTTGGGGCATTGGGATCGATCAATGATGGGATGTCTTTGCCAAACCGTTCAGTAGAAGAAAAGGTGGTCACCATAAATATCGTACGCAAAGGCGGAGGCTGCATGACTATGCTATCTGCTGCATACATGATCATCTTTGCCATATGCAATGCCACACCGACTTTTTCAGAAAATATAAAACCTCACCCACATCATCTATGCAATTCATCCTCATCCTATCGATATGAAACTTTTATTTCTTGTTTCCCTTCTCTTTGGAGCTGCGATGGCGAGCGAGGGTGTTGGTGCTAATCCTAGTCGTATCATTTTCATCGACCAGGCTAACTTTGATCAACTAAACGAAAAATGTCAAGCGGTTAATATTATGGACTGCCATAAGATGGGATACTGCAAAGTTGAAGAACGTATGAAAGAAGCAAGGCATGCTAGTGCCATACACTCAAAATGTTTTTTACTCGCTTAGGTAGCAGCCTGAGGGGGACATACCATTGCGTGGTGAATGAAGCCGAATGTGTTGGGAATGCTGCACGTAGTAAGGAGGAAAAATCGGTAGACAATCCGATAGTTCCTTTGGGGTCAGGACAACTACAAACAACAACCGAATCCACTGATTGGTGATGCTCCTTCAACCGTGAACAATATACGTGGCGCATTATCCTTCATACATACGTTAAATCCGGATTGTGAATCTTGCAGCCTTATAAAAGAACATCTTTTCCTTCTTTTTTGTAACAATGAAACTCTTTCTTTTTAACAACCATAATGATTGCAAAGGCAATTGCAGCATAATGAAAGCAACGTCATGTCTTCTACCATACATGTTTCAAGACACTCAAGGTCGTCATTGTTGGCGACAATTGTTGTTTCCAATAAAGATAATCATACAGCAGCCCTAGTGACGGTAGCTTATTTCATGTACACAGGAGCATTAACACCGCTTGATTTACTTTTAGGGATGGTAGTGTTTGTATGTGGGCGATCTTGCTAGCAATGGGATGCATCATGTGCATCGTTCAAAATCAGCGGGTTGTGAAATACATGGAGGCGTGTTGCGAGCTTGAACCATCACCTTCCTCTTTCTCTAATGTCATTGTTAACAACTCCAATGAACAACAGCATCATTCTTTCTTTACCACCAATCGCCTCCTATCATCAGCAGGGGGAAAGCACCATTTCTACCGCAACAAAAGAGATCGATCAACTTGCATGTCAACTAATGGAGAAGCTCAATGAGCGTTCTACAGCAATGGCGAATGGAGCCCAATTCCAACTTGCCTTGTGCGATGCAGAAGCTATTCGATTTATCAACCCATCCTCTTCACTTGGCTACTTGAAAGCAGGCTATATCTATCAGCAGCAAGGACGACAAAAAGAAGCAGTAGCCATATACAAGGAAGGTCTTGTCAATGTGCCATCATCCGATGCATGTTACACCAACCTCCAAATGCAGCTAGCTGAGGCCTCGAATGCAGCCAACAAGCGTATTGATTTCATCAGTCGACTACCTCTGGAGCTTGTTGTCTCAGGGATACTTCCTTGGGTGTTTGACAATTACCAACTAGCAGCCGACAAGCGATGCCCATATCTTTACGTCTCACGCACATGGCGAAAGCGTATCTTGGATTGCAACAACTTGAGCTTTGACGTCGATTGTGTATATAAGAAACCGCCTTTACATTATCAAGAGCTTGAGCGATTTGCTGCACATGTGAAAACATTGTCGATGGAAGCAGCGAGGACGGCATCGTATGAGGATCCTCTTTGATATTCGGCAATTTTGATTTCTCGAGTCTCACACATCTCACCCTCTTCTGTAAGGTTACCAAGTCTAGTGCATCGTCGTGCTATATCTAATGTTCTTGATATAGATTACGGATATGAAGATTACATGGTTACATCCGCTCTCCGATCGGTGCAACATACTCTGACGCATTTGAAGCTTCACGAGCAGAATTTCATGGCACCTGATATGCATTTGGCACATGTCCTGGATCAGTTTCCTCAGCTTGTATCGTTGCAGTATACCTCGTGCCTGGTACAGCATCTCACTATGCAACATCCAAAGTTGACGCACCTCATCTTGCAAATTGCAAATGAATCACTGCCGTATGATACAATGACCAACATCCTCTCTCATTTCCCATCACTGGTGTTCCCATCTATACACAGTTCCAGATTCACGTTTCTTGCGCACGATCACTGAACATTGTCCTAATATGAAGCTCTTGAATTGCGGTGGAACAGTGCAATTCGATCACAACAGCTATCATCGTCACCTTGATGGATTGCAGAAGCTATCTTTTGGACTTGATTATGAGGAGGAGCCATACAACGGAGATGACGTGATCCACCTATTGCTTGAACATCACCGGTCGCTCGATCATATTGTCGTCATTGGTAATATTACTGATGCAGGCGCTCTATGGCATGGTCACCATATCAATTCATCATGCGAATTTGGTCGTTTGGAACAAATTGAAATCAGTGCTTGCGATGAAGAAGCTTTTACGCTGACCACTTTCATCATCAGCAGATCACCGCACCTTCAACACATCAGTATGGATCTCTATGCAGCAAACAATGATGGAATATGTAATGCTGTCAAACGATTGCCCAATTTGCGCAAGATTACAGCAAGACAAATCACACCCGATTCACCATCATTTGAGACGTTGCTTCTCCACCACGCACAGCTGGCCATGAAGTCGTCTCTAAAGGAATTGGAGATAACATTTCGTATGAATGCTTCACATTTGCCTTGGGTAGCAGCCGTTGCAGGACTTGAAAACCTGGAAAAACTTGTACTCTCGACAGCGCCTACCAATAACCCTTCAACGTTCGTGTCGATCTTGGGAATGCTTGGCAAGGGATGCCCTTCTTTGGAGTACCTATATTTGGATTGCTTTCGTTCTACAATACCTGATGGAGCCATCGCACAAATGAAGCATCATCCAACACTGAAACGTCTCCATGTGCGTGCATCAACCATCAGTGATAGCGACATCATCAGCCTTTTATCATTCACGAATCTCAAGCATGTTGTCATCGTTTCCACATTGAAGGATTACCTTTTCGACTTGTTGAAGAAGCATATTGCACACGTTGAACAAAGGCGCTGGTGAATTCCTTTTAGGACTTGAACACGAGCATGTAGTCAGATATGGTAGCCAATAAAAAGGTAGTCAACGACTTTCTGATTCTCTTTGGAGTTACCATTTGTCATTTGTATGATATGATTAATGATCGATTAAAAAAATCGAAGTCGGCATATGACAGCTACGTTTCCATAGCTATGAGGTTTCCATGGTAACGCCATGGTTGTACATGAATAGTTTGACATAACATACAGTACCCTTTCAAATGTTGCACAAATCATCATACTTCGAATGGATTAGCTTCGATGATCGTCCCCTTGATTGAAAGAAACATCTGCAGCTCCAGCGTTGCCGCTACAAAGAATGAGATTACTTTCATAAACCTCTTCATTACGAAGGATCCTACAATGAAAGCATGCATGCCTATGTTGTAGTTCTCCATATTCCTACCGGGTTGCCTATATCCATTATGCACGACATCATGTACCATGCAACCGCATTGTATGGAACGTGCTGTTACCTAGCCGAACGATGACTCACCATATACTTCCCCACTTTTACTTTCCTTGTGTCGTATACTCCGATATGAAAAAATCCATGTTGGCAATCAATGTCAACACAAACTTGCATTTTTCATTCTAATATCTTTGCTGGATTTTTTTCGAAGCCACATGTCATATGGAAGCAAAGCTTTCTTTAACAACCTTACAATTCCAAACCCCAATCGCACACCATGAAGCAGCGATCTCCATTGATTAAACCAATGTTAGCTTTTATCGTACACATCTACATAACGAGGCTATTCATGGCGACAATAGCAATGGTTTATCTTATCTAGGATACGAAGCACAATACAGAAAAGTATTCTATCGAGCGAAGAGGTCTAATGCACTGTTTACAAGGTATCTTCAAAGCGTGTGAACCAGCGATCAAGAACAATTTTCATGTCAAGCCGTTGTTCCTGCAGACGTCGGACGGCATCCATTTTGGCTGCACTTGCTGGGTATATCCGAATACATTTGAGCTGTGACATTCCTTGAATCATATTCCAAAAGCCATCATTGTCACCCATACCCTTGATAGAAAATGCGAATCGCTCCAAATGTTCAAGCTGTTTCAAAGCGTTCAAAGAGTATGTCGATGGTGCGTTTATGCACTGGATCTCAAGACAAGCCAACCTTGGACATCCTTTGACAAGCCCATCAATGAACTTCTGCATTTGATAGTAATCGCACTTTGTTGAAAAGCTGACCATAAGGCGTTGAAGATGATCAAGACGATGGATTGCGTTGAGGATGTTGTCGATGTTTTTCAACTTGTAGAAACGGATAACAAGCTCCTTGAACTGAGAATGCTGTGCAAGGCCATGCAAGTATCGTTCGAGGGGTGCTGTGTAGCCAAAATCATCATCAAGATTCAGCTCCAGCTTCTTCAACTTGGGTGGTATCGTATCAAGTACAGCCGAATTTTCCTCAATGGTAAATGCTGTTATCTTCAACTCCTCTAGCATAGGCGCTTTGCGTGGGATCCACCATCCAAAACAAGAAAGGTCAAGCAGCCTCAATCGTGTGTACTCGATAGGGCTGACGTCATCGAGTATGTCTTCATCCTCTTCTTCTGTTTCATCGTCAAGGTACATATTGCATTCGATACGTTCAAGCGTATTTTGATGCTGTCGTAATTCTTGAGCCAAAAAACCCCATGGAAAGAATTCCCGACGGTCCGACTCGATCAAAAGATCCGTAATACCAATCTCATTGCATGGATTTCCTTGTTCCAGGTACGTGAGATGAACGTCAGGACCATGTGAAAGCTCCAAGCGCTTCATCCAGGGATAATTATCCAATACAATACGTGTCATCTGGGTATCTTCGCATGGAGAAATTGAAAGCTTCTTAAGTGATGGAAAATGGTTGGGGATCGCTCTTAAATGGTCGCGTGTAAAGACTTCTCGAAATATCGCAGAATCGCACATAAGAGATAAAGTTGTCAACTTGGGCCATGTCGACATTGATAGAGAAGTAAAATCCGGGACCATTGGTTGATCAATATCCAAGGACACCAAGTTCGGGCAAGATTGCATGATATCAGCCATCTCCTTTATGCTCCCACCACGCACCGTGATTTCAAAGTGTGTCAAAGTGCTGCCCACTGACGTTAAGGATGAAACCAAAGGATCAAGGCATTTAGTCCGAAAATCTGATTGAGACAATGGTAAATAAAAGCCGGTTGAGGAACGGGTACAACTTACGGCCAATGTATAGCTCCCGTAGCGAGCAAAAGTCGTTATTATGTAATAAATCATAAAACCATGAATCTTCGGAATCAGGTTGCACTTTCAATCTTCTTATGTATCGTGAAAGCTGAACGACATGCGACACATTGTGGCCATCGGTATCTCCAACCTTGACACATAGCCCATTGAAGCACTGAATAAAACGATCACGCCATAGCTTGGACACATACAAGCAGGGGCTTGGTGTGGATGAGCTCATAGGGGAATCATCCATCAACAAGGGAATGAGGGTTGTAATAACAATGTCGGTAGGTAGTTGCTTGATAAAGTCGATGCATGTATTTTGGCGTTGCTCAGCATCCTCTTTGACTTGCTGCAGTGTTGCGTAGTGCGTATCATGGTTGTCGACATTATTGAAAGCTTTGTTGCAGATATCAATGACTTGAAGATGTTGCCCTTGTTCACTGTAAATGTGGGCTTCCCGTAAGTAACCAAGTGCTGAAGAAGGCGAGAGGTGTTGCATAACTTTGGCATCGCGAAGAGCCGATTCAGAGTTGGCGCACTTGGTCAACCCAATGGCGCGCCGATCCAAAGCTGACAAGATCGATTGAATGGGTTGAAGCAGTTGTATGGTGGAATCGTGAACAAGATGTGCATATTTTTCAGAAGAGGCTTTGAGTGTTGGCTGTTTGCATAAATCGTGCCAAATTGAGTCGTCCATTGTTGGTTGGCTGGGAAACAAGAAGGGATCACTCAACCTCCCCAAACATAAAAATTATTGGCCAACCGCGTCCAGTCATACAAAGCGGCTTTATTCTGCACACCTCTATTCTACACACACGCCTCCAAAAATACTCTGTACACTTTACGTCTCTTGAAGGCTTTGCTTTTGCTTCTTGTCGACATTCGTCGTTTGCCATCTACAGCACATTGGGCGCCAGCATTAGCCGCTTGGTTACGCGTCATCACTAAAGACAGCTCTTCTCTTGTTCGCTTGTTCATTCCCTTTACCTGCTTCAGCTTCAGCTTCTTCTTTTGCACAGCCTTAAACAACCTCCACCTTCGACAATGACGCCTCCAGTGGAAACCGATCGTCAACGGAGCCCATTGCAGCTTCCTTAAGAGCGTGGTGTTCAGCTTGGTCCTCTACTCCACTCCGAACGTTCCCAACAACGTCATAGAATATCAGCACAATACCACCAAACTGGCTCTTGGCTACAAGCATGCTAAGTGCACTTTGGCTTGGTAAATGACATTGGTACGTGGCATATCTTGGGAGACAATGCTGGTACGTTTTTAAGAGGTGCTTTTATTTCTACGCTGCTAACCATCATCGTCATCAGCATCATCATCTTCATGAGGTAATTTAAATGCACCATCTCCAAGTACGCTTCTGTGATTGGTTCATCATGGATGAATCTTCAAGGATGTCAACCAAAGTGAAGGCGTTTTGCTCCACCAAGTGCTTTGTGAGCATCCAGTCATTGTTTTTCATCATGTTTTGGCGTCCAGTGTATTGTGTTACAATGCTGTTGTTTGATAATGGCATGATGTACGATATACTCATGTGCTCCATGGATGGTGGATGATGATCCTTTTGGTTAAGAGGTAGGTTTTGATGATGGACTTTCGGATAACAAGCTGGGGCTAATGGTGTATTTGTGTCAGGTAGTCTGGACAATCACGCTGATGGATAACGGAGGCATGGTTATGGTAAGACCATGCTGGTGGATACTGCGTATTGTGGTTCGCTAGCAGTATTAGGGTAGTGTTGTGTGTGATACAATAAAAAGGATCCACATATAATTGTAAGATTGGGAACACAAGATTGAAATACTTGTTGGCAGTGAAAAGATGGTTTTAAGGTAGACACAGTAGCGGTTGCCATCTTGAGCACCTGCACGTAAACACCCCGTCTTATACCTTTTCATCTATTTGATGCTCATTATACGGTTTTGTATCCCACATGTCGCATGAAAGCACAACTTTCTTTAATGACCTTATCCCAAACCCCATCGCACGCCATATGGCAATGATCAGCATTGAATAAGCAACAACGTTTTACTACACCAGACACCAGCACTTTGATGGATCAAGTACCTGACAACAACAATAATGTTTTATTTTATTTAGGATACAATCCCACTACCGCATAAGAAAGGGATTCGATAGAGAAAAGATGGGTATGGTATTGTTTACAAGACATCTTCAAAGCGTGTGAATCTGGGATCGAGAATAATTTTCATGTCACGCCGTTGTCCCTGAAGACGCCTGATTGCATCCATGTTGGCTGCACTTGCTGGGTAGACCCGAATACATTTGAGCTGTGATATGCCTTGAATCGCTTGCCAAAAGCCATCATCGCCTTCCATGTCGTTGATTGAAAATGTAAATTGTTCCAAATGTTCCAGCCCTTTCAAAGCGTTGATTAAGGATGTGGATGGTGCGTTTTCGCATTCGATCTCAAGGCAGGCTACTTTTGGACATCCTTTGACGAGCCCATCGATAAACCTTTCCATTTGATAGTAATCCCACGTTGTTGTAAAGCTGATCATGAGACGTTGAAGCTGATCAAGGCAATGGATTGCATTGAGGATAGTGTCAATGTTTTCTGAGTTCGAGAAATGAATAACAAGCTCCTTCAAATGAGAGCGCAATGCGAATCGTTTAAGGTATCGTTCGAGGGGTGCTTTGTAGCGAAGATCAAAATCATGATCAAGATCCAACTCCAGCTTTTTCAATTTGGGTGGTATTGTATCAAGTACAGCAACGTTTTTCTTGATGATGTATGCAGTTATACGCAATTCCTCTAGCATAGGTGCGTTGCGTGGTATCCACCATCCCGATTTAGAAAGAGAGAGTTGCTTCAGTCGCCCGTACTTGATGGTGTAGATCTCTTTGTGATCCTCCCGCTCACGTAGTGTCTCGCGAAGATTGAGGTTGCATTCAATGCATTCAATTGTGTTTTGTTGCTGCCTTAGTTCATGGGTCAAAATACCCCATGGAACATAGCCTTGCATAGGATCCGCCTCCATATAAAAATCCATGATCCCACTCTCAGCGCATCGAATTCCTTGTGTCATGTAAATGCGCTGAGCACCATCACGTGCACATAAAACCTCGAGACGAGTCATAGATGGATAATAATGCAAGACGATGGGTGTTATTTGCTTGTCAAAGCATGGATAAAATCCAAGTCGATTGAGTGATCCAAAACGCTTTCCAATGTCATGTATGTCATCATGCGTAAAGCACATTATGCCGGCGGTGCTCTTCACACATAGCGATGTCAACTTTGGCCACGCTGTCATTGGTAGAGTGCTGAAATCCGGAACACATGGCTGGGTTAGATCCAGTGATACCATGTTTGGGCACGATTGCATGATATCCGCCATAGACACGATGCTCATACAATGGATATCGAGAACCAATTCTGTCAAAGCGTTGCCGATTGATTTGAAGCATGAAAGCAAGGGATCAACGCCTTTAGTAGAATAATCTGATAGGCAGGATGGTAAATAAAAGCCTGTTGAGGAATGAATGGATGCAACTTACAGTCAATGCATAGCTCCCGTAGCGAACAAAAGTCATGATTGCGTAACAAATCACAAAACCATCCCTCGTTGGAACCTCGGCCCATCTCCAATTTCCTGATACACTGGGAAAGCTCAATCACATGTGCCAGATTGTGGCATGCGGTATCTCGAACCTCGAAACGTAGCCCATTGAAGCACTGAACAATACGATCACGCCATACATTGGATACATACAAATAGGGGCTTGCCGTAGTTGAGCTCATAGGAGAATCGTCCAACAACATGGGAATGAGTGTTTCAATTACAATTTCGGGAGGTAGTTGTTTCATAAAGTCGACATGTGTGTTTTGGCGTCGCTCAGCATCCTCTTTGACCTGCTGTAGTGTCGCATAGTGCTTATCATTGGTGTCGACCCTATCGAGCCCCTTGTTGCAGATAGCAATTACATGATGTTGTTTGCCTTGTTCACTGTACACATCGGCCTCCCGTAAGTAACCAAGTGCTGACGAAGGCGAGAGTTGCTGTATGAGGTTGGCATTGTGAAGAGCTGATTCAAAGTTGGCAAGCTTTGTCAATCCCATGGCGCGTCGATCCAAAGCTGTCAAGATGGGTTCAAGGGATTGATGGAGCTGTGTCGTTGAATCGTGAACAAGCTGTGCATATTTTTCAGAAGAGGCTTTGAGCGTGGGCTGTTTGCATGAATCGTTCCGAATCGAGCCTGCCATGGTTGGTTGGCTGGGAAACAAGAGGAGCTCCCTGGTGACCTCCCAAACATGGTGTAATTGGGCCAACCACACGACCAGTGATACAACGCGGTTGCTTATTCCCCTCCACTCAAACAATGACCCCTTTCTATGCTGGACGACTTTCTCTAAAGCTTTACTTTTACTCCTTGTTGACATTCCTCGTTCGCCATCTGTCAACACAATTGACACCAGCCAGCATTCGTTCCCTTGGTTACGCGTCATCTTCACAACAGCTGCTGGTGACCCACCGCTTGCTTGTTCCCGTTTCAGCTTTTTCTTTTTTGCACCCCCTTGAACAAATTCCACCTTCAAGAATGACGCCTCCAGTGAAAAACGATCGTCAAAGCATCCCATGGCCTCAGCTTTCCTTGACATCGTAGTCTTCAGCTTGGTCATCTGCTCTACTTCAAAGGTACCGAACAACGCCTAGAAAATGAGCACACTGTTACCAAGCTTCGTCTTGCTCACACACTTTGGCCTGATAAAGGACATTGGCATGTACCATATCGTGGGAGACAATGCTGCCAGGTTCAAACAGGGTCCTTTGTTTCTGGATGCTAATCATCATCATCATCATCAAGTACTTTTACAAGCTCCATCTCAACGTACGCTGCTGCTATTGGTTCATGATGGATGAATCTTCAAGAATGTCAACAAAAATGATGGCGTTATTCCTCCAGCAACTCCTTTGTGAGGATCCAATTTTTTTCATCAACTTTTGGTTCCCAATCTCTGCTGTTACAACAATGTTGTTGGATGATGGTATGGTGTAGGAGATGCTCACCTACTGCATGGATGGTTGATGGTGATGCTTTTGGATAAGAGATAGGTTTGGATGATGGATTTTCCGATAACAAGCTTGGGCCTGATGATGGTGTTGTATCAAGTAATCTGGATAATCACGTTGATGGATGATGGAGGCATGGATATGGTAAGATTATGGGAGATGTCATGCTGGTGGATGCTGGGTATGGTGGTTCGCTAGCAGTATTAGGGTAGCGTTGCGTGTGATACAATAAAAGGGCTTGACGTATAATTGTAAGCTTGGGAACAGGATGTTGGTGGTGAAAGGATGGTTTTAGAGTAGATATAGTAGGTGGTTGCCATCTTGAGCATACGCACGTACAACCCCATCTTAAACATTTTCCTTTATTTGATGTTGTAAGGCGTCTGGTGATCACCACCAAATCCCAAGAACCCCTGACCCAATTTATAAACCCATCATCCTTCTTCATTTTGCCATTCGTATTGTCCATTGCTGCCCTTTTTATCTCGCCCATTATATAACGCATCACCCTAAGCTACACGTGGTGATGCTTATGATGATATCGAGACCCCATCCAATAGTACCCGATCCGTTTCGTATATCTCATAGCTGCCCAGACATAAAGCATTAATGTTTATTACCAATCATATGGTGTAGGTATTTCAAGACGTTTCGTAATTACACCGCGCTCATGTAGATAATTAGTTATATGATCTTGTAAACGGAAACGAAGATAAACACGTTCTAGGCTAGGGTATCTGGCAAGACAACGTAGATCACATTCTTTTAAAGACCTCGCACCAATGTATAAAGACCTCAGGTTTGGTTATGTACAAAAAGCAGTAATGAAACTTCCATCGATGAAAGCACTTCTATTATTTATTATGCACATTGATGAAAACGCTGCTGCTCGTAGTCCAATACTTACAGGTCGTTGATGCATCCTTTGAGCTTCAGAGATAAAATGAGCTTTGCTTTTCTTGTGGGATGAAAAATGATGAATTTGCATACATCAAAGATCGGATAAGCACTGTGTAACCGCTTTTCCGAATGCCGATGATCGATCATCATCCTCTTCAAAACCTATACATCCTCTCACCTTATCCTTCCATGTAGCCATGCTAACCGAAAGATACGTGTGTTCTTTTATAACGCTCGTACTCTCCTCCCATAGACCCGAAGTACCACCATAACCATCATCATCATCATCATCCCAATCATCATCATCCCAAAAATCGTTTTGAAAGTCTCCAGCACATCCACACCTTTCAAACCAATATCGTTTCCAAAGTCCAGAATGCAAAAGAGAATGCTTGATACTGTATATTCATATAAATCCTTGATATAGAACAAGAGGCGACATGATCCAAGAATGAAAGAGCTAACGAAAAGCCCCGGGATCACGAGAAAAACCCAATGGGATACATCTATACAAGGTAGTCTTCAGCTCCAACTACGAAACCGCACATGTCATAATAAACATACCTATCAGCATAATGACATCCATTGCCGTTACCACGATTTCCATGCTGATCATGCTCTCTTTTGGCCACGTAAACATTGATCGCCATCATCCCATCGTATTCGGTGTATTCTCCAAGGGCTTGGTACATCAGCCTTCCCGTCATTAGTTTCCTTGTTGAAAGTAGGCCATCTAGCATGATGGTGACCTTCATTGAGTAAAAAGGATCCCATTCCTCTAATGCAAACCAACATACCTTAGGCATATGGAGGGAAATATGGTGGTCATGGTCCATTTCCATCTTGTAGCACGTACTACCCCGCATTCGAATATGCTGCTTCTGATGATTCCATAATCCCAACGCCATAATGTTGCTTGTAGATCGACTGTAAAGATGATGATCCGAATGCAATGGCGGTGGCACTCTATAAAAGTGAAAAGAGGATGATTAAAACAAAGGCCTCGTTGGGAATGCAATAACCAACACACCGCAGGTTTTGCACATAGCTCTTTTTAGGTACTTGGTACTGAAGCGATGCGTAAGAACATCTTTGGGTTCACAAAAGGCCTCCTTCGAATGACATCACCAATAGCTTGCATCTTGATAGACTAGCCGACATAGCTAAAAATAAAGCCATCATTACAAACGGACCAATCCATCATCCCCATCCCGATATTGTAAGCCATCCATACTTTGTTTTACCATCGTAGTACTTTCAGGTAATCCCTTCATCATAATCACCTGGCTGCCATTCTTTTTATCAGTGTGTTTGAGGTTTGATCCATGCAATGGTGTAATCCAGGCATATCCTTCCAGCTGCTGTACCCCATCCCAATGATATGGATACCGAGGACGTGTAAGATCCATGTACACAGCAATCATATGACCAGGATGACGCGTACCATCTTGCACCCAATATGCCGTATCTTCATCGTATCTGCGAGAAGTTCATAACCATCAAGGTCAGTATCCATAAGCCGGCAGCGTTTTCAAGATCTTCATAGGATAGCGTACCACATGTATCTCCAAACAGCGTACAAAAGGAACCGATGTCGTAATCATCATATGCTGTTGTTCACTATACACTCCCATGGAAACGCTACAATTGTCAATAAATGGATTCAAGCCGTCATACAAGTAGTTCTTACCATATTGTGTGTCGTTGTTCACTATGCTTGTCGATCCTCGCCTTATTGCTGTTGTTGCTATGCGTGGTGTGGAAGAGGCCGCCAGCCAAGTGCTCATGCGGTACATTCAGCTCCCTTCGATCGACTCCATGTTCGCCATCTGATGACTTGGTTGCACGTAACGGATTGCAGACTGTTGGTCTGGTGTGTTGTTGCATTCAGTTGTTGTGAGGAGATGGAGGAGATCGGTGAAGAGCAAAGTGAAGCAAAGTCGGGAAAAAAAGAAGGGGAGACATACGCCAGCATCCTCGTGTAACAAAGTTGACCATTGTGTGATGCGTTTCTATATCAAGATCATGCTAATCATGATTACTGTGAGGCGTTTATGGTTCTCTTTTGACGCTACAGCCATGGATGGGGCTAATGGCAGTGATTGGGTGACTTGGGCGGGGCGCTTATGATGGCTGTTTATCAATAAATCCTTGCTCATTGTTATTTCCCTCCTCTTTCTTTCTCTTTCTGCTCTCTTTTTTCATCCTCCACCACGAACCATCAACAATGACGACCTCCTCAATGAGCGACATACCAACCATTTCAACACAACATAATGATTCCAGCAACATCATCCATCAAGCCACGATGCAGTTTATTCAACCAGGATGTCAAGATATCAATGCACTCGAAAAACGAGCAAAGGCATTTGCGTACAGTGCACGTCCTGGGTTGGCGCTACGCGATGCTTTGGAAATCATTCGACTTGCACCGTCATCATCGATTGGACATGCACTCACTGCTGGGATTCACACGCAATATGGACAACACGCAAGAGCCATCCATCATTACAACGAAGCCCTCAACATCGAACACGATTTGATCAGACGTCACGAGATTGAACAATCGAGTCGTTATAGTGAGCAGCAGCTTTCAAAGGGAGTCGACTTTGTATGCAAGCTTCCTTTTGAGTTGGTGTCATCATTCATCCTTCCACCAACCCTGACGATTACATCCCATGAATCACTTTTATACCTGCATGTGTCCAAAGCATGGCGACAAAGAGCATTGCAAACGGCGTATCTTCAATTCACACGCATTACAAAGTCAGCACGTGCTTCCATGTATCTCCTTGTTTCGTACGCTGCATATATACAACACATCTCGTTATCGGATCATGCGTCGTTCGCATTTCAGCTTGTTTTCAGGACATCGTTTCCCTCATTGCAGTCATTTCACATACACTGTAAGTGCGACTCTGAGCCAGTATGTAAGATACCCCTAATAACATGCTTTTGCTAGTATCCACGAAGGACGACATTTATCGACTCTATGAATTTCTCAAGACATCTGGCAAATCATTGAAAGTGATAGACCTGGAGGGACACGTATGTGTGGAGATAGGTACGAAGACACATTACATCTCGCAAACCGTACCGCTTTGTTTGGATATGATCTTGCAGCTCTGCCCAAATCTTGAGTCCTTCAATGGTACTGTTGTCCGCCTGTCACCGATCGCATGCACGTATCCAAAGGTCAAACGGCTTATGATCCGATACATGGTGTATACCCCTTCAGCAAATAAGAGCACCATTTCAGCAAATACGAGCATTGCATTGGTGAAACGATTCCCATCTTTGAAGCAGTTACAATTACCAAGTTGCCATGATTCGCGCGCACTTCCAGTTATTCATCAGTATTGCCCTTCGCTTCGTTCACTTGAGTACGGCACGCGAGGAGATGCTACAGTGGTTGATCATGGATCGTTGACAATCAACACACCCGGGTTGCATAGCTTAAGTGTAGATGAGAGTTGTGCTCTTCGACTTGAAGACCTTACGTGGACATTGACAAGATACAGCAATACACTGGTGAATATTAATATCAGAGGTCATCAAGCATACCGCGACGACAGCACAGCGGCTCTTGACCCGAATGCACGATTCGAACATCTCCGCAACATTACCTTCGATTTCTTTGCTGAGGATCATTCAACAAGCCTTTTACGTTTGATATTACAACATGCATCCGACGCAAGATCTCTTTCAACTATTCCCTACAACGTTGACGATGCTGACATTTATGAAATCTTGACGAGAATGCAACACCTCACGTCTATCGAATGTTCAGCGCCATCCACGACGATGATAAGGCTTATGGAGCACCATGGAACCTTGCGGCATGCATCTACGTTGCGTAATGTGGCCGTTGGATTTGATCACGATGGCGAGCTACATGAAGACATGTTGAATGCTATACGTCGATTGCCCCAATTGCAGTGTCTCTCCCTAAATCTTAATGGCTGTGTCCTAGGAGATCGATTTCTCGCTTTTATGGAGATGCTTTCTCACGAATGCCCTTGTTTGGAAGAGCTCGAACTTCTTTCATGGCACGAAATCCCACCTGAACTCATACCCAAGTTTCGTTTATATCCACGACTCAAATCCCTTACTTTGCGTAGTCCCGATTGTTGGGATGAATGCCTCCTGGATCTTTTACATTGCCCATCATTAGTATCTCTTTACCTTCTCGATGCCAATCTCCCTGAAGAAGCTGCAGATGCTTTGGCCAAGGTACTAACATACATAGACGTTACCGAACATTACCAAAGCATTGTAAGGAATCATATTGAATAAAGCTTCTTGTCAATTGCCACTGCGAATATCGATCATCATAAGTCTACAGGGATGCATTGTTGTGGTTGACCAGCGATGGTGTCATTTTTTTAGGGGATCCACGTCCTGGTACATGAATTAGTCATCATTGAGGAGTATGACCAACAAACGCATTCGACACGCTGATACGGCAACATCACGAACATCATATGGCCACAGCACATCACCCTCGATACATTGTTTTACACACCCACCATCTGCCGCTCTGCCGCCATGTTGCCATGGCTAAACCAAACAGTGACAAAAGACTAGAATGTAAGTTACACCAACACCAAAAGCACGTTGGCTTTTACGACCTTGAACCTCGTGGCTTACTTTCCTTGTCACCCTTTGAAGATTCTATTAGCTAATGAGCTCCATGTTGAACTGTGTCAGCGATTGGCTTGTAGTTGTTGTCGGGGTTTTCGTCAACCGTGAAGAAGAGCTGAGTAGATTGTAAGCATGCATGCATACAAGCCTTGTATTTTCTCTCCAAGTCAGCCAAACACCCCAATGATCCACATCGCCATGGCAACCAATAGCAGCAGCCAAGGAATGCTAATCCGGTACACCATCGCTATTCCTATTGTTATATCGTCTTAGCATACAGCATGAAAATGATACGCTTTTATTACTAAACTTGCTTTGTATTGTGTATAAGGAAGGAGCAGCACTTTAAAGATTCATACGATCATTCTTATATAAAAAGCTTTATTATCATAAAGAAATGACTACTTGTGCCAATGCTTAGCCCATCTCCATGGAGATGGTTTCCAGGTGTGACCACGTGGAGGTGATTGGCAACCCACACCCTAGTTTTTTGTCATTGCGGACTCTTGCTCAGGTTTGGCTGGGTAGAGTTAATTGGGGTACTAGTGTAAAGTGTTTCCGTGTTTCGTGACCTTGCAGTTTCGTAACCCTTTCGATTCGTGGGTGTCTTGCTGGTTTCGTGAGTACCCCGAATCCCCTCCCCCAGCTAACCTGGATACCGTGTTTCGTGACGCTTGTTTATAGGACCTAGCGAGCCATACTTGCGGTCTTGTCCGGGAACCTAGAGTGAAAGAGAGATACTTTGTAGTTGGGAAAAAAGGGCTTCCTTTTTATACCAAAGTGGGTTTCCATAGCACCTTAGACGCGTAAGCGTTTGTGTCACACGAAATTCGGCCAACTTGCTAAAATCTTCGGATCCCAATTACTCAAAACCTTTCAATTCAACATGTTTTAGGCCATTAGAAAAACGTGTTCCTCTCATCGAGACGATTCCAATGGTATATTGTTTGCGATGGTTTTGTTTACTTTTGTCAATTTGAACATTGCTATGGTCACATAGTACAATTTCCTTTTTGGGTCACGGTTTCAGATCTCGGGCCGACCACTTTGGAACCACTGCCATAGGGTATAACTCTTTGGTTTTCAGGTAAACCTCGTTTGTGGTAATAGAGAAATGTGTTCGTCTCGATGATACGAGCATAACGGTATGCTATTCGTATGATAGATTTTTATATCCTGAATGGCTGAAACAGTGCTGTCCATCAACACCTAATAAGTTCACCTCGTTCAAACCTATACAAACAGCATACCGTTAGGCTCGTCTCATCGAGAGGAACATGTTTTTCTATTACCACAAGTGAGGTTTACTTGAAAATCAACGCGCTATGGCCTGTAGCAGTGGTTCGAAAGAGCTCGGCCCGCGACCTGAAACCGCGACCCAAAAAGGAAATTGTACTACGTGACCATAGCAATGTTCATATGGACAAAAGTAAAGAAAATCATGGCAAACAATATACCATTCGAATCGTCTCGATGAGAGGAACATGTTTTTCTAATGGCCTAAAACAGGTTGAATTGAAAGGTTTTAAGTGAATGACATATGAAGATTATAGAAAAAGTAGGAAATTGGATAAGGTTTGGGGTGACACGAACGCTTACGCGTCTAAGGTGTTGCGCAACCCATTGGGTATAAAAGAGAAGCCTTTTTTCCCCAACTCCAAAGTATCTTTCTTTCCACTCCTCCCACGGTCTTCAAAGGTAAGTTTCTTTTGCACAGGTAGGTGAATGAGTGGTGAAGAAGAGGGGAGGTGAAGAAAAAAAGAAGAGGGGATAAAGAGGACCATTGGGGTATGTGAATGCGGGGGGGGGAAAGAAGAGGAGATAAAGAGGTATGTGTATGGATGGTGCGGGTGGTAGTCTGACCACGACTATAAATTGGTCGTCTTCAATGACGTTAACTTGCGTCCTGATAACGACGTTAAACTAATCCGTCCGAAATGACGTTAAACTACGGGTGTGGATTGCCAATCACCTCCTCGTGGTCACACCTGGAAACCATCTCCATGGAGATGGGCTAAGAATTGGCACAGCTAGTTGTTTACTTTTATTTAATAAAGCTCTTCTTATATACAAAAGCATCTATATGGTCATCTTCTTATATAAGCAATACAATGTCTATAGCCACGTAGTCTTCCCTTTTATATGTTGTAGTTTTTATATATCAAATAAACAATCATTCATCCGCACGTTGTGGTAGTAATCATGTGGGTTGCTATTGAAGCGGCTAAGTGTGAGAGATGCTGAGTGGTGCTGTGTCTAAAGGTGCATGCTGATGGGTCATTTTCGTTTGTGTGTGTCAAAACGGTTGCTTTGTGTACTCAGCTTCAGCGTGCTTGTTATACCCAGATTCAACAACAACACGATTGTAATTCGACATTGGGAATAGCTCGTTAGCAAACGGTGTATGGGAGAATGCATCCATCAAGGTGAGTAACGTGTTGATAGAGCACAAATGTAGGCTTGCATTTGTTCGTGTGTACTGATAGGCGTGTGTTTTTACAGCTTTCTTGTTTCAGGAATAATGGACAGTGTCAGATGCATGTCGTAGGTGGATGTGGCTCTGATGATGGTCGACATAGTGTGCGTCGAATGGTTGCCGTCGAGTAGTAGGTAACGTGAAACAGCATGTTGCAGGATGAAAACAAAAAGGACGCCTCTGTAAACTGGTTGCTCATCATCTTCCATACCTGTCAAAGAACTTAAGCCTAGCGTACTTGCATGTTCGTTCCATAACGCCCAACCTGCCTTTTACACTGGCTACATGTAACATGTAACGCGACTTGTAATTAAAGAACGACGTGATCTGTGATATGATAAAAACGTATCGTAAATATTGGCTGCTTGCACGGAATTCGCTACCCCACCATATAACCTTGGCATGTACTCCATGGTCACTAATGAATTGTGTCACTTCCAATGGCTAAGGCTGCAATCCTCAATGATCCTCAATGCAATTGGTAGGGCCACGATAGCGCTGTCACATGGTTACATGTGAACCATAGCTGTCAAGGACGCCTTACATCAGAGAGCAAGGTACGATCCCGCTCCACCCATAGCAAAGAGAAATATCTACCATATCCGTAGTTGCTGTTATCAAACGTCCTTTTTGCCTTGGCGTCACCAGCGGCACATCGTGCACAGCACCAAATAGATCCCCTCTCCATGGAATAGCACAAGCTAAAGCTTTCACTTGCTGAGAGATTGCTCAAGGTATCCGTTGAGGGAATCCAACGGTGGGCTATGCCATAGAACCAATAATAAATGTTGCTTTCATGATCTACCAACAAGCGATACAAGCTGCAAGGTAGCCGATCGCCGGTCTACCGAGATGGTAGTTGAGAGGCACAACCCTACAACGATCCACTTGCTGCCTCCGAGAAAAACATCCAAAGGGAAATAGAGACCTTCGTCCATCACAACGATAGCGCCCAGTACGACAATTGCAGCTAGCCCCTGACGACACACATGATACCAAGGAGTAACTCAAACGACGGCTGGATGGAATGAGAGACCTATCAATATGCATGTTACTAATTTGTCTTGCACATAATGGAAGGAATGTACGTACTTAGTCAAAGCTATATGGAAGTCCACAATGTTCAGTGCCTCCCAACAACCAATTCCAATTTCGTTGCCATGGAGATATGCATACAATGACGAATGCTGATAGCCGTTCTCCATAGAAACGAATGTTACTTCTTGATGATGACTTGGGAAACCGATAACCTTGAATCTCATGTAGCTTGTTCCACTTCTCAAATGGCGTGTTCCACTTCTCAAACGGCGTGTTCCACTTCTTCAATGGCGTATTCTACTTCTCAAATAGGTTGCTCCACTTCTTATGTAGCATGTTCTACTTCTTCAATGGCTTGTTCCACTTCTCAAATGGCAAGTTCCACTTCTCAAACGGCGTGTTCCACTTCTCAACTAGCTTGTTCCACTTCTCAACTAGCTTGTTCCACTTCTCAACTAGCTTGTTCCACTTCTCAAATAGCTTGTTCCACCTCTCAAATGGCGTATTCCACTACTCCAATAGCTTGTTCTACTTTTCACACGGCATGTTCCACTTCTCAAATGTTGTGTTCATCTTCTCAAAAGCCTTGTTCCATTCCTCAAACGTTGTGTTCCACTTCTCAAAAGCCTTGTTCAACTTCTCAAATGACTTGTTCAACTTCTCAAATGAGTTGTTCCACTTCTCCAATGGCGTATTCCACATCTCCAATAGCTTGTTCCACTACTCAAATGTCGTGTTCGACTTCTCATGTAGCTTGTTCCACTTCTGAAATACGTTGTCCCACATCTCAAGTAGCTTGTTCCACTTCCAAGAATGCTTGTTCACTTCTCCAATGTTGTGTTCCACTTCTCGAAAGTCTTGTTCCACTTCTTAAATGGCGTGTTCTACTTCTCATGTAGCTTGTTCCACTTCTCATGTAGCTTGTTCCACTTCTCAAATAGCGTGTTCCACTTCTCAAATGGCTTTTCCATATCTCCTATGGCGTATTTCACATCTCAAATTGGTTGTTCCACTTCTCAAATGGTGTATTCCACATTCCAAATAGGTTGTTCTTACTTCTCACGTAGCTTGTTGGACTCCCCAAATGGTGTGTTCCACTTCCCAAATGGCTTGTCGCACTTCGCAAATGGCTTGGTCCACTTCTCAAAAGCCTTGTTCCACTTCTCCAATGCCGTATTCCACTTCTCAAATAGGTTGTTCCACTTCTCAAATAACTTGTTCCACTTCTCAAATGGCGTATTCCACATCCAAAATAGGTTGTTCTGTTGTAGGACATTTCGGGACCCGGACATATCGCGATATGCCCTAGGACATTTTAGGATTCCGAAACGTCCTAGGGCATTTCAGTACCATAGACAGCTCTTGGTAATTGTGCCCTGCCAACATGGTTACATACGTCGTTGTGTATTGTTTTGCTATTTGAATACCATCACAAAGCATTTGATCACCTGTGACAACCTTGTCTCATATGATAACACATGTTGGAAGCAGGATCGGATTCATATTTCATGTGCCATTTTTGAGAGAAGTCATGGGAAAGACAAGCATGAAAGCATAGGTAGGTGGGCGTTCATCACAAAGTATCAATACCGGAAAGAGTGGAAACTTCATTTGACATATGACTTTGTGATTGCAGCACTTAAAAGTTGAAAAAGCTGTCTATGGTACTGAAATGCCCTAGGACGTTTCGGAATCCTAAAATGTCCTAGGGCATATCGCGATATGTCCTGAGTCCGGAAATGTCCTACAACAGTTCCACTTCTCAAATAGGTTGTTCCACTTCTTGCAGTAGCTTGGTTCACTTCTGAAATGGCGTGTTCAACTTCGCAAGTAGCTTGTTCCACTTCGCAAGTAGCTTGTTCCACTTCGCAAGTAGCTTGTTCCACTTCGCAAGTAGCTTGTTCCACTTCCCAAATGCCTTGTTCCACATCTCAAATCCCATATCACACTCTCAAATGTGTTCCACATTGCGCATTGCTACCTTGTGGTTGATGTTGATATGATTGATGCGTAGCGTGCAGGCGTGTCAGGATATGGGTCAAAAGAAAAATCGACGCAAGATAACGCTTTGGCTCACCGAAAGGTATGAATGCCGTTGTTTGGTGCTGCAGACGTCCATGCAAGTGATGTTCAAATGTAATCACATAATACGGTGTGCCGGTACTGAGAAATGCTGTGGACGTTGTTGCTTGATCATGACATGGTGTACCTAAAATGCATGGTGAACAATTGTCGCAAACGCAAACGTACGTTACTCACAATGATAGGTTCGTCCTTGAAGGATCCAAGCACCAGAAGAGAAGTAGTTTGTTGAATAGCCCACATGCTATCATAAACGAGGATGTTGGTAGGTGTTGTAGAAAAGACCGGATCAATACTTACCAGTGATACCCATATATCCATCAAATTTGTTAATATCCAAAGGAACCTGACGCTTTGCAAAGGTTCACTTGTCAAGACATGGGACATTCTCACACGCCAAGTAAGCGAAGGAAGGAAGCCTGGCAGTACGCATGTGAGAGCTGTGAAGATGATCGGTAGCACAAAGCATAGCACACTTACGTGAGATCAAGCATTCGAAAAATGGACGATTGTTGGTAACCCCTTTCAGCAAAACGATGGTGCTTGGTAACCAAAAGGCAAATTCGTAATTCAATCAACATGATACCGATAAAGGTGTTCGTCCCGTGAATGTTGTAGATAAGGATTCATTCGCACACCAACAAGAGATGAGACCCGGAAGAAATACATCAAACATGTTGCTCGGAACACAAAGCACCAGGTGACGGGATAAAGCTTGCTGACACCTAACCGAAGTACTGCCCGCTGCCGATTGCTCATATGTATGATCCATCTATAAAGGATTACCTCAATCAATATCCTTCGAAGGAGTTACCAAGATGCTCGAATGCAACCAATCCCAGATTGAACCCTTTTACCTTGAATAACATTGCTGGTGCAAGTAACCTTGTATCCATCCGCTCCAAAGATGTATTGATGCTCTGTCATTGTAATGCTTGTTAATCACCTAGTCTTACGTTGTAAATCCAATCCAAAGCGTACCTGTAGCGTCACAATCCACTGCTATAGGTTGTAAACGAAGAACTTGACAAGTGTCGTAAAAAGCTTGCGGGATCGGTTTACAATGGTTGCCATATGTACGAGACCATGGTTACACTCTTCTGTATGATCCACTTTCAAGGGATGTAGTAAGTTGATACCAATAATTGAAGCGAAGCAACCATACCTAGCAGGCATATGTTGTAAGAATACGCGTAATATTGATATTACCAAATACTACATACTTACTTCGTGTGAAGGACTCCATACATGAGCCAATGTCCAAAGACTTTTAAATCAGGTACAGTACGCGATGTTCAACGTCATACAGGAATCGAATAGGCGTGATCCTGAAGATAGGTGAATGCCTTGTGCCTGTTACTGATGCAGAGTAACCCGCCGATAAAAGTTGGGAACCAGAAGATATATACCAGCAGGTTGTCCGTAACATGAATCCACAGATGAGGCGATAACGCTTGCTGGCAGCACAAAGCCGTAGATGATGTTGCTTGCTGTCCATACGATCAATCCATAAACCATTACGTCGATACGCGGCCGTGCAAGAGATTGGCAGTACGCAACAACCACCCGATGCTCACGTAAACGTAAGTGATAAGGAAGATAAGGTCTCGGCAGCTTGATGATGATCTATGATGGATCTATGTAAGGCATAGTAAACAATCTTCCAGACCCTTAAACTATACCTGGCAATGATAAACGCCATCCTGCGGAATCAAATCCCCAAACATGCTGCTTGTTGCAATGCGATCCATCTAAAAGAGCCAGGTTGGCAACCATTTTCCGTAGCACGAAAGAGATGCGTGCCCAATGCCTACCATGGCTGATAACGTGATACACTCGGTGATCATAAGTTTAGGCTGCTTGCAGTAATCCATCTAAATAGTAGATGTTTCAGCAACAGTTTCCAAAAAGCATCCGAATAAAACATACCTCAATCCCAATGATCCCATAGACCTCGAACGACATACGCCATGAAGGTGCAATAAACATTGGTCTTGCAGTAGGCCATAATCTTATCAGCACACGTTCCTTGAGGGCGACATGGTTCCCCCAAAAGAGGGCATAGTACAATACTATTTTTTGGCGTGGTAACCGTATACTAACGGAGGAAAAAGCCCTGTTGATTCTGGGATTGCATATCTTCCACCGTAAATGCGCTTGTATACAACATATCCCACAATGACCCCTATTACCTTGTGTTCTCAATAGCTGCCTTGCTTCAAACCGAAATCGTAATCCCATGCCATCCGTAATCTGTCGATGCTGGTTTAGTGGAAAGCTGTTTAATTATTAGCACTTGTATTGTAGATCCAAAGCTATGCATACCAACGAACGGGGAAGCAATGAAGCGATATTTGGAGATGAATGCGTTGAATGATGAATAGACTTTGACATCGCCGAAACGAGGCATAGCATTGTTGTGCACTCCTGATGTGATGCATCCATAAACGACTTCACTGACGAGCGCCCTTGTATCCGATGGGGCAATAAAGAAAGCCATCAAGCGATCAGATGAATGTTGGTGACACCAAAGGTAGGCTTGCGATGGATGATGGCTGCTTCGTGATTGTGGTTGATATGATCCACCGATACCAGGCATGCATAAAGGGACACTAGTCGAAGGATTATAGACTACCTGAATCAGGGTGAAACATATAAAGGATGAATGTTGTTGCAGACGTACACAATAGGAAATGCTGTGCATGATGCATCACGTGAATCATAGGATAATGTAATGAGGCTTCAGGCACTGGAAAATGCCGTAATGGTGCTGCTTGATGTTGACATGGTACACCTATGTGTAAACGATGGGCAGCAAAAAGTTTTCAGAATCCCATAGAGCAGTACGTACCTATGATAGATCCATCCAAGGCATTTCCAAAGCATCCAAGCAGAAGTAGCATGCTGCATATCTCACATGCTAGAATAAAAGAGGGGGTTGGTAGGCGTTTACGCAATGAACGGATCATCATTTACCAATTATAGCCATATGCACAAAACACTCTTGCCATCCCATGATCGCAGCATCCATGAAAAGTTCAAAGTACCAGAACACACGTAGCTCCCTTAAGTAACCGCCCGTATAGTAGAATAAAGGAGAAGGTAAGTACGTGTTGTAGAAAAGAAAAGATCACTACTTACCGATGACTGCCATATTCATGAACACCATTCGATATCCCAACCAAACCAATCCCTTTGGAATCGACCACTTGATAGGACACCCTGTGTTGGTACTGGACCTGTAGACCATAAATAATACTTGAGATACAAATGCCATGCGACCGCCAATGCGAGTATACTTACATGATCCTGAGAGCCATTGGAAGAAGAGATAACGAGACCATCTTTGCTGCCCAAGACCACATGCAGATCGTAGAAGCCATCAATCGACGTACATGTGGCTAAAAAGCGATGTGAATGGCAATCGTTTTTGACAGTGAATAGAACGCAGCTTGACAATTGATGCCTTGGGGAGATGCATAGATGACCTTGGTAACAAAACGATGTCAACGGAACTCTCATTCTTTGTTGATGACATGATCTACTTCAGTTGCAGAGATCCGTGAAAGGGGTTGTCGATAACCAGAACGACCATGACATGGAAGGCGTGCGAACACCAAAAATATACAAGTGACCCTTTTTGTTGAAAAGTTCGAATGAATCCATAAGAGATGTTGAATCGAAGTGGCGGTACGTCCAAGCAGTCACCGATAACCCAAAAACACAGGAGATGGAAAGTTTGCGGGTAACCAATATAAAGAAGAAGTCCATTGTTCATGACATGATCAATCGGTAAGAGGCCTTTGTTTCAAGACATGCACCAAATGGGTAGAATCAAATCCACATGACGATGGGTAAACCTTGGCGTGCATCCAACTATATGAAGGCTGTTGCTTGTCAATAATACGATCCACCCATAAGAGATGTGCATCGCTGGCCTTCGCACAGAGAATAACCAGGTGCTTGTGAATGACGGGCAAGGAACGATTGACGACACCAATAGACGTAATCCATTGCCCTCTTTCCTAACATCATTCACGTATGAGAGATTCATGGTCAATGATTTCACAAACCCATCCGACAAACCTAAACTGCCATAGCCGAGAACGCGTGTACTTTGAAGCACGAAGAGTCAAGTGGCGCTGTGCAATAATCGAAGCCTAATACAATAGCGCATCATCAGCATTCCGTTTCGGCAATATTAACAAGAGCACTTACCAATGTGCACTATAGAACATTCGCATAATCGCCATCCCAATAAATGCACCTTGGGCGTTGCAATCAAGGACTTGGCCATATATGTGTGTTGCTTCCAGTGGTCGCTCTAAAATGGTATGCGTTTCAGCAAAGGTCTCCAAAAAGCATGATAGTCATACATACCTGAATCACGCAATCATCATCCGCAGACTTGGGAACCAAATAGGCCATCAGGATGTAAAGTAATAATCAAAGCGCACAGCCAAAGAAACGTCATTGTACCGGTACTCTCCTGTGGATCGACGCGATGAAGTGCATCAATAGAGATACCCATCTTCTCTCTAAAGGCAAGGAGATCAATAGCCGTAAACGATGGAGCCGTGCGAACAGAGGATGCATTTTTAAATCCCTAAGGCCGCAACATGAGTCGCACTGTCCCCGGGCACAACATGTAGAGCTCCACAGGAAAGTATAGTACAATGACGTCCTCGGCGTGCAGACTTGATAATAATAGTATTGCCGGAAGAGGCCCTGCCACTGTATGATGATGTTTGGTAAGCTCACTTGAATCCGACTAATCGCACAATGAACCTCTTACCTTGTGGTATTTCTCTATAGCATCTTTGCCTCAAATAGAAATCGTATATCCATGCCATCCAGTAGGTGCTGCTGCTGTTTCATTGCAAGGCTCGTTAATTAACATGTTTCGCTTTGTAGATCCAATACCATGCATACCATTGAGCCAACGATACAGCATTTTTGCTTTGAGATCCGTATCTTGTTGCTGCCAGAGGTACCATCATCCAACATGTTCAACCTACCATAAACGCAATGTGAGATAACAAGTAAAACCAACCCACACGCTTTTGTTGTCACCATACGCAAAAGAAGCAATTTAAAGACGTCTTGAGAACTCTCATTGGAGACAATTCGGTAAGGAAGGCACACGACGCCCTGAACCATGGTGATCACAAGGAATTGCAACCAATTACACCATCGGAAGGCAAAACAATAATCAACCTGCAGCGCCAAGGTATGCCACCGTATGTACTATACTCTCATTGGATCCTGAAATTGGCATCATAAGAGATATCCACCTTCTCTCTGTAGGCAAGGAAATCAATAGCCGTACTTGGATGGAGGCCGTGTGCACAGCGGATGCCTTTTTAAATTGGCCTTGCCATCGCATCTTGAGTCACACTGTTTCCGGGCCAAAATTCCCCAGGAGAGCACAGTACTATACAATGACATCCTCGACGTGCAGCCATGATAATAATCGTATCGCCGAAAGAGAGCCTATTCCTTTCATCAGTGCACGTGAAGGTGACAAATGCAAAAAATGGTGCACTTTACCTTGAGGTGTTCCCAATACCATTTCAATGATGCTTGCAGATAACCTTGTATCCATGCAATCCGGTATGTGCTGCTGGTATTTCATTGTAAGCCTCTTTAATCAACATGACCTGGTTTGTAGACCTGGTTTGTAGATGCAAGATTATACATACCAATCATGTACCAATAGAGCTCTTGTTGCAAACATTGCTATTGCGTTCCTTTTCCCATGCATCGGATTGATCCGTATAGAAGTCTTGTACACCTTCACGGGCACCTCAAACTTGAAATGCCTTTGGTAAATAGACACTTGGTTGGCGCGGCCAATGCATATTGAACGTCAACACCTGGGCAATAGGTAAATGCTTTAGTTTGATTATAATCCCCCCAACGTACTTACTATCTCATAGCCACTGAACCACTGACTTCTATGCATGATCATGCTTGTCAAAGATAAGACACCAAGTTGCAGCAAGCCAAGCGATGCCAACATACAGGTAACAAGTGAAATCCTTCAAGGTGGTCCATACTGATACGATGGATAAAGTAAGGATTCGCAACACCTAATCGAAACCATGATCAACACAAGAACAAGGAAACAAGGCCTTTATCGAACATACCATTAACGTGCATCTCCTTTAACCACCATGAGCCATTACCACGTGGTACACCACTCAGTCATATTCCTTGCGAATGCCATCCAATGATCAACACCAAGGTACGTTGTTGAAGCAGGAAAAGCTGCCCACATTCTTTGATAGCGGTATCTTGGTCCACGTAATCCATAAAGCGTAGACAATCGCTACGATAGTGCCAACTCCAAGACGCATACGTATAAGATATGGAACAATTCCAATCCAAAGCAAATGGCCATTCATGAGCCACAACACGGGCGTCTCCATAACAATGTCGAAAACAAGTTGGTGACAGAACCAATGCGTCTGCCCTTGGCATGTTTGGCATCCACCTTAGCGCGTTGCAGCTTCGCGTTGCCTGTGGCCGATGTAAAAACAACGATGAGCCTCTGGTTGCATGTATAGATAATGTTGTACTCGTTACCTTGTTCACTGTAAACGTTGGCTTCAATTGAATGTCCAAGCAGTGTACATGAAGAGCGCTGTGGCATGAGCTTCACATTGCGAGAGAGCGGGTCAATGTTGGCGTGGTTTGACATTCCAATGCCGGCATGGGTTCGAAGGTGACATGGAGCAATGCGTGGATTGTTGGAATTGGGTTGTTGAATTGTAAATGTTTGTACATTCTTGAAGGTGCAGCTGTTCAAGCGTGTTGGTAAAAGAAGTCTGAAATGGAGAGGTGGTAACCAAGGAAGGACGCCCCCTCCCAAAAATCAACAGCAGCCTGATATTTTTGGAAACGCCCGCCACAAGTAATCATTCTGGCCACTCACCTAATCGATAAAGATGCTCCAATGACTTGATCCATCGAGCACTATCAATGGAAATAGATATAAGTAATACCCCACAGAGAGGATTATTGCCGTAGGTAAACAAGACCATACCATTGGCACATCGATTACCGAATTCGTGATACCTGCATGCATCTTTGTGTTACCTTTCCCTTACTGTATTGATGCGCAAAGAAAGAGCATTGTTCGTATGACGAACATTCATGTGTAGATTAATCATCCAGCCAATTACTCATCCTTGTTGACGTGTGTTTGATTACAGTCTGCACACTTTTATCTTTGGCGATAGCATGCAAGGATAATATGAATCAACATCCTTTGCTTTCTTGTTCATCCTATCGGCCATAACAAAGGTCATTCAGCTTATCGATACTGCAAGGAAAGGGAGGCCCATCCTTGATCACCATGATCAAACCTTACAAGCTATGGATAGAATTTCATACATTACAAGGCAATCGCTATATAAACTTGTATGACGCTTTCCCAGCTATGAAAGGGGGCACTAGATCTTTATGCTGGGTGACATAGATCCAATGAGATATTAGGGCATAGGTATGAATAGTTGGATTGTTTATGTGAAGGCGACATGTGTCAACAGCAAGGATGATGATTACGTACGACATGAGCCGATCAAGGTTACACAGTGCGTTACGAGCAATAATGATGTTTCGTTGCATACGGGTACTTTGCGTGTGCCAGGTATTGATAATTTTCTACCATCATGGTATATGGATTGACGCACAATCCTTTCGTTAACGATTATACATCATACCTAGCATTGTGTGTAGCATCAGCTATTATCATATACGTTACTCATCTTGTTAGCCGAAGACACTCCTGTGAAAGATCCATCCCTGAGACTTTCTCTTGTATGGTCCTGATTAATGGAGATCCATCAATCTTAGCTAGAAAGATAAACCTTTCATGCCCCTGCTGCTTCCTTTTCCCTGCATGTTACGTGTATCGGATTCGCTACTCATCATGCATGCAATGTTTGCGGTGTGCGTGTTTAAGTCATCCCATGTGTGGTTGCCCATGCATGCACCACAACGTTGGATCAACGTGAAAAACTGCTATCTCAGAGCCTTCTTCATCATCAAGAGTTGTTCTCATGTCTCCCACAAACAAGTAAGGTCGATATAGACATCATCTTCTCCATTTACGCCTCACCATCTTTATGTTCACAAATCACAAAGCTACGCTAGTATAGCTAACAGGACAAGGGAGTACCTCATTTACCTATATTCTCTCCATCGCTTACCATATCCTTCCATCCACCTGTACATATGGCCAAACTGCTTGATGCGAAAATCCACGCACTCAGAAAAACATATCCATCAATGCTCATCCTCCAAACATACATACCTCATCATCGGCTTAATGGGTCACCAATCAAAGCAACACTTGTAGTAATAGAATCATCCTATAGCATCACGACAGCTGACACTGCAACATAAGAGGTGGCGCTTGCGCATGTAACTATTGATGACGACGATGAGGATTTATGAGTCTTACAACATTCACATTTATACTATCCCACGTACCAATGCGTATGTAAGAACCCTTCGCATGCCGGTAAATCACCTGCATGGTATAGCGTAGTTGGCCACTTTGAGCTAGTAACGACGAGCACCTTCAACACCAAGATCTTCAGTAAGCTCACACAATGAGCCTTGTTCACAATTGTAGTTCACTAGATGCATTAGTCATCGTCGTACGTGGGAGGTAAAACTGGCGTTGTGGAAGAAGAAGCTGATAAAAAGTGTAAGCACAAGCGAGCAAGAGCAGCTGGGGCTAGTGATGACGCGTCACCAAGGAGACGAATGCCGGTTGCCTCGAATCTGATGAAGGTAAGGAATGCTGCATGTCGACAAGGAGTAAGAGTGAAACTTGAAAGAGTATGATAAAGGTGGTGAAATAGAGCAAGGATTGTGTTCCGGTTGCCGAGCTAAACAGAGGTTGTCGGAAAGGAAGGCACTTGGGCTGTTGTAGTGCATTTCCGGATTCAGTGCATATCGCGATATGCCCTAGTGCATTTCAGGATTCCGAAACACCCTAGTGCATTTCATGTCTATAGGCAGCTTTTTAACTTGAAGTGCTGTGATCATTTAAAATCGTATGTCGAATGAAGTTTTCACTCTTTCCGGTATTGATACTATAATAGAAATCCTCACCTACATATACTTTTACACTTCTCGTCCCGATAACTTCTCCCAAAAATGCCATATGAATTATGAATCTGATCATGCTTATAGGACGTGTTATAATATGAGGCGATGTTGTCACTTGTGAGCAAAATACTTTGTGATCATACTCGACTAGCAAAACAACACATGAGGACCTATGTTATCATCTTGGCAGGGCACAATCATCAACGGCTGCCTATAGTCCAGAAATGCACTAGGGTGTTTTGGAATCCCGAAATGCACTAGGGCATATCGCGATATGCACGGGTCCCGAAATGCACTACAACAGGGCCAATAAAACTTTGTGTTCAGGGACTAGTTCTGCTTGGTGACCCCTCTTTCTCTTCCACAACCAGCAGACAATGAACCAACATGCTTTGGGTGACCTCTGCCAACAACCCACACTCACAGCTTCCTCTGAAAAATATGCACAGCTCGCTCACGATGCAACCAGCCAACTCCATGAACCCGTTCAATCGATCTTGTCAGCCTTGAATCTACGTGCATTGGCATTGACCAAGTTTGCTAACTTTGATGGTGCACTTCGCGATGCCCACATTATGCTTCAACTCTCGTCATCTTCACCCCTTGGGTATTTACGCTTAGCCGAAGTTTATAGCGCACAAGGGAAACAGCGACGTGTTATGGCCGTATGCTCTAGAGGACTCGATAAGGTGGACGCCAAGGATACGCACTATGCAACATTGCAGCAAGTCAGAAAGGATGCTTTTAAACGCCTTAGAAAACGCATTGACTTTATGAGCCTACTACCTGTCGACATTGTCGTTTCAACGCTTATCCCGATGTTCATGTACGACAACCTTGTGGAGGGATCAAGTCGATATTTAAAAGTGAGCAAGATATGGAGTGAGCGTATTATTCAATGCTTCAAAGGATTGCGTTTCAAGTTTGGCGAAGGTGACAACGTGTCCCAGGTCATCAAGTATGCTCCCAATGCAAAGTTATTGCACATCTCATCCCGTTCCAAAGGCAAATGGCTCGGCGATTTCATTCGTGGTCACGACTTTTCATCGTTGGAAAAGATAGTAATTGAAAGTAAGTTGTGCACGTCGCTTTCGTAAGCAGCATTTATTAACCATTGTCTGTATCAAAGGATTCAGAAGCGTACGCGTTCAGCACTTTCTTACCGCGTTGAAATCAGTCAGCAGCACCTTGACGTATTTGGAAGTGGAAGTGAAAAACGACATTGAGCTATGGGCCGACCAGCTGATGTTAGCCTGCCCTAATCTCGTTACGTTGCGTCTTTATGATCCGCCTCATATCCATCTCAGCCCTGTTACCTTGCAGATATGGCCTACGTTGACGACATTATCGATTCATAACAAGTCAAGGAACAAAATCACCACTGAGGAGATTATTGGGATTTGGCAGCGATTTCCATCATTGAAGGAGCTCGACATTTATCCATGCGAGGATCTTGAATCAGCGTTTATTGTCTCTGAATACACTCAATTACTTAACCGCCTTCGTCTTGCATTGTTTGGTCCGCGTATTCATCTATACTATCAGCATGAAGAGCACTCGAGTGAAGGGGTTGGCTTAAAGTCCTTTTTGATCGTAACAGATACGGTTAAGTGGAATGAACGGATTGCCGAGGATATCCGATCGATCATCAAGCAATACAACAAGACACTTGTACACCTTGATTGGTTAAGTGATCGTAGCCGTGGTACCGAGACCATTGAACACCTTCAATACCCTCATCTCAAGAAACTTGGTGTCTCTTCCTCTGGATGGCAGATAACACGCAATGCACCCTTGCTTGAAGAATTGAAGCTGTCGTATACAGTCATCAGCGAACACCCTCCAGTACTTGACATGATACCATCCCATTTGAAAAAGCTTGAATTGGATCTTCGTCGTGCACCTCAAGGATTCGACATGTCATTGATTCAACGCTACTTTAATCGCATTGCTCAAACGGTGCAGCTAAAAGAACTTGTGATGCTTTTCAACTATGAACACCCCATCAAAAACAAGCTTGATATTGTATATCGTCTTGGACACCTTGAATGCCTAATGATCCGACATTTTATGAATTGGGAGGAGGATGAAATCAACAACTTTTTGGATGGCCTTGTCCAAGCGTGTCCTCGTTTAACGCGCCTTGAGCTCCAATTGATGAGCCCACCAGCGACCTCTTCAGTGAACATCTTGAAACGACTTGAACATTTTCAGCAGTTTGAATTTCGCGTTAAGAAAGACTCGCAAGATGACACCTTTTGGCATGCGATTTGCACGTTTCCTCAGCTGAAGCGTATTACCCTATATCCTGACTATGACATCGTCGACGGCCATATAAAGCATGTACGACGACAGAGACCTGACCTAAACATCATCATTCGTGAAAATCCTACCGGAGACGGAGACTGAGCCCCCTGTTATACATTACGTATACACTTTCCTCTATTTAAACCTGCCATTTTTGTTCCCTTTTGTATGTAGCGTACCATAAAGGTATCCCACGTAGTGGTTTATATATAAAGCTTATGTATCAAGTATGCAAAAGCCATATCAGCAGTGATTGGATTCCAAATGATGACATCCACTATTAAATCATGAATGTAGGCCTCACCAAGCAATATTGTCCGGTTAAAGCCCCCATCCTTCATTGTAAAGTTTTGTGAGGTAGGTACGTTTATGTTTTACCTCAACTATAGCAATGAAGCTATTATAAAAGTCGTCTTTGGCAATGGTTACCCATACACTCTAATAGTGTGAGAGGTGTGCCAGCAGGGGTTTGTGTACGAAGGCAAAGAAAAAAGGATTAAAAGAGCAATCGATGATATGGGTACACTTTATCACCGTCATTCATACACTGCGAGCTATAAGCCAATTCCACCCAATTCAGCCCATTGTGGGTTTTATAACATATGAAAAACACGCCTGCGCCAAAGATCGTATGCGTCCTTCAATTACATTGATACGTGCCGATTTGAGGAAATTACAGCTAAGTAGCGGGTACATCGGTTCCAACATGCACCGTACACGGGTGTATGGAGTAGCCAAAGCCTGGTCTAAGCGTAGCTCATCCAAATTGGCTCGCATCAATGTGATTAAACCATGGATCTGAACCTTGGAGCAGGCGCATTCACCACACGTTATCAAACCCACAATGGGCTCAATTGGATGGAATTGGTTAATAGCATCCGATCTATGAACGACCATCAGACACTGGACCCATATCATCCATTACTGTTTTAATCCTTTTTTCTTCGCTTTCGTATACAAACACCGCCTTTCGCACCTATCTCACTATAAATGTACATATGAGTCACAATCGAAAAAGACCCACGTTTATAATAGCAAAACATACACGCACCTGTAACTCAAAACCTTTCAATGAAGCATGGGCTCTTTTTGATACCAGCATGCTCAGCATGGTCGAAACTACCTTGTGGGAAAGTTTCAGGATCGAACTCGTCAATAGCAATTTTTAGATTTGTCCATGCCGCCAAAAAAGTTTCTGGAGGTCGACCTGATTTCATTTTGGTGGGTGGTGACATGGCCAAATTTTAGATTGACGAGTTCGATCCTGAAACTGGCACACAAGGTTTCTTGAGGCGGGATGAGCATGTTGGTTGCAAAAGCAGCCCACGCTTCATTGAAAGCTTTCGAGTTACAGGTGCGTGTATGTTTGCAAAGCCGCAGCTATTATAAAAGTCATCTTTTTCAATTGTCACTCATATAACCACTTATAGTGCAATAGCTGCACGAGGCCGTGTTTGGGTAAGAAAGCAAAGAAAACAGCATTAAAAGAACCAATGTATCATATGTACTCACTTGCTGGTGGTCATTGATACATTGCTAGCTATCAGCCATTTCCACCCAATAGAGACCATTGTGGATTTGATACCATATGAAAAATGCACCTGCTCCAAAGATTCACCTTGATGATTTCATTACATTGATCCGAGCCAATTTGAGGAAATTACAGCGACGTAATGTGTACATGCGTTCGAACATGCAACGTATACGGGTGTATGGAGTAGAACAAAACCTGGTCTAAGCATAGCTCATCCAAATCGTCTCGGATCAATATAATTAAACCATGGAACGGAACCTTGGAGCAGGCGCATTCACCACACGTTGTCAAATCCACAATGGGTTCAATTGGATGGACTTGGTTAATAGCGTCCAATCTATGAAGGACCATCAGACAGTGCACCCATATCATCCATTGCTGTTTTACTCCTTTTTTCTTCGCTTTGGTATGCAAACACCGCCTTTCACACCTATCTTACTATAAATGTACATATGAGCTACAATTGAAAAAGACCCACCTTTATAATAGCAAAACATTCACACACCTGTAACTCGAAACCTCACAATGAAGCATGGGCTCTTTTTGATACCAGCATGCTCAGCATGGGCGAAAGTACCTTGTGTGAAAGTTTCAGGATCGAACTCGTCAATAGCAATTTTTGCCATTGTCCATGTCAACCAAAAAAGTTTCAAGAGGTCGACCTGTTTTCATTTTGGCGGGTGGTGACATGGCCAAATTTGATATTGACCAGTTCGATCCTGAAGCTTTCACACAAGGTAGTTTCGACCATGCTGAGCACGTCGGTTGCAAAAAGAGCCCATGCTTCATTGTGACATTTTGTGTGATGGTTGTCTTTATGCTGTAAACATGATGCTATATGACAAAGTCGCCTTTTTCAATTGTCACTGATATAACGACTTATAGTGCAATAGCTGGGGAAGGCCGTGTTTGGGTAAGAAAGCAAAGAAAACAGGATCAAAAGAACAATGGATGATATGTACACGCTTCCGGGTTGGCACACTAGAGCAGAATGGTAGTACTACTACGACTGATACTCCTACTACTAAGTAAATTCCATATGACTGGGTGAGTCATTTACAAATAGCACGTTGGCATAGGCTATACATGAGCATCATTATACTTGAATAAAAGATGATAATTTTTATATTGAGAAAAGCAATCATTGCAATGCAATTTTAATGTGAATAAGGATCCTCTGCCATGATTCTAATACTCTACACAACGTACAAATTGAATAGTCTCCTTGAGCACCTTTATAACCTCCTTGTGAAGTTTTGATCGGTGGAGCACCACGTGATTGAGATGAGGGCATTGTCGAAGGCCTAATGCTCCTATGGTTGCTTCACTCAGGTCGGCCACAGTATGAAGTATTTGGAGGTTGCAAAAACCATGCAAGAGGTAGAGAATGTCATTGGATATCGTGAGTTGACCATAGATGCCGGCACGAAGATACAATGTATGCAAATCGTGACAACCACCGCTTAACGTCTGAAACAACGGAATAAAGGACGTATTGATGGAATGACACGAACCCAGTATAAGGACCTTGAGACACTTCAATCCACCAATCGCTTGCACCATCGTGTCCTCGATCTTTACCATTCCCACATGGAGCGTTTGCAAGCGAGAACCACCACGATTGGCCAAAAAGTCAACATGATCCTTGATGAATTGTGCAAAAACATGATCATAATCATCGGGACGATCTTCTGGTATAAAGCGCATGAGCGAATCAGTAACCAGAGACTTGAGACAAACGCATTGTGCCATGGCACGCATCAAAGGTGGATAGACAGCATATCGACTCAATACAACCCTTTTCAGAAAAGGAGCCCGTTGTACGACCCATGTCATCATGTCAAGGTAGAGCTTGTCACCCCTGGTATTGGACATGCACTTTACATATAAGATTGTCAAATTGCCGAACCGAATGTCATCGTTCTTGTTGATAACATCATACAACGATTGAGAGCGGCTTGTACCAGCACGAAGGTCAATGAACAGTGTTTCCAAGGTATCATGATGGCTGATCAAAAGTTGTTGAATATTATCCAAAGAGTAGTTGTGTATTGTGTTGCTGATATTGAGCTCGCGTAATCCATGGGTTGGTGAAGAGACAATACGTCGTCGCCTGAAGGACACCTTGCCGTCGCTATAACGCAGACATTGCAGCGATCGACATGAGGCATTGATCACACCCATTGGCGTAGAGGTGGGTACATTGCTTAGATCCAGGTGTCGCAAGGAAGGGAGCCATGGTAGGATATCCATCAAAAGGTTGTTGTCAATAAGCTGGATAACTGGGTGCAATGTAAGATGTAACAACGCTGGAAAGGTCGCTTCGAGTGGTGATAGCCGGATATCAGTGATGCAATCAAGAGATACCAAACGCGGGCAACTTTTCAAGATATCATTCAAATACAACGGCTGATCCAGACGTGAATAATCTCTTAGTATCAATGTTGTCAACGTGCTGCCGATGGAACATAATGTGCTGATGGCTTCATCCACTTTTCCCAAGGGTGATTCTGATATCATGATGAGTACATGCATTGGTATGGTGTTGATCATCCACTTACGTTCAATGAATAAGGATGTCAATGAGTTGAAATAGTTGGGTGATTTGAACAACATGTAAAATGGAACGCCACAGGTGCGATATTCGATAGATCGTAGATGCTGAAATGATTCGACAATCACTGAATTGGTTTTCTCAAATGGCACCTCGTCCTCAATGATAACTTGAAGATGGTCTGAATGGAAGATGCATTGGCGCCATGTCGATGATACCAGCAAATATTGGCAATACTCCTCATATCGGCACCCAGCAAACACCAACCCGAAGATACTGTAACTGACATCATTAGGTAATCTCGCAACCAAATCCATTCTCCTGGTTGATCGCTCCAACGCCATTTCTTTGTCTTTTTGAAGCCTATCATAAAACGGATCATCCGTGGAAACATGCTGTAAGGCTGTATCATAGACACGTGCTGCTGCCAAGAAGCGTCCTTGTTGCGTATGGATGTATCCTTGACACAAATATCCAAGTGCTGATGCTGGGTCCGTTTGTTGTATTGTAGTAGCAATATCCAAAGCTTTGGCGATCCTGGCACAAGCAACATACGATCGAGCCTGAATGTCGAGAGTTTGGAGATGGAGATTCAAAAGTTGTTTGCAGATGTCTTTGGAATCCGTAATGACGCGATCGTGTTCGCCTTGAGATGCCGCCATGCGTAGATTGTCGACAGCAATGGAGTCAACTGGGATCGTCATGATGCGTCGTAGCAATGAAAGCGAAGTAAAGCTGCGGGAGAGTGGATGGAGAGGACACAATATTTGTGCGACGTGTCCCATTTACAGCTGCACTCTAATCCATGCATCCAACATTAATCTCTAGCTTTGTGACACCTATAGGCCCATTGATGGCACATACTGAATGAGCAGCCGTCGTTTATGATACCGAATATGCATAGTAAAGTCAATAAAAGGAAGGATTAACCATATTCAAGAAACATCATCTATACATCTAGTAGCACCAAATCTTAGATTGTGGGCGGGTATACCTTATCCATCACCATCATCATTATCATCTTTTTTCTTGCTTTACCCACAGCTATCCTCAAAGCCATAATACTCTGCTTCTTAACAAAGGCAAATCTAGCAGTAGCGGTTGTATTTCGCCGCTTTAACCATTGAATGAAGTTATCATGCAGAATACTTTTCTTCTGAGTATCATGGATAAAGCAGTTCATGGCGTCAAGCTTTCGTTTTAGTGATCCACAATAGCAAATAGCATCCTCCGTTCTCTTAACTGGATGAGAAGCTCATCCAGACTTTTAAAGTGCAAAACAATAGAATAAGACGGCATGTATGTTACATGGCAGCTGCATCATCTTCCTATGCTGCTATCATTCACTAGTCTTTTCTCACCACTTATGATCCTTTGTGCAATTACCGTTGGCATGCTTGTATGCTGTTTATGATTGATAAATAGACCACCTACAGGTGGCTTCGGGATAGGTGGACCACGATGGGCTCACGCTTCTAATCAAAATCTTCATGCAGCCACTATGCTCTGTAATCAGGATATCCCACCATCTACATATGGCATTCACCCTCTCCCTAATACCAAAGAATAGCTGTATGACAGGCTAAAAAAAGGATAGCCTTTACGAGTCATGCAAATGGGACAAGATAACCAGCAATATGGCATGTCTAGGGTGTTGATCACTAGTGGTGTATATGATAAGATGATTTTATTGTTTGCCTTATCCAGTAGCATGCCAAATCTCGAATGTAAACACGGAAACGTACATGGTAATTTTATTTACTTATAATAGGTTAGTGAATTCCTGCAGCATTCTGTCGACAACTATAACTTCCAAATCAGGTCGGTGCATCATGAGACGGCCAATTGCATCCTTGTTTACTTTGTTGAGGCGATGCTGAGGGCGAATTCGAATACACTTTAGCTGTGAAAATGTGTGCAAGGCGGCCAAAAAGTCACCATGGTACATGATGCCATTAATTGAAACCGTAAAGTGTTGTAAATATTGAAGGCGTTTCAAAATATTGATCGCATGTGTGGTTGGTGGCCTTCCTAATCCGATATCAAGATATATCAACTGGGGGCAACCATTCACAAGCTCTTCAAGGATCGTTGTCGGGTAATCCCACATATAGTCCAAGATTGTCAAACGCTCAAGCTGATTCAAACGGGAGATAATAGGGAGCCCTTGATGCATTTGTTCCATGCTATCGAACCGGACAACAAGCTCTTTCAAATGGGAATGATGGGAAAAGCGACCGAGATATCGTATGATGGGCGCCATGTTGTCAGGACTGCTTCCACGGGAAAGGAGGAGTGTCAACTTTTTCAATTTGGGTGGGATCGTATCAAGCACTGTATGATTTGAGCATATGGCCCTGGATGTTATCGTCAGGTCCTCAAGCATGGGAGCATTGGGTGGTAGCCACCAACCAGCAGATTCAATCACAAGCTTCGTAAGGCAAGGGTATTCGATAGCAGTGATCTCGTTGTCGTTGTAGTTGTCCAATGGCATATACCATTTCATGCGATTGAGTGTACTCGAATAATCCTTCAAGAGGGCTGCGATCTCGTGTTGATTGAAATGATGCCATGCGTAGTTGCCCATACAAAGATCCGTAATTCCAGGCCTTCCGTATGGCTGCCCGTTATCCGCATACGTAAGCTCGGCCTTTCTTTCTTCATTGTAAACGTTAATCCGAAGGTCGTGCAATGATGGACAATACTTTGGGACCACAAATGCAGATTGTAGATCAATGCACGGCGAGAGTATGAGTTTCTTGAGCGATGGAAAACGTTCCATAATCCCAACCACCTCCTCCTTGCTGATAACATCTCTTGTCAAGGTAATCGATAATAGTGTCATCTTCGGCATCGGTGTCGTAGGAAGAGAACTCAAGTCAACTCCATGGAATCCCATCACTCGTAATGTACTCAAATTGGGGCAAGTGGAGACAATGTCGGCTATCGATAATACGCCATCCTCGGTGTGAAGGGAGATAAATAGATCCGTCAACGTGGTGCTGATCGACTTTAATGCTGACAAAAAGTAGCCATCTTGTGGATTTCTATACTCTGATAAAGATCGTGGTCAATAAGAGAGAATGATACAAATGGCGATAACACTTACGATAAATACATAGCTCCCTTAATGAGCCAAAGTTATTTCCAAGTAATAAATCACTCAACCATGCTTCTCCTGAATAATAAGCGATCTTCAATGTCTTGGTGTATTGAGAAAGCCGAGCAACTTGTGGGCATCCTTCGTAATAAGCATCATCGATTATAAATTGCAATCCACCAAAGCATTGAGCGAAGCGTTCACGCCATCCAATAGACACATTCAGCTCCGGTTGAGGTACCCATGCCTCCAGAGGACAACTGGGAATGATTAACGGTAGGAGCGTTGTCATGACAATGTCGACAGGAAGTTTGCTGATAAAGTCAATGCGTTTGATTTCGCGTTGCTCAGCATCCTCTCTTGTACGCTGCAATGTCGCATAGTGTGCATCCTTTTTATCAACAGCACCGAGCCCTTGGCTGCAGATAATAATGACGCGGTGTGGTTTTCCTTGCTGGATGTAAACTTCGGCTTCCCGTATATACCCAAGGGGTGAAGATGGTGACATGCGTTGCAAAAGTTGGGCATCGCGAACAGCCGATTCGTAGTTGGCACACTTTGTCAAGCCCATGTCGCGTAGATTCAAGGCTGACAAGATGGAGTCGAAGCATTGTTGTAATTGTGTTGTAGAATCGTAAACAAGCTGTGCATATTTTTCACTGGAAGCTGGTAACGTGGGTTTTTGACAGAGGTCGTTCCAAAACGCAAGATTCATTGTGTTGTGCAAGCAACAAAGCAAAAGCCTACCCTCCGATCGAGAAAAAATAGAGTCGGACATTTATAGAAGCAGCCATCACCACCGTTGCCATGCTTGAATCACCCATAGCAACCCTTCAATAAAACATGCAACCCGTTGTACATGATGGGATAGTCTTGTACTGTGGGGAAGGAAATACACCATAGGTGGTTTACATTCAGGAACCTGGGGAGCCATGCTGATCGTATTTTTTACCATACAAACTTTGTGTCACCCAGCCTTTATTACAATGATAGGCAAGCGATGATCGTGTATCCAAGAAAAGTGTCTTGGAATAATGGTAACTAATCATTCAATGGAATACTGCTCCTTTCTACCCTGCATTGATTGATCCATGGCCTCAAACTCTTTACTTTCTGAAGGATGAATCATCATCTTGCGTTACACAGCATGCAGGCGTTACACAGCGTCCAACTAGATGATGATTCAACTCTTTTTACTTCTATGCTCATTTTATCATCGATGACAAGTATCAGTCCTCTTCCCGGATTGTACGGCAAAGTGTAATGGTTCCATCTTGAACACAAAAACTCAAGCCCCATGGCACAACCCCATTGATGTATTTCAAGCTTACACGCTAATCTAGCCCTATACTTTAGGGCAAGATGGTTATTATTCACAAGGGCCTTATCATGATCCCTCATTGTTTAATGCTTATATAATGTGAACATTGGAAAGGAGATCACAAGCTGCCAGAGGGATGGGTGATGTACGACATGCCGCTATGATTGTTACACCAAATGTTGATGATGATGCTTTACAGCGGCTGTGTTCTGCCCCACAAAGAAAAGAAGCACAACGTGATTTAAGCATTACCCATTGAGATCAAAGTGTTAGCCTGATGCTGCCTTGATGCCGGCTCTTCGACCAAAAGGTATACGATAAAAAGGATGGTTTTTATAGCGCCTGCACCAATACAACATTGAATTACACACAATATCACCATGCATGTATGAGAACATATATCCAAAAGAATTACTGTGATAAGTGAATTTTGAATTTGAGAGCAAGTTGACTAGTAGGGTGGTGAAGAAAATGAACGTTGGGGTACATGATGGGGGTGGGTGATCGACCAGCAAAAGCCTGTGTAACACGGTCACGCACATGGCAACAAGCAAGCAATCAAGCGGGGGGAGGAGTGTCTTGAATTTACGACTTGCTCCTTTATACCACGGCGGCATGTTCGAGACCGACATTGACATTCTGTGTCCTTCTCAATCTACTCTCACCACCAATGACAACTCTTCCATTGACAACGCGATCAAACTGCAGACAAGCCTTGCGCAACATCACCTACAAAAGCTTTTGTTGGCTCTTAATGTGAGAGCATCGCTACTCGTGAATGCCGAACGACTCGATCTAGCAAGGAACGACGCCATCGCTATGACGAATCTAGCACCTTCTTCACCCTTGGGTTATCTTTGTGGCGGTGGTATCCATTCACTTCGCTTGAATTACGCGTCAGCAATCAGAACGTATGATAATGGATTGAAACGAGTATCACGCTCTCACCCACAATATGATCGACTTCTGCACGCACGAGCAACAGCATTTGAAAAGTACGACACACGTGTTGATTTCATCAGCAAGTTACCATTGGATATCGTGACACACAACATTATACCAAGGCTATTGCAAGGTCGAAGACTAGTTGAGATTGAATTCGCATGCCAGTATTTTTATGTATCGCGTACATGGCGACAACGACTAGCGTTAGCGAGTGGATTGCATTATGAAATTGGACCGGTAGCTTTATCTGCGGTAGGATTTGAGCGCGTACAGGATCTGGCACCTTTTATGAGATCATTGGCAGTCATCCAGCCGATGAGAGAGATCTTATCCAAAATCACCAAACGGCGTCTTCGTAGATTCAACATGTTGAATAAATTGCGTGTGGTTGGTAGGTAATATGGGGATACGGGATGAATCTCATTGGCTAACATGCATTTATTAGAAAGTATCTCACGGGGACCTACTTTGCTACTTTCATCGCTACGTTCATTGAGCAACACATTGACGGATCTTGATCTTGAATATGGACGCTATCTACCAGCCAAGAAACCGTATCGATTATGCGACATTTTGGATGCATGCCCGAACCTTTTATCAATTCGTATATCGTGTGGAGACATTGACATGTCATCGACCAGCAAAACCTATCCCAAGATTATTAAGTTGGAAGTATGGAATCGGGATGCTGAAGTGACCCAAGACAACATCCTTTCTCTTTTTGGACCGTTTCCCAATCTACGTTACTTGAAATTGTATCCTCCGTTGGGGTCTTTTATGCTTCCAGTGATTGATCAGCATTGTCCATTATTACAGCAGCTCATATTGACAGGACGCACGCCTGACTTTTATGATGTGGATGACATGCCAGAGGGAAATACAGGTCTACGTCTTCTCAGTGTTCCCACCAGTGACTTTGATGACGGCTTCAAGGAGGATGAGATGGTGCAATACTTGATCAAACACAGCGAGACATTGGAGGCCTTTGGTATCGTAGCGTCAAGTCGCTTTAGTGAACCAAGAACATTACTACAAGATGCAACAAGTCAACAAGTAACATTCAAAGTATTACGCCAAATCAACTATTTGCATGATTCGGAGGAGAGCTTGATTTCATTTCTTTTGTGGATGATACAACATGCACCTTGTTTGGAATCGGTGGAGACTATTTCTGGTATTGATCAAGCACCCATTATGGAAGAATTGACGCGATCAAATCACAAGCATCTCAAACGATTGGGTATGAAAGCCAGCCTTTTTCCAGCGGACGTGGAAGAGGGCTTCATGCAGCATCATGTGAACCTTGGACAGCAATCGAATCTCACCGAATTGAAAATTGAAATCCCAATTGAATTTAAATACGACTCTTGGATTGCGCTTGTTCCTCGATTAACGCAGCTCACCACGATTGAGTTTTGCACCTCGAGGATGTATGGATTTAAGTCCTTGGATTCGCTCATGCCACAGCTGGCTAATGGATGCCCTGCCTTGGAAAAACTCATCATGTCAAGCGAAATGGAACCTATGCGTTTCAGTGATCTTTATCCCATGGATCGTCATCGGAATCTCAAGCATATCATTATCAAGTGCGAGGATATATATGGTGGTGGGACCACGTTTCGAGAGCGTTTCACCAATATCGAATCGTTGCATCTCAGCGCTCTTAGATACAGCTCGGCGGATATTGATAGCTTAGAAAAGGCATCCTTTAAATTTGTGTTTACAGAGATACTATCTGATGCTCCTTACTTTGTAAATGATCTCGAAGGTAGACTTTGGTAATAGAATAAATCATCTTTGGTTGCACATATATAATAAACATACTACGCTCATCATTTACGTATGACCCAAAAAGACATGAACATACAAAGATGGTTTCTCTCGCTCGCTTCGTAACACGTAACCTTTCTTATTACACCCCGGTAGCAATAGCCAATACCATTATGACTAAAAACGTCCGTACATTCTATGTTGGTGGGTGCAAGAGTGCCTTTTGACCATTTACTTGTACCATTTGCAATATCATTGTATGGATCAAGCATGTCAAAACATCACTGTTGACTGCCATTTCTACTGGATTACGATGCCATAAAGAAAACTCAACTCATAGAATGATGACCTTTATTATGGCAGAGATTGTATGAATCAATGATACCTAAATCTCAATCATGATATAGATTTATTCGCGCAACTACAGATACGATATCTCTAAATGTGGGCTACTTTCGAGGAGTATAGATCTAATCTCTTCGTCAATCGGCCTATAGTGATTGATGCGTTCCAGATGGCGACAACGTTGTAGGCTTAAAACACCTGCCTGGGAGCCTTGCAAATCGCCAATAATGGTAAGGAGCCTTATATTTGATAAACCACCAATTTGATAAAGCATGGGGTTCGGTATGGCACCAGGGGTCCTGATAAATAGCTTCCTCAAGCTTTGACATCCTTGACGCAATGATTCGAATAGTTGTGTAAATGGCTCAGATTCAAGGTCGGTGGCGATTAAATGGAAACGTGTCAAACATTTCAATTCCGGTATGGCGTTGATGAGCATGGGGTGTGCTTCATGGAGCTGTAAGTCGATGGATTCCAAGTGTGATCCTTCTCCTTTATCCGATGTATAATCCACATGGTCTCTCAGGAATTCGGCAACAAGTAAATGATGATCTTCGGGTCGTTGTGGGTCTTGTACTTCGAAATCCACATGGCGTAGTTGTATACATTTTGCCAACGCCTTTGAGGAAGATCGGGTCATTGTATAACCCTTCAATGCCACCGTATGCAAGTAAGGAGCACGCTCAATGATCCAGTTGATGAAGGTACAAAACGGCTGTATCGTATCCATTTCGGGTGGGGCAAAGAGGGTATACGTTTGTAATGTTTTTAGTTGCGTGAATTCAGTATGCTGATCATTGTGCATGTCATCCATCACCTTCCTTGTGTCGTTTGTGCTCAATAGAGACATGAATTCCAAGAATTGTAATGTTGCATGGTGATGGATGATGAGGGGTGCGATATCATCGAGTTGAAATGGATGCAGGGCATCCGTAATTCAAAACGACACTAATCCTTGTTCTCCGTACTGCTTTATGTTGCCGAAAGGATTGGTGGTGGGTCGATCGCCATATGACAGATGTCGTAGTAACCAGGTATCTTTGACAAACAATGGCCTTGTGCTGCCTGTGATTGCCATATCCAATATCTTCAAACCAGGCATGTGTTCTCGAATCATCATCATGTCCTCTCCATCCACCGTTCCTCTCACTCCATACAGCTTAAGCTCTCTTAGCTTTGGATAAACGTGATCGATGCCTGAAATGTCGATCGTTGCTTCACAATGCAATGATATCAAGTTTGGGCACTTTTCCATGACGTATTGGAGCCGAGTTCGATAGTCCTGTTGAAGACGTATGACGCGATCTGCCTTGTATACAAACGTGAGGTCCCTTAATTGCGAACCGATCAGCTGCAACGCTAAGATGGTTTCAGCAAAGGCACCCATTCTTGAAGCTATTGCTCATGGTAGATAAGTGCTTCTATACATGCATGTCTCAATTTATATTGATACGTACCATAAACTGCCAATGTTGTCAAACATGTAAAGCGATGTTGTTGAAAGACTGCACCGAAAGGGGATTTGCATGCTTTGAGTGTAAGTGAACACGTATAATTGAATGATTGAATTACCATGTCATTGGTTTCATCCAAGGGAACAGGTGCTTGCATGGTGTATTCAAGATGATTCGATGCCATGATACGATGCCACCAAGCCCATGACACCGTGACGTATTGCCGCTGCTGATCGAATGGGTCGCAAGTGAACACCTGCTGGATGATAAAAGCGCTGATCTCCATAGGAAGGTCGCATATAAAGTCTCTACGCTTTTCACCTTGTTGAATGACTTCTGTGTTGGCTGCCTGAACGGTCTCATACAATGGGTCATGCTTATCAACACGCTCGAGTGCTTTGTCATACACATGGGATGCTGCAATGTATCGACCTTGTTCCATATGGATGTATCCTTGACACAGGTAACCGATTGCTGATGCTGGATCGATTTCTTGCATTGTAGTTGCCGTTTCCAAGGCGTTGGTGAATTGTGCACAAGCAACGTACGATCGTGCTCGCAAGTCGAGTAGATGGAGTTGAAGATTCTGTAATTCGTTGACAATGGCGAAGGTCTGCTGAATGACATGGGCATGTTGGCCTTGAGATGCTGAAGCGCGTAGGTTGTCAATAACGTCAAAGCCTATCGAGAGCGTCATGACCAAGAAGAAAGGAAGGGAAAAGAAGTGAAAAGATTCAGCGCAGCATGATGCTGCTGAGGATACGCACATAGCTTGTACAACCTCCCATGCATACCAGGCTTCAGAGTAAATCCATCTTTTCTACATGTGTCTGGCTATTTTTACTGCTTCACCCACTATCAGAATAAAAATTTACATCGTCATGAATATGTGAACTCATACAATGAGAATGTGTACGTGTGTTTTCTTTGCTTCGTTGAAAAAAGCTGCTTCAGCAAATCATCATCTCTGTGTAACATCGGATGATGATTCGTTGAACCGGTTACTTTGAAGATCTTTATGCGTTGAAGCCATTTCAGCATACCAGGGTGCTCTCGCCAAAGGTAATCAGTATTTGAATCCTCATTGTTAAACACAAAAATGGTGCTGCTCGTTGGTGCTGCCTTCTTTATACAAGTTGGTACACATAATCCTTCTACAGCGATTCATCATAAAAATCGATGTTGTTAAAGGTACGTAAACAGCGAGCTAATAGGCCATTCCACCCATTCGTCATTATTGCCCAAAACAAAGCATGTGAACGATTGTACTGCTCCAGCCCATCATCTCCACCATTTAACTTTCTTAATACGAGCTGATTTGGTTGAGTTACGCTCAAACACTAAACATCATCCGCTTTCACAAAAATCATTTTGCTAAGTTATTTGTAAACTGCCACCTAATAGCCCATTCCTTCCGTTCACCTTTGTTGTCCAAACCAATGCATAAGAAAGATTCACCTGCTCCAGCTGAGCATCACCATCATTCAACTTTCTTGATCCAAGAGGTTTTGGTTGAGTTATGCTCAAACACAAAACATAATCCACTTCCACAACAATCATTTTGCAAAGTTATTTGTAAACTGCCAGCTAATACCCCATCCATCCCATTCACCCTTTATAGTGAATCCAATACATGTGAACGATTGTCCTGCTCCAACCCATCATCTCCATCATTCAGCTTTCTTGATCCGAGTGGGTTTGACTGAAAAACGCTCAAACACAAATCATCATCCAACATGAGCATCCTTTTTTATGTAATCCAGGAAGCATTGGATTTGGGATGGGCACATGTGCTAGGCACTGTATAGAGGTTTTAAGTGTACTTATTAGATGCTCTTGGATTAGAGTAGCGTGTTTCATCCGTTACCAGAACCATCATGTGCCTCGCAAAGACATACAATTGCGCCATAATCCGCTTCAGACTTTATTGTAAACGGGCCGACAATAATTTAATGCTTACAGCAATACCCAATGTACATTCATGTAGCTACCTATGCATTCCACTTCCATCCAACATGCGTAGGTTTCGCCGTTGCTTGGATACCATACGAGATCCTCCTTGAACAGGCATATCCATCATCCAGAACTTACCATCATCCGCGAAGATCACAGCGCACGTGTACTACTTGGGGACGATGTATACCAGTAAATCCATTACTTCCGACATAATGAAACCATCCAAAAGCATCGCGATAGAAAAAGTGCAATGGAAGATGATCGCTTGCAGTGAAATTGATCTTTGATTCGAAACGGTGGTGTGTGCCATGAAATCCTTCCTTGATGATCCGAACCTATAGCGTCCACATCGAACCAAGTGAAATCAAAGTACGTGAAGATGGTGCTTGGAAAGGTAAACTGATGATGATGATGATGATGGGCACCTTCAAGCAAACAATCACTGTTAGCAATCATACACTATTCATCCCCCCCATCACCTTGCACGTACAAATAACTGATACCATGCTAAATGTATATACGCAAGCTTATGGCAGGCCTTCGTTTCCTGGCAACAGGTTTATCTGGCAAGGAAGTGTTGGTTGCCTTTAAAGCCGTTGACAATGACCACGTTCGACACAATGTTGAACACGTTGACGCGATGCTCATTGTTGACGATCGTTTCTGGTGGGGGGTGAAGTTGGCCACCGTAATAGGCGTACGACGTGGTGTGAAAGAGGAACGCTGAAACGAGTACGTGCAAGCAATGACCCACGCGAAGTTGTTGTAGAGGTGACGCGTAACCAAGAGAGAAATGTTGACACGGGTCCATGGCAGAGGAGGAATGACGAACGAGCAATGTCGACAAGGAGTAAAAGTAGAGCTTTAGAAAGAGTCACCAAGTATAAAAAAGGAGAGGTTGTTGTCGTGGTTAAAGTAAAGGGGAATATGACAGCGGCTGTTGACTCTGAGAATTTAGCCAATCAATCTCATGCGTGGGGGCTGGTGTTAGCTTGTACGACTATGAAAAAAACCATTCATCCTATATGCGAGTATAGCCATCAGTGCATTTGACATTGCCAAGCATAACGCAAGAGATCAAAATGATTTCCTTGAAAGCTATATCCACTTTATACACTTCATGTTGAGCTGGTGTCTTTTACGTCATTTATCATCCATACCACCATATGCCTTAAAGATGTCGCACTGCAGCCCCGTAGTTTTTAATATAGTAGATGTAGTAACAGACACAATATGGTCATCATTTTTATTACCCGTAATACCATTCACGAATCGATGATGCCACTAATCAAATAGACCAGATGCATTCACCATTTTCCTCCCAAGAGATGAATCATCATCACGCTTCGGTTACACTATACACAAATAGATGATGGTTCAATACCTTTGGCTTTTCTGCTCACTTTATTCCTGATAACAAAAGTCTCTCATCCTATCGATTGTATCATAGACAATCCCTCACACCACAAGGCTAAAAACTCATGATGCCACCCACGAATGGAGTTCACTTTTACAACCTGGTTGATCCATTCATTCGAACGTGCAATGGTTTATTAGATGTAAGGAGCTTATGTGTCCTGATCGCCTACGTAGTAAATGCATTTGTGCTGCAAGAATTGCCATCGATACGGTTGCCAAGCAACGCCTATCAAATAATGGAGATATAATAAGAGCCATTCATCCGTACGACGTGCAGCATCCTTGGTTACACCAAAGCCGTGTTGTTATTCTGTTTGCGTGAGAGCTGTGTCTTTTCAAACCAAGAGATGGGATTGCTATGCAGAAGGCGTAATTTGGTATATAAAAGAACCATAGTGTTTACTTTATGAGCTACAATGGGATGAGACGAGGATGCCAAACGCAAATTAACAAGAACGATCTCTTTACTTCGTCGGATGCACGTGACATGCAGGATAATGGAACATAGAACCCATATTTATTATCGCCCAATCACTACCAACAGTTGAGCACTTTTTTAATACTGTCAAGCTGATAAAAGTAAACACTATGTTGGCTGCATAAAGAATGGCCAGTGCTTCTGAAAAGCCAACATTAATAATCATCATCATTCGAGCGCTTACAGTCGTAGGGCATCGTATTTTACTCAAATCACGTTACATGTATCAGGAACTATATTTCGAAGCATTGGTTTTATAAGTGAATTACGAATTTCAGAGTAGGCTGACTGGTGAGGTGGTTAAAGTGACAGGGTTCATGTATATGATGGGGTGGGGTGATGAGCCAAGGAAAGGCTGTGTAACATGTCGTACATAAAATACAAGCGGTGTTGTCTTGGACACCAGCCGCTGCTCTTTTACCAACACGACGCCATGATCGAGACCGACATTGACATTCTGTGCCCTTCTCAATCTGCTGTTGCCAATGACAACCATTCCATTGACGAGGAAATCAAGAACCTGACAACCCATGTGCGAGATTGTGTACAAAAACTCTTGTCGACTCTTAATGCGAGAGCATCGCTACTCTTGAAAGCCGAACGACTGCAACTCGCTCTGAACGACGCGTACGCTATGATGAACATCGCACCTTATTCACCCTTGGGTTATCTATGTCTTGCTGATATTGATTCGCTTCGAGGACATTACGCTTCAGCTATCAAGTTGTGTGATGATGGATTGGAACGCGTATCGAGCTCTCACCCACAATATCAACAACTGGTCAAAGCACGGGAAGCTGCGTACGACATCAATAACAAGCGTATTGACTTTATCAGCAAATTGCCATTGGATGTGGTGGTACTCAACATTATTCCAAGGATATTGCAAGGTCGAATGGTATTCAACGTTGGGAAACGCTGCACCTATTTTGATGTGTGTCGTACATGGCGACAACGAATGGCGTTAGCGGATGGATTGGATTATGAAGTTGGACCTGATGATTTATCAGAAGATGGATATCGACGTGTATGGGATCTTGCACCTTTTACGAGATCATTGACAGTCTCACAGCCAAGGAGAGACATCTTATCGAATATCGTTAAACGGCCACATCATCGTCTTTTTAACATGTTGAAGAAGTTGACGATCATTGGCAAGTAGTAGGATGGGAAGGGTCCATATGACGTATGTCATCCTAACTTGTGTTCTTTTTAGAATGTTGGACACGGGGATCCTCTTCTCTGCTTGCATCTCTACGTTCATTAAGCAACACATTGACTGAACTCAGCCTTGAATATCGTCATCCGCTGGCATCCAAGAACCGTTATCGGCTTTGTGATGTTATGGAATCATGCCCTAATCTCGTATCCATTCGAATGTGCTGTGGCGATGTTGACATGTCGTCTGTGACTAAGATTTATCCCAAGCTTGTCAAGTTGGAGTTGCGCAATCATGCTTCCAATGTGTACGAAGGAGATATGGCATCCGTTTTGCATCCATTTCCGCAGCTGCGTGTCTTGAAACTCTTTTCTGTATCCGGGTCAGACATCTTTCCAGCCATTGATCAATGTTGTCCATTGTTACAGCACCTCATCTTGTCATTGCAATCTCGCGATTTTCCCCATATTTTGGATACACCAGAGAGACCAGGGCTTCGTGCACTGAGCGTCATCAACAACATCGACTTTGGAAATTTCAAGGAGGATGATATGGTGAACTACTTGATGGCACACAGCGAGACCATGGAGGTTTTAGATATCACGTCACACTTTGCATTTCGTGCACCGAACGATTTACTGCAGCGAGAAGCGAGTCAACAAGTGACATTCAAACAATTGCGCCGAATTTCTTATCCTTTTGATGCTCAAGAAGGCCTTGTTTCATTTATTTTGTGGGTAATACAACATGCACCTCATTTGGAATCGATCGAGTGTGTTACTGGCCCGCAACAAGTGCGCATTATGCAAGAGCTAACTCGGCCTCATCATCACGCCTGTCTCAAACGCCTTGGTATGCGACCTACCCGTTCTACTTTGGAGGGAGAAGCGAGATTGATACAACATCATCTGGATCTTGGGCAGCAATCGAACTTGAGAGAATTGAAGGTTTCCCTTACAGAACATTTTATCCACAACTCATGGCTCCCGTTGATTCTTCCACTAACGCAGCTGACCACGCTGGAACTTTCTGCCAGATTGGATCAAGGGTTCGTCTCCTGGAAGCCGTTCATGTCAAAGCTCGCTGATGGATGCCCTGGCCTGGAACAGCTCACAATGACAAACGACTCACGGACTATGAATATCAATGCTGTTAATCCCATGTATCGTCACAGCAATCTCAAACGCATCGTGATTAATTGCCGAGCAATATATGGTGATCTATCCTTTTTTTGCCAACGTTTTACAAAGCTGAATTCATTGCATCTCAAAGTTACAAAATACAATTGGGAAGACATTCATCGTTTAGAAAGAGGATCATTTAAACTGGTATTGACTCCAAAAAGGGCACGTGGTCCTTCCTAGTTCCATAAGATAGATGTGCTTCATGCAAATAAAAACAGCTAAAATGGATCATCTCAAATATTCTCATCCACTACAAACATTCGTTGCGTCTACGTACATCCTTGCTTGATCCTTACAAATGATACACAATGATGGTTTGAACGCCAGCGTGATAGCGGTTGACGAATGAGGAATGTGGTCAAGGAGCGAAAGTAAAGCTGTAGAAAGTGGATCATCCATTGCACCGTTACTGTTACTACCCATTTCAATCGGCCTACCATACTATAAACAAGTTCAACTTCGAAGGACCCATATGATGATGATCTTTATAGTAAGATAGCGTGCATGATGATGGATGATAACCAAATCTCAATAAAGAGGTACATTTATTTAACAACTACGAAGACGATATTTCTAAACGTGGATTACTTTTGAGGAGCATGGTCCGAATCTCGTCGTCAAGTGGTCGATCATGGATGATGCTTTTTAGATGGTGACAACGTTGTAGACTTAAGACACCGGCATCTGCACCAGACAAGTCACCATTCATTGTAAAGGTCTCTAGATTGGATAAACCGCTAATTTGGTAGAGCACGGCGTTGGGTATGGCATCATTGATGTTGATAAACAGCTTCCTCAGCCCTTGGCAACCTTGGCGTAATGACATAAATAGTTGTGTAAATGACCCTGATTCAAAATCGTTGGTGTTTAGATGGAAGCTGGTCAAACATTTCAATTCTCGTATGGCGGTGATGAGCATGGGGTGTACTTCATACAGGTGTACGTTGATGGATTCCAAATGTGATCCCCCTTTATCAAGCATATAATCCACATGGTCTCTCAGGAATTCTGCTACAAGTGCATCATAATCTCCTGGCCGTCGAGTGTTATGAATTTCAAAATCCACATGGCGTAGATGCATACATTTGGCCAAGGCCCTCAAAGAAGATCGATTCATAGTGTACCCCTTTAATGCCACCGTGTGCAAGTAAGGAGAACGCTCGATGACCCATTCGATGAAATTGCAAAACGGTTGTAGCGTTTCTGTTCCGAATGGGGTGAAAAGCGTATACGCCTGTAATCTTTTCAGTTGCTTGAATTCAATATGGCAATCCTTGTTCATGGCATCCATCATCTTCCTTGTATCAGATGTCCCCAACATGGTCATAAACTCCAAGAATTGCAACGTCGCATGGTGATGAATAATGAGTGGTCCAATATCATCGAGCATAAATGCATGTCTAACATCAGTGATGGAAAAAGACGCCAATCCTTGTTGTCCATATTGCTTCACGTCCTCAAATTGTTGGTGCTTCCTCTTTATTCGTTCGCCATATGCCAGATGACGAATGCATGGTAACCAGGTATCATCCATCGTTAAGGGCCTTGCGCTGAATCTCATAGCCATATCCAATGTCTTCAAACCAGGCAGGTGGTCTCGAATCATAATCTTGTGCTCTCCATCCTCCGCTCCTCTCACACCATACAGCTGGAGCTCTCTTAGTTTTGGATAAACCACCTTGATACATGTAATGTCGATCGCTGCTTCGCAAAACAATGATTCCAGATTGGGGCAGGTTGCGAGTATATGCCTCAGTCGAGTTGTCGATTGGTTCTTCCTGGGATAGAGGCGAGGGCCCTCGCTTGAGATCACGAGTTTCGTTAATTGTGTACCAATACACGCCAATGCTGAAATGCTTTCATCAAGATGATCCGCCGATGCAGCTATTGTTATATAGTAAGTGTGCTGTGTCTATGCACATGCATGATAAAGCTTACCTCGATACGTATCGTATAATGCCAATGTTGTCAAGCGTGTAAAACGATAATTCTCAAAGAGGGGTCCCAATGGATGTTTCCATAACTCGAGTGTAAGTGATCGCGTATAGCTGAAAGATTCAATCACCATGCCATTGGTTTCATTAATGGGAACATGTGCTTGTATGCTGTATTCAAGTTGGTTGGATGCCATGATACGGTGCCACCACGCCGATGATACCATGACGTATTCCCGTTGCTGAGCAAATTCCTGGTGAATGAGAATATTATGGACGATAAGAGCTGTGATATCCATGGGAAAGTCGCATATAAATCTCTACGCTTTTCACCTTGTTGCATGGCAACGCCTTTGGCCGTCTCGATGGACCCATACAATGGATCATGCTTATCAACACTCTCGAGTGCTTTGTCATACACGTGGAGTGCTGCAACGTACCGTCCTTGTTGCATATGGATGTACCCTTGACACAAATAGCCCAGTGCTGATGCTGGATTCATTTCTTGCATTGTACTTGCCGTTTCCAAGGCGTTGGTGAATTGGGCACAAGCAACATACGATCGTGCTCGCAAGTCGAGTAGATGGAGTTGAAGATTCTGTAATTCGTTGCCAATGGCGAAGGTCTGCTGAATGACATGGGCATGTTGGCCTTGAGATGCTGAAGCACGTAAGTTGTCAATAACGGTAAAGTCTATCGAGTTGCGCATGACCGAAAAGGAAGCGAAAGAAAAGAGAGGATGATTACAAGCAGCAGCATGGGGCTGAGGATAAGCAGAGAGCTTGTACAACGTGGTATGCCGACCAACCTTAGGTTTAGCCAACCTTTTAGCCCAGTATATGAGTATTTGCAATGCTTCATCCAGATTCACAATAAAAACCTATATTATCATTAAGATTCGAAGCCATACTATGTGAATGTGTACGTGTACTTTCTTTGCTTCGTTGAAGAAAGCTACTTCAGCAAATCATCATCTCTGTGTAACATCGGATGATGATTCGCTTTACTGAACGATGGATATGAATCTTTGGAGCAGGCGCATTTTTCATACATTGTCAAATCCACAATGGGCTAAATTGGGTACGATTGGTTATTAGCATCCAATCTATGAAGGACCATCAGACACTGAACCCATATCATCCATTGATGCTTTAATCCTTTTTTCTTCGCTTTCGTATACAAACATCGCCTTTAGCACCTATCTCACTATAAATGTGCATATGAGTCGCAATTGAAAAAGACCCACCTTTATCATAGCAAAATATACACGCACCTGTAACTCAAAATCTCACAATGCTACATGAGCTCTTTTTGGAACCAGCATGCTCAGCATGGTCGAAAGTACCTTGTGTGAAAGTTTCAGGATCGAACTCGTCAATAGCAATTTTTGCATTTGTCGATCCCACCCAAAAAGTTTCAAGAGGTCGACCTGATTTTATTTTGGCGGGTGGTGACATGGCCAAATTTGAGATTAACGAGTTCGGTCTTGAAACTGGTACACAAGGTTGCTTGAGCTTGGCTGAGCACGATGGTTGCAAAAAGAGCCCATGCTTCATTGTGACATTTTGAGTGATGGTTGTCTTTATGCAGTAAACATGATGCTATATGACAAAGTCGCCTTTCTCAATTGTCACTGATATAACGACTTATAGTGCAATAGCTGCACGAGGGCGTGTTTGGGTAAGAAAGCAAAGAAAACAGGATTAAAACAGCAATGGATGATATGTATACGCTATCTCACAGTCATTCATACATTGTAAGCTATCAGCCAATTCCACCCAATCAAGACCATCATGGATTCGATAACGTATGAAAAATGCACCTGCTCCAAAGATTCATTTCCATCATTCAGGTGTCTTGATCCGAGCTGATTTGAGGAAATTACAGCCACGTAATGGGTACATCGCTTCCAACATGCAACGTATACGGGTGTATGGAGTAGAGCTAACCTGATCGAAGCGTAGCTCATCCAAATTGGCTCGGATCAATGTAATTAAACCATGAAACGGAACCTTGGAGCAGGCACATTCACCACATGTTGTCAAATCCACAATCAGCTCAATTGGGTGGAATTGGGTAATAGCATCCAATCTATGAAGGACCATCAGACACTGAACCCATATCATCCATTGCTCTTTTAATCCTTTTTTCTTCGCTTTCGTATACAAACATCGCCTTTAGCACCTATCTCACTATAAATGTGCATATGAGTCACAATTGAAAAAGACCCACCTTTATAATAGCAAAATATACACGCACCTGTAACTCAAAATCTCACAATGCTACATGAGCTCTTTTTGGAACCAGCATGCTCAGCATGGTCGAAAGTACCTTGTGTGAAAGTTTCAGGATCGAACTCGTCAATAGCAATTTTTGCATTTGTCGATCCCACCCAAAAAGTTTCAAGAGGGCGAGCTGACTTCATTTTGGCGGGTGATGACATGGCAAAATTTTGAGATTGACGAATTCGATCCTGAAACTGGCATACCAGGTTGCTTGAGCTGGGCTGAGCACGTTGGTTCCAAAAACAGCCCATGCTTCATTGTGACATTTTGAGTGATGGTTGTGTTTATGCTGTAGACATGATGCCATATGAAAAGTTGTCTTGGCTCATTCCCAATCGCCTCAATCATACTGCAATAGAGCAGAAGCTGCAGCTTGAGCTGCTTGTATTAGAAACGCAAGCGGATGCGATCACGATTGATAACGAGCACGAGCCTATAAAACTTGCAATTGAAGTACCAACAATAACAACCCCACCTTGAAACAAGATTGAACACACACACAACATCATTACTACCGCGTTTGCCTTTTATTTATACAGCTTTCCTTGTGTCCCATATCAATAATACTATTACCCTCCTGCATGTGATGTAACGTGTTTCATCCTCGGTCCAGGAATCTGCTTTTATATGTTGTCCCGTATATAGATGAGTACCCCATCATTCATTCGGTCACCTCTTGAAAGGCAACAATAGTAAAGCATGTTGCCATGGGGAGATTGGTTGCCTTGGCTGCGATAGCGGTGTGTATGTTGCATGCATGCATCATTGGCAGTGGCTGATTTCCATGTGTTTGTGTCAAAAGGGTGATATGTCTACTCAGCTTCTCCTTGCTGCTTCTTACCCAGACCTTATAACAACGCGTTCTTGGTTCGACATGGAGCCCCTCATTAGTCACCGACATGTGCAAAAGGGTGTCACCGAAGGTACGTAACGTGTGAATACGGTGTAAAAGCCGACTTGCCTTTGTTTACTGTGCATACTGATATGCGTGTGTTTTCACAGCTTTCTTGCTTGAGGAAAGTCGACAATTTCAAGATTGAGAGAGGAATGTGGAAAGAGATTCTGCTCACGAAGGGCAAAGGTAGCACTGGTGATGGGGTAAGCAAGACCACTTGAAACGTGTGCAGCAAAGGGATTCATTGATGTGCTCTATAGGCATGTTTCTTCTACTCAATAGTAGCAACCTTTATCCGCGACTCGATCACGTGCCAGCAAAGCGACAACCGAGCATGGGAAGATGTTTCGATTATTCGAGATGGTATGTACAAAGGGCAGTGATACTGAAGGCAAGGGGGTGGATTATAAGAGGATGATTAATTGATTAAAGCAGGGTCATCAAGAATTGCCATCATCATTGAATTTGTACATTGCTGGTAATGTGGGTACATTGGATGGGATGGTACCAAGCAGGGTATGTGCACTGTAACAATGCAAGGGGTAATGCTGATACGTTTGATCTTCTTGGAATGTGCCTCAAGACCATGCAGCAACGCAACGGATTACATTCCTCGTACGGGATCATGGTGATACACAGTGTGTTTGGATACACTTTTCATTGGTCACTCTTTCCGGTAAGTGTATTTAGGTACATTGGATTTTGGTTACCAAGTACTAACGCATGCCTATTTAGTTGTTCGCTTTTGAGGTCTTTATGGTGGTTGGATTGGGAGGAATTTCTCATGGTTTGCGTGCACAAAGGCATTGGTACGTGGAATACATGAGGGAGGGAATGCTTGCGAGGCCAACAGTGGTTATTATTTCAAGCTGCTTACTGTATGATGTTCCTATTCAAGGGCAATCCTCGAAGCATGCACATTGTACTGCTTGTTGGATGCAGCACACGGATCATCATGGGATGATGGCAACCTCCACCACGCCCTTTCTTCACCCAGGTCCTTTCGCACGATTGAGTCGACATCTTTCTTCGTCACCTACTGCTTTATTACATTGTGTCGCAGTGGTTGGTGGATATCCATATATTCGAAGCAATGCTTTTATCGGTATATTCGGTGCTCAAGGGATACTTGGTGGATGACACTTGGCGTTGATGAGGTATGTTTGGATTATGGATGTTGTATGAGCGGCTATTTTCAAGGAGGTACTTTTTCAACAAGGATCAGGTTTCGTATCCATCCACTGGAGGATATGAGGTATGGTAAGAGCACATTGGGTTCGATATAGTGTATTAGCGTTTTCCATTGTAGCATCAATGTAGCCTTGGTTTAGCCAATAAATAGGATTAGTATTAAATCTTGCATATGACATCAGCATCGAAGATGTGGATTGCCTTGGGCATGGTGACTTGTAAAGTGGATGATGTATGATGCTATGTTCTAAGAGAGATCATGATACTTATTTAAAGAATGCATGTAATTGCGGATCGTCATTTGTGTTTATCTTAAGTTTCAAACGTTAGTACTCCGGATGATGCATGGCCACACTGAGTTCATCCAAACAGATCATAAAAGCAAAGCTATAGATGGATTACATGGCCAAAGATATGCGTTCTCCATAAAAGTTGTTCATTGCCATATGATTGCGAACACTTGCCTCTCACATTTTTCATGATACCCATCAAAGTGATCCACCTTGGTCAAGCGTAAAAGTAACTTAAATGGAATAATCCTGGAGTACAGTGGATTCTCGAACCACCACAAGCCAGTACGTGTTATTGTATTGCCATAGTACGTATTGCAAAATACTTTATTGGATAGGATACGGGGCTACGCTAACGGCTCCAGCAACGCCATCATGTGCATCATCATGCAGCATACCATTCCAATCACAAGTGCTCTTACCAAATCCGTTGTGTTTTGGTCCACGCGTACAGCCATTCCTGTTGCATCGATGCATACCAAACCCGATCCTCCTTGAACAAGCACATCCAAAGATCCATCATCCAAACACACCTCATGAACAAAAACAACCACCAGCGATTCAGTTTGACTTGAGCCTTGAATTCATAAAGATCACCATTACCTGAAAGACAATAGCAGCATCCAACAGCAAGCCGGTGGAAATGTAATGGGCACCAAGAAGAAGGTGAACAGATGTTGAACCTGGATCCTGACAAAAAAACTTGTTTGAGAAAAAGGTGACCTGTAGCTTGGAGCTCTCGTTCGGCCGTAAGCGTGATGAAGTCTAGCAAGAGCCAACAAGTGCCTGTACAAGATGATTATTAGCAGCTTGCAACAAAGAAACCCCCTTTTCGAGTACTGCCAAAGTTGTCCCCATAATATTGCACATACCAAGCCATACACCGATGTGAGAGTGCACCTATCCAAGTTTGTAAGAAACTTTGGTTCCCTGGCAACAGGTGTATATCGTTAAGCATGCTTGGGTGCTGTTGTAGTGGTAGAGATGTACCAGCTTTACACCACGACCTAGGCAATGTCCATGGTTGGCGACTGTATTCAGTGGGGTAGTCATTGTGAAGCGTGCAAGTTGTTCAAGTTGTTTAAAAGAGAAAGCCGAAACAAGGAAACAAGAGGTGACGCGTAACCAAGGAGACGAATGAATGCTGGCTGGCAACGAATCTGTCGGTAGATGGGAACGAGGAATGCTGACAGGATGTAATAGTATAGCGTTAAAGAGGGTTGTCAGGTATAGAAAGGTGTGGTTGTTGAAGTGGTCGTTTTGAGTAGAGAGAAAAAAAGCAGCCGCTTTTGGCTCGGAGGATGCAGCGTATAAATCCTATTGACGACGCGTGGCTTCATTCGGGCCGTTCTTTTTCCTCAGCCAATCGACAATGACGCATTCTATTTGGAGCCATTTATGCCACCAACCCACGGTTACAGCTTCTACCGACAAGTATGAACACCTTGTTTACGAATCGACAGCTGAACTCCATCAATCGTTTGAACCCGTCATGTCAGCTTTGGATCGACGCGCCATGGCATTGGCAAAGAGCGCCAGCTTTGAAGCAGCCCTTCGCGATGCTAACGCCATACAACAACTCTCGCCTTCTTCAGCACGTGGTTATATATGTGCAGCCAAAGTTTACAGTGAACAAGGAAAACAACGCCATGTCATCGATACCTGCAACCAAGGACTCGCTATGATTGATAGAATGGATGCTGACTATGACACTTTGCAACGAATGAGGATGGATGCTGAGCAACGCGACAACACACGTATTGATTTTATCAGCCAACTTCCTGTGGACATTGCCATCGCAACCCTCATTCCTCTCTTTATGAACCATGTTACCATGATTGTCCTCAGACGAAACCCCTTTTTATCTGTGTCCCATACTTGGCTTGATCGTATTGTTCAATCTCTCGGTGGATTACCTTTCCTTATTAAATCCAAGGACGATCTCGCCTTGCTATATGCGATTAGGCTCTCTCGACATACCAGGGATTTGCATGTTAGAGATTATACCAAAGGAACATGGCTCGGCGATTTATTATTGAATAACGACTTTTCCTCGTTACAAAAGTTGCATGTTGACAGTAAGTTGTACCTTTTGCTTATGAAGCTTTGTTTATTTACGACTTTTACTATTGAAGACTTCGGGAGCAAACACATCAACCACTTTTTGGCATCCTTGAGATCCGTCGGCAACACTTTGACGCATTTGCAACTTGACACGGAAGGAGGGCCTGCCATAGATATACTCGACGTTATGACAGCATGCCCCAAATTGACCACACTCTGCATATACCATATTATGCATGTTAATGTCAGCTCGCGACCTATGATAACATGGCCCACCTTGACAACATTGACACTTTTATTTGCATACAACCCCATCAGCTGTGACCAGATAATCAGCATCTGGAAGCGATTTCCTTCACTCAAGAAGCTTGAACTTGATCCATGCACCGACATTTCATCAACGTTTATTGTCCCAGACTATCGTCCATCGATGAAAAGTCTTCACCTTAAGATGTCCTTTACGGGTGCTGAGCTTATCTACACGGATGAAGGAAACAGCAATGAAGAGCCAGGGTTGACAAAGCTGATCATTGAGCCGTTTGAGTTATATGCAGGGGAGACGTGCAAGGATACCAGTTCTATCATAAAGAGATACCACAACACGCTTGAGCACCTTGAATGGGATATGGATACTAGCAAGGATACAGAAAACATTGAGCACCTTCAGTACCCTCGTCTCAAGAAACTTCGTCTCTGTTGGTCTGGATGGCAAATACCACGCAATGCGCCAATGATTGAGGACTAGGCGTTGTCATCGAGAGTCATACAACCACACCCTGAAGTACTTGACACGATCCCGCCACACTTGAAAAGATTAGAGTTGGACCTCGAAAGGAGGCCTCAAGTAGTCGACAAGTCATTTCTCCTCCATTATCTTAAACGTATCGCCCGACAATGCCAGCTCAAAGAACTTTTATTGCGCTTAAACAACACGGATCAAATCGCCGGTATCCTCGATGCTATCTACCGCTATGCTCAACTTGAATGCCTAAAGATCAGTATTGACGGAAGGTGGGATCCCAATGGAATGGAAAAGTTCTTTGATGGCCTTGTCATATCATGCCCTCATTTATCTTGCCTCGAGCTCAGAAATATAACTGCACCATCGGCCAATACTTTGAATACCCTCAAACGCCTTGAACATTTACAGCGGTTTGCATGCTCGATCGATGGGACGGATAATTTGGATGACTTTTGGGATGCACTTCGAACGTTTTCTCAGCTCAAGCACATTAGGATGTATCCTATTGCTGATTGCCACCGCGACAGAGTCAAGTCTCTTATGGGTCAACGGCCTGACATGAAGGTCATCTATAGCATACATGCTCCACACTTCTGAGCGATCTTTGTATCACAGCCAATAAATCACTATCTCATCATCATCATCGTAATTTTCATCATTTGTTGCCATCCATAATGTAGCATACAGTAAAGGCTTCCAACATGCTTGAACATGTTCATCCCCACATACATGTTGTCATTCGACAAGAATTATTATTGGCATCACATGCAACCGTGTTGAGGGATAATTCGGGGATTACTGGTTTGGTGTTGGGCGTAACACTACCCATCATGGATGTTATAGAACGTCACATGCTCATCACGATCGACTATGTTGGCGATGTTTTATTGTAGACAACATGACCCCAGCTTCATTTATAGTGTAGCGCATTTTTTATCAAGCTGATTTTGTCAACATGCGCGTATAGCATACTGGATTGAGTTATAGCACTGCCTAAAGTCGTGTCATCGACCTTCTCATGCGTTTCACTAAACGTATCCATGCCATGTTTGTTTGTTATCGTAGGTTACACAACGATGATGGAAGTTGGTTCATCACCACATCACATAAGGTGGTGATCAAATGCACGATTGCAAACCAGCAGAAATAACACGATACGATGGATTTAATGTACACCATATCTTGATAGGCATGGCTACCATGTTTCTTGTTGTTCGAGCATAGGTTCAAAGATGGGATGATGATCTGTAGAACAATAGATCACTAAACAAAGATGCAGCTCGCAGATTTTTCCTCCATCCCCATGCATGTTGATTTATCATTACTTGCTTAATAATAGTACACTCGCAATAAACTCCTAGACTCATAGCGAAGGAAGGGTGTAAGTTAGAGGATGGCAGTCGTGATTAGCCAATCCAATGCTGTGCTACGTGGTATAGCGTGCTCTGCATAAAAGTAAGGCTATTTGTATTATTGACCAACGGTGGAAGTAGTAATTGATAAGACCAATGGTGGAAGTAGTAATTGATAATGGTCCTATTTTACTAATAGCGTAATTGTGGAATAGCTTAAACTTATCTCATGTCGCAAGTGGATGAATCAATCATCCATCATCCATTATAATGCTGTGACACAAACAAATTATGAAGTTTTGCTTGCCCCATTCATGAATCCTACGTTGATCCTTTGACCATCTCTTTCGCAATGCTTTCGATTTGCATTGTCCTTAAGTCTGAGCCATTACACATCATCCAGTAACCCTGCTATCTCGTTCTACGAGTTCATGCTGATCATTTTTATTCTGATTGACGAAAAAAAACTACCCTACTACAGCTAGAGAGATGAAACTACGCATCCTTCACCAGCATCACCACACAAAGGTCACTTACCATATAGCCATCGTGATATCATTCCCATGCATGGAGGTCCCGACATTGTGTGAATAAACATACAAAACCTGATCCGCCTTGAACACACATGTCCCAAAGGACCAATCATCCATACCTGCTGCATCCATCCCAAGACCACCATCAATGCATAAAGTACTTGAACGTCGAGTACACCGATAAAAAGCATGTCTCCTTCAATAATGGCACCAATCCAAGAACATCACAGCAAAAAACGGAGGCCAAGAGTGCTCACAAGCTGAAGGCTTGTATCAAAGGGCGTGCTTGAATAAATGGTATCCATGTATCTCCAAATCCTTCTTTCATCATCTCGACACTGAAACAACCATGTACAAAAAGCAACATGTACCTTGACAATACCTGCTATTACTGCTGCTGCTGCTGCTGCTGCTGCTGCTGCTGCTGCTGCTGCTGCTGATGATGATGATGATGATGATGATGATGATGATGATGATGATGATGATGATGATGATGATCAGCAGCCTGAAAGAAAAACCTCCTCTATGAACCCTATCAACCCTCTTCCCCATCTTATTTCACGTACCAATGCTAGTAACCATGGAAAAATGTATCTATACAAGCTTGAAAAAAGTATTAGTTGAGAGCACGTTTGTATGAAGGAGTTGGGTACCTTTGAAGGAGAAACGCTCGCCAAGCTCAACACCAAGAACTGGAACAAGGTTGTGCAATGCTGGCTGTTGACGATTGTTTTTCACTGGAGCTGTGATTGTCAACGTGCAAGGTCGTGTAATGTGTTGTAAAAGAGAAAGCTGAAACGAGTACAGGTACGACATGAGGCACCGGAAGCAGCTGTAGGAATGACACGTAATGCTGACGGAACACCAATCGGGTTTTCAGATGGAGAAGGAGGAATGTCGACAAGCAGTAAAAAGTAAAGCTTAGTAAAAGGAAGCCAAGTATAGAAAAGAGTTGTTGTTGGAATAAAGCGGGTGTTGGCTGGGGCGGCTTTGGCCCAGCCATTTTAAGCTGTGAGCGGAATTTGCCTTGTCACACACACACTTCTTCGCTGCATTGGACTTCCTCTCTCTCCTCCGCCAACCTTTAATGACTGATTCTATTTGGAACGATCTATGCCAACAGCCAATACTCATAGCTTCCTCTGAAAAATATACAACGCTTGTCAACGATGCAACTACACAATTGCCGCAACTCATTGAATCCATCCTGTCAACTCTCAATCGACGCGCCATTGGGTTGTCAAAGCTTGCCAACTTTGAAGCTGCTCTTCGCGATGCCAAAGTTATGCAACAGATCGCACCTTCTTCAGCATTCGGTTATTTATGTGCAGCCAGCATTTACAATGCGCAAGGAAAACTGCGTCAAGTGATTGATATCTGCAACAAGGGACTCAATGCTATTGATACAAACGACCCAGCGTATGTTACACTACAGCTTGCCAAAGAAGATGCTGAACACCATGCAAGCAAACACGTTGACTTTATCAAGCAGCTGCCAGTTGAAGTTGTTACAACAACCCTGATCCCAATGCTGGCGAATGATCTTCCTTTACCATCGTTGACACCATGTCCTTATTTACACGTGTCCAATCTATGGCGTGATTATATTCTTCAAAGTACCAATGGGTTACGTTTCGAGACTGGGGACAAGGAAGAGGAAGAAGATCCAGAAAAATGTTCGCAATTGATCAGGTTTTCTCGCCATATCAAGTCCTTGCATGTTCGCCGATATTCCAAAGGAACGTGGCTTTCCGATTTATTCAGCAGCAACGATTTTAGCTCTTTGCAGGAGCTATGAATTGATAGTAAGTGGTACTTATTTCTTGAGTTGCACGTATTTACTATTGTCCACAAAGTCACTTCCACCAGCGATGTTGATGGCTTTCTTCGATTACTAGGATCAATCAGGGACACATTGACTCATTTGACAATTCACGAGGACTATGACGCCATGATTACCCTGGAAGAGATATTAACAGCCTGTCCTAATCTTATTTCGCTCACTGTGACTCAATACGGCGATGGAGTTATCGCCGATCTTCCAAGTGCAACGTGGCCCAACATTTCAGCATTATCAATTGAGCTTACAGAACCAGACCCATGCATTACGCGTGATGAGATAATACATCTCTGCGACCATTTCCCATCACTCAAAGAGCTCCATCTCGATCCATGTGTCGACATCGAATCCGTTCTCATCATCCCACAGCGTTTCCCCTTGATGACAAGTGTTGAGCTGGAGATCTTTTTAACACACGTGGGTGTGACCTACAAGAGCAGTGGATACCAAGAGCTATCAATGACGAAGCTTTCCGTCACCATCCAGCATTGGCAAGAAGATGACGATTTGGTGGATATGATTCCTATTTTGAGGCAGCATCATGAAACGCTAGAGGACATTCAATGGAACATATACCCTGAGAGAGATTATGGAGGACTTGCCCACATCCAGTACCCAAGCCTCAAAAAGCTGTCGCTGAGCTCTTCAGGATCGTTTATATTACACAATGCGCCCATGTTGGAAGAATTGAAAATGTCATCCACCGCAATCAATGCCGACACGCGTATGCTGGATACAATACCACCACGTTTGAAGATCCTCGAATTCGACTTTGACGATGGACAAGAGCTTAACGATGAAAAGGCAATTGAACGCTATCTCCATCGCATCTCACATCAATGTCTACTACAAGACCTTACTATCGGCCTCATCGACGTGGATACTTCAGGCAATGTGCTGAATGCAATTTGTGGTTTACGCACGCTTCAACGTGTGGTGGTTGGTTTTGCCGAGGTTCGGAAGCCATATCAAATGGAAAGATTCCTTGAAGGTCTCGTGCATGGATGCCCTCATTTATTGTGCCTTGAAATTGATTGCATGATCGCGCCATCGACATATTCCATCGATACCTTGAAACGACTTGAACGCCTAAAGCACTTTGCGTTTTCAATCAACGACACATGTGGCTATGATAGTTTTTGGCGTGCGATTGGAACTTTTACTCAGCTCAAGCGTATTCATGTTTACCCAGAGAATGAAGTCAACCAGTTGGAAATTGAACGTCTTAAGCAGCAACGACCTGACATGAAGATTATTGTGGATGACAAGTTCGCGCGATACTGAAGACCCGCTTCGAATTGTGGACTATAGCTGTTATCATTCCCACAATCGTGGTTTTCGTATGTTAGTGAGGAATAAAAGGGATCTATTACATCTGTTAGCGTTTCTTTGTTGTGAGCTCTCCATGATGATGGCTTCTCAATGTCATGTTTTACTTGTAATACCACTATTTGTTATGATTTACAAAGATGGCTATTGATTACTGCAGCATATTGTAAAAGACATCATAGCCGTATACCATGAATTCAAGTCGCAAGAATTGAATCATCAATTGCACTAATTACAGTGCATCCCATCTATAGTCCTCTTTATCAGGTATCCATGGCAACGCTTTACTCGTTTAAAAGCAACCTACACTAGCGTACACTCATAAATGCAACCATGATCTATCCATCGGTCGAAATAAAAAACAATGGATGAAAGTAGTGAGGTCGACTTGAGAGATTCTATTTCATGCATCATACTTTGGCAAAGGGGTATCTACATTGTAAGCAACTCGAATTCCAGTACTATGCACGAATCATTAGACTTTGGATAGCAAAACGAATCATAACCGTAGTATGGGTGTACCTATTTATTGGGTAAAGAGTGATCCGTAGCAGTAAAATGCCATAGACGAGGGAATACTATATGTACAAAGGATGGGTGTAAAATCACTTTTAGCTTGCAAAGGCATAATTGGAGCACTGGGTTTGTTTTCAATAAAAGGAATCAGATTGATGATGATCATTTATTTCCTATTTTAGATAGCTATGTATTCGTATCCTGCTCGATCAGGATCCTATGGGCATTGCTGTTCCACGTGTGGTGTGTGCTTTCGTAACAAAGACCGATATCTACGAAGGGCAATTCGGTATGTACGTGTGATCATTGTACGAGTGTTATCCTCCATGAATGGATTGCGAGGTTATTTATCATTGACCATTTGCAGGACTGACCTATGGATGAGAAAAGGTCTAGTACAGGTCTACGCATACAGCTTTGTGGATATTTCTTCTGCGTGGTCTGTAGGCACAGGATTTACGTTGCATTCATTTAACCCCACTTCCTTTTACATCACAACAGCTGTCCTCTATTGAATGATGGTTCACTTTTATTTTCAGAGAATGATACGCTACACTAATACAACTAAAAAAACGAGAATGCAGAGCATCCACCCATATCACTGATCCATGTGCTCTTACCATATCCATTCTGCCATCATCCAACCAAGCCTGATGCTCCTTGAACATGCATATATTCGAAATGGCCGATCGTATCATGGCATCCAATCAGCTTCAATATACCATACAAGCACCTGTTCCCTTGGATGAAACCAATGACATGTTGGTACGCCCTGAACCATGAGGATCGCCAACCTCCATGAGTACTTGACCCCGATATATGAACCAAGAACTGTACTTGGAAGACAATGGAACCATAAGAGAACATCGTGACAGAATACATTTGACTGGTGACTGGTGTTGGCGTACAATTCGAGGATCCGTACAATTCCAAATTGTACTAGTACAATTCCAAATTGTCCTAGTGCAATTCAAAATTGACCTAGTAAAATTCAAAGTTGACCTAGTACAATTCAAAATTGCCCTAGTACAATTTTGAGTCCTTGAATTGTCCTAGTACAATTTGAGGACGTTGACGATCATGGCCGTTATAAAGGATCGATGCACCGACAAAGCGTATTCGGGGCCTAGTATTAGTATAGAGCTCTCTGTGATCGAGTACCCGCCATTCTATCGTCTTTAGTATTCTTCAATAAAGCAAGCAGACCGATGTTATTATTGAATGAGTCCTAAGGATAATGGTACTTGTATTGGCTATCTTTATTTAATAAAGGTTGATTTTTATCTCTGTTGAGGTATATAAACGAGACGCCTTCAGTATGCTTTTTCAAAAAGATGGGTACTAGAAACATTGTAACGAGGGTATTCACTTTGTGCAGAGGGCACCTTGTATAAAGTTGCGCGAAGGTGACGGACGCCATTTTTCAACTCATGGGACATTCCAATTGGTACCCCCACAATATGGCCAATCTTGTACCCAAGTATCTTGCCTGCCATCTTGTTTAGCCTTTTTTACATCAAACCAACAAACAATAATACCAGATGCAATCATAATCACATACCAGGTTTGGATGTTTGAAATGCTTGTCATAACGCACCCACACCAGCAACCGAGGCTGTGTATGGTTGTATGTGGGTGTTGCACTCATCCATGCACTTGGGTAATGTTGTTGTGTAATGAGAATGCCTGTCCTTGAATTGTACTAGTACAATTTTGTGTCCTTGAATTGTACGGATCCTTGAATTGTACGCTAACAACTGGATCATGACAAAACAATGCTTGGAAGGTCATCATGCGGCTTGTAATCCTTGTTGATAAGAGAGGTTCCAAGAGCCAAGACACATATCTCAAGCAAGGGCAACAGCGTACGTGGTGTGGTGTTTAAACATGTACCAATGATGATGATGATGATCAGCTCGCTGGAGAAAGTAAAACACTCTATGAATCCTGCCAAACCTGTGCGCTATACTATTTCACTTACCAATGCTAGCAACTATCGCAACGCGCATCTATACATGTTTGAAAGAAATATTAGTTGAGAGGAAGTTCGTATGGAGGTGTTGGGATTGGGTACCTTTGGACGCGACACGATGACCAAGCTCAACGCCAGGATCTTGAACAAGGTTGTGCAATGCTGAATGTTGACGATTGTTTTTGCATGGAGCCGTGATTGTCAAACGTGCAAGGTTGTGTAGTGTGCTGTAAAAGAGAAAGCTGAAACGGGTACAGGTACGACATGAGGCACCGGAAGCAGGTGTAGAGATGTCACGTAATGCTGACTGGACACCAATTGTGTTGGCAGATGGCGAATGGCGAATGTCGACAAGGAGTAAAAGTAAAGCTTTAGACAGGGTGATCAAGAATAGAAAAGAGCCATTGTGGGAATAAGGCGAATAAAGGGGTTGTTCACTGGGGCCTCTTTGAGCCAGCAATTTTAAGCTGGGAGCGGGACTTGGGCTTGTAACCCACTTCTTCACTGCATTATTGAACTACCTTATCCTCCTGCACCAACATCCAATGACTGATTCTATCTGGAACGATTTATGCCAACAACCAGTTATTACAGCTTCCACCGAAAAATACAGAACGCTTGTCACGAATGCAACAACACAATTGAGGCAACCCATTGACTCCATCATGACAACTCTCAATGAGCGCGCCATGGGGTTGTCAAAGTGTGCCAACTTCGAAGCTGCTCTTCGTGATGCGAATACCATGCAACAACTCTCGCCTTTTTCACCACTTGGCTATTTATGTGCAGCCAACATTTGCAATGAACAAGGAAAACGGGGTCAAGCTGTCGACATCTGTGACAAGGGACTCAATGTTGTTGGTATAAACGACTCATCGTACGCTATACTGCAGCTGGTGAAAGAAGATGCTGAACACCATGCGATCAAATGTGTCGACTTTATAAAGGAGCTACCTCTTGACATTGTTACTTCAACGCTCATTCCAATGGTGGTGGACGACTTTTGTCTGGAATCGCTGACGTCATGCCCCTATTTGCATGTGTCCCATCTATGGCGTGATTCTATTCTTCAATGTTCGGGTGGATTACATTTTTACACTAGCCGCCAGGAGGAAGAGTAAAATGTGGAAAAGTGTGCTCAATTGGTGAGGTTTGCGCGACACATCACCTCATTGCACGTTCGTCGATACTCCAAAGGAACGTGGCTTTCCGATTTATTCAGCAGCAACGACTTTAGCTCTTTGAAGGAGCTATGCATTGATGGTAAGTGATATTGATATCTGAACATGCATGTATTTATCATTGCCCACAAAGGCATTTCCACCGGCTGTGTTCAGGGCTTTGTTCGATCATTGCAATCCATCGGCAGCACGTTGACGCACGTGACTATTGATGAGAAAGACCATGGCACGCTTTCCATTCTCGAGATATTGACAAGCTGCACCAATTTGATTTCTCTTACAATGTCCCAGCACCAGGTTGGAGATTTCAGCTCTCTACCAAAGACGACATGGCCCAATGTCACATCATTATCTATTGAATTCTTAGAAGCGGAGCTTACTGGGGATCAAGCAATCAGCCTTGCCAAATGTTTCCCGTCACTCCAAAAGTTTCAACTTCAAACATGCACTGATATCAATTCGGCACTTATGATCCCTCAATATTGCACGTTGTTGAAAAGCGTCGAGCTTGATATCTATTTTTCATTGGTTGGTGTATGCTACACGAGTCAAAGCACTGGTTGTGATGAGCTTGCGATCACAAAGCTTGGCGTATACTATCAAGGTTGGGCCGAAGGTGACCATCTGGTGGATATCGGTTCCATTCTGAAGCAGCACCATTCATCACTTGAGCACGTGGTATGGGACATCGCTCCTGATATCGACTTTCATGACCTTGATGACATCCAATACCCAAGGCTCAAGAAACTATCATTATGGAGTTCTGGATCATGGTTACCACGTAAGGCGAACATGGTGGAAGAACTTGAAATGACATCCATGTCAATCAATGCTTATCCTTCCATGCTTGATACAATACCGCCCCGTCTGAAGAAGCTTGAATTGATGTTTGCTGTTGGACATGAACTTGCCGACCATGACGCCGTTGTACGTTATATCCATGGAGTTGCTCAACAATGCTTGCTACATGAACTTTCCATTCGCTTCAAGAATCCACAAACCTACGACGATGTCCTCGATGCAATCCCCATTTTCAACCAGCTTAAACGTCTCATGATCGGTGTACGTGGCAAGTGGAATGCGTATCAAATGGAAAGATTCCTTGACCAGGTTGTGAATGGTTGCCCTTATCTACGTTGCCTTGAACTTGATTGCACGAATCCTCCATCGACCTATTCCTTGGGATCCTTGAAAAGACTACCACACTTAAAGTCATTTGCATTTTCGATCGAGGACACGGATGGCTATGATAGCTTTTGGTATGTACTTGGAACCTTTTCGCAACTCAGCTGTATTCGGCTTCACCCTACCAAAGCACTTACCAAGTCTGTGACGCGACATCTCAAGGTGCTAAGACGTGGCATGAAGGTCATCGTGGATGAAAGTTTCAAGGGCTTTTGATAGTTGTTTCAAATCATCGATTACACTCGCTAGCTTTGTCATGATGCTTTGTATTTGTTCGTAGTGAAATAAAAAGGGATATGGCACATTTAAGCATTACTTTTATGCATGTTGTACTTTTTACATGGCGTCATTTTACCCTCATGGACTACTACTTTTCATCCATAGGCAAGGATAGCTATTGTTTACCCCTATCAATTGTTATGTATAGCTGCACCAAATCCGATACACTCATAGAGACGTCTTTTCTAATAAACACGTATTTAATGGTGCCTCGTGCCATCCTTGTTTCCCTGAAAGCTCTTGCGAGATAATGGTAACCATTGACCTCCAGTTGTGAAACATGAAGCCCAAATGGCTATTGGACGTCTCGATGGATGGGTATGACGTTGTGGATGCATACAGTAAAGGTATATGCATCGATAAAATGAAGCTAATATTATGTTGCGTGCAAAAGGAAGGTCACGGGTTCGTTTGCAAGTCCCCAAAGTCCGAGGTTGTTAGGTGTAAATCAATGCCTCGAGGTTGGGTATGCTAATGGTTGCCAAATCCCTGCATGCATCTTTTCTTATGCTTAGGTTCATGAAGGCTATCACTGGCAGAGCCCGATATCAACATTCCATGGGTATTGTGTATATGTAGGCACGTTAGGGGTGATACAACAAGTATACAGCAGTAGTACATGTTGCAGAGTGCGCCATCAACGTGATGTGCAAGCGTTGTCCCTGTTGGCAACGTATGGTTCCATGAAGCGTGCTGAGATGTTCCCTGTGAACAAACGAATGCCGGTCTCGAGATATCCAATCATCATGTGCGTTGCATTCACTAACAAGGATGATGGTGGTGGACGATGAATGAGTAAAAGAACGTAGCAAAGTGATATCTTGTGGAAGTGAGAAAGCCAATGCGTATTCGAACGAACCCAACAAGGATGTTGCACATACTTACTTGTGTCCCCTCGCCTTTATTGTCATTTATCATTTTTAATAAAGGGTGGGCGGTCATCGATTGACGACTGGATCTCTGTCATTATAGGCGTGTCCTGGTCTTAGGAGTTGGACAAGCTTCGTTTTTCCTTGAGGAAAGGTTCTATCACGGAGTAATGCTCCATGTATGATTATCACCTTTCGTGACTCAACATGGGTAATACTTGAGTGGTTGTGGTCGTTGTTTGTATAAGGTTAAAGGTGTTGTAGGACATTTCGGGACCCGGACATATCGCGATATGCCCTAGGACATTTTAGGATTCCGAAACGTCCTAGGGCATTTCAGTACCATAGACAGCTCTTGGTAATTGTGCCCTGCCAACTTGGTTACATACGTCGTTGTGTATTGTTTTGCTATTTGAATACCATCACAAAGCATTTGATCACCTGTGACAGCCTTGTCCCATATGATAACACATGTTGGAAGCAGGGTCGGATTCATATTTCATGTGCCATTTTTGAGAGAAGTCATGGGAAAGACAAGCATGAAAGCATAGGTAGGTGGGCGTTCATCACAAAGTATCAATACCGGAAAGAGTGGAAACTTCATTTGACATATGACTTTGTGATTGCAGCACTTAAAAGTTGAAAAAGCTGTCTATGGTACTGAAATGCCCTAGGACGTTTCGGAATCCTAAAATGTCCTAGGGCATATCGTGATATGTCCTGAGTCCGGAAATGTCCTACAACAAAAGGTACCCTGTTTGGGATAAGGAATAGACGTTCAGTGATACAAGACCTTGTAGCATACCATTGCTGCTTGAGGTGGGATGAATCATGAACGTACCCATTAGGATGGATGATGATTGATCGTTGCTTGCATACCATGCATTAAAGTGTGGATCGTATTACCATACACCCATCCCACAAAGATGCTCATGATGGATTGTGCAGCTTTTGGTAGCTCTGTTGGCAAAGCTGTTGTAGTGCATTTCGGGACCCGTGCATATCGCGATATGCCCTAGTGCAGTTCAGGATTCCAAAACACCCTAGTGCATTTCATGTCTATAGGCAGTCGTTGATGATTGTGGCCTGCCAAGATGATAACATAGGTCCTCATGTGTTGTTTTGCTAGTCGAGTATGATCACAAAGTATTTTGCTCACAAGTGACAACATCGCCTCATATTATAACACGTCCTATAAACAGGATCGGATTCATAATTCATATGCCATTTTTGGGAGACGTTATTGGGACGAGAAGTGTAAAAGTATATGTAGGTGAGGATTTCTATTATAGTATCAATACCGGAAACAGTGAAAACTTCATTTGACATACGGTTTTAAATGATCACAGCACTTCAAGTTAAAAAGCAGCCTATAGACATGAAATGCACTAGGGTGTTTCGGAATCCTGAAATGCACTAGGGCATATCGCGATATGCACTGAATCCGGAAATGCACTACAACAAAGCGACGTCCAAGCAGGCTACAATGGGATCGTACCTTTCCTCTTCTCGTAGCATCTAAGAGCCAAAACGTTTCATGCAGCAGCATCACTTGTTGCATGGATACCAAATCAACATCATTCGAGTAGCCATGGATACCACCTTTCATGGTTACGAGCATAATCCAATGTGGCCCCGTTTCTCTGTGAGCTCATACCTTTTATCATGTATGTATCCACGCAAAATTAAAAGCGATGTCCCAAACCAAACGTATGCCAATTCCAACACATGAAAACGATACTTCGCTCCAAGCATTCACTTTCATAATTTAGTTGTCTTGATCCGATCCAATTTCATTGAGCCACGTTCAAGCCAGGTATACATGCGCTCATATAGGTAGGGTGTACTGCTCACAGAGAAGAGGTCATCTTTTATTTACATAGCCCCCTAAAATCGGCGGGGTTGAGGCAATTGATTTATGCAATTACATTTATTGAGCACACAAGATCGTTATGGTACTCCATGCATGAACCATGACGTCAAGATAAAGACCATACATCCTTCTTTGGATTTGTGATGAAAGTGATCAAAACGTTGGGTGACCTACTTTTCCAACAAGCTCCAACCAAGAGCATTCATGTAATTTGACATGTGGCTCCGTATCTAACGGCTCCGTCAATCTACACAAGACCGTGATTTTCTCTCTTTCAGGGGTACCACGTGGATCTTGGAAGACACTTTTACAACCGTTGGCTACAACTTGGCATGATCGCACCTCGACTTCGGCTATCACATACTTCGGCTATCCCATCTATAATACGTCAATGCAACTACTCACCTTCCTCGATAGCATCTACATCGAGATTAAGACTCAAACATCACTACTCAGTCATCGCAACCTTTCGGTATTTGGTCGAGCCGCGGTGGCGAACTCTTTATTGTTGTCAAGGCTTTGGCATGTCTTTTGTTTATGTGTCGTTCCAAAAACATGGATCACCAAATGGCAGTGGATGGTTCATAGGTATGATTCGACATGTTCCACTTCATAGACTAAACCCCTTTCTTTCGCTCTCAAAAGTATTCAACGATCAAAGAGTCGCATGGATCATTGGTACCTACTACTGGAAAGTCGAGTGAACAATTGGGTCCTAAAACAAAGAAATGCCCTCCGATTCGCTCGATTGGTCCCATACTGGCAAAAGATCAAAGGAAGTAACAACGACTCATGGATAGAATCGAATGGTGCCTCGAGTGCCACGCTTCCATAAAGGAGATGAACCTGTATATTGGCTCAAGATGTTTGACAAGGCTGTGAATTTGTTCGCCAAGCACCAAAGCTAAAGCATGATGTTGCTTATGACCTCATATCTTTTGAGAAAGCCTCAATCATGGTTTTTCCATCAACATTTCAAATCATGGCATGATTTCAAGTATGCGTTTATGGAATGGTGTGTGAAGCAACAAAGGAGATTAGAGTTGCAACTTCGAAACTTCGATGTACCACCCTAATAGGAAAAAGTCAACAATTAGAAGGGAAAAAGGATAAACCCCTAATCCGATAGAGGGCAAAGAGGATATACAACCTGACAAGCTTTATGGTGAAAGGGGATGTTACGCATGGGCCAACTAACCCTATCCAATTTCAAAGTTAGCTTTGTCACCTGCTTCGACAACAAGCGCGGGATAGTGACTCTACCACAATCCCTGTTGCAAGTCGCTCGACTCTCAATGCGTTTAGCTCCCCTACATCTAATAGATGAAATTTTTCCAATACTATGCTCTTATCTCTATCTAAGCCGCGCAACGTGGTCCGATGGGTTGCTGTGGATGACAACGACGATGTGCTGGGCATCCACCCTTGGACCAAGACGAGATGATTTTTGATTTTTTCCTTTTTGTATGCTAATGTTTAATTTCCCATCCCATTTATAGTATGCAGAGATTCCCCCATGCTTGCTTTTGAAGGGCTAAAGGTATCCAGATGATGCATCTGTCGCTGAGTCGTATGCTGCTTTGATGTCGAAAAAGGCAACGATTGGCTGTTCGTCGGATTGGTGGTGGTAATGGCAGATCAACATGGGAAGGTTTCCCCGTAGAGTTGGCGACTCTGAAGCGAGGGTTGATGTGGTTGGCTCCCATCCCTATGATGGCCAATGATATCTTTTATTTTATCAAGTCTTTGTTCCCTCCCTTGTTTAATGCCATGATGTCTTTCATTTGCTCGTTGAGAAGGTCTGGATTTAGAGGGTTTATTTGTTTATGTTTTTTATAAGATCAATATCTGAGAATAAAAGCGCGGTTTGGGATGACCAACCACATCATCACGAGCGGAAGAGGAGCCAACACAGGTTATGTTAGGCACGACATGTAGCCATCATTTATTCATGTTGCCTGGCAACAGCAAGTTCAACAATGATAGCGATTGATGAACATCTTCCTTTAATCCATTGTGTACCATCTCATGATCCAATCACATACGTTACGCATTGCTCTAGCATTGTGTAGTAAAAGGAACCTTTTCATCCCCTTGTACGTTTTGTATCTAGGAAAACAACCACTCGTCACCATGGATACACACCTTTCTTCTTGACTTATGGATGAGAAACAAGATTACCGCCTGATCGACACGAAGCATGGACCCAAGAACTCCAAGAATGTGAAGATTGGAATTATCCCTTTGTCCATGAATCCTGCAAACGCTATTAGCGCACTTGACCATCCACATGGCAACCCTCACATAACGAATACCATAGTCAAATGTATGTTTTGGTCAAATATGGACCATCAAAATCTGCAGGCGTTTCCTCTACGCCAATGCAGTCATTGATGTTTCTTTATCCTATGACGCCCTGGGCATTCTAAAAGCTGATTTTTTGTTCTTTGCTTCTATGTAGTCTATACTTTTACGTCTACACCTACCCCTTAGACTTCTAAAAGCCGCGCCCACGAAACCAAAAACTACCACCCATGAACTCACTCGTCATTAGCCACGAATAAATAATCACCTACGAAAACAAGCACCTTAACCACGAAATCATTATCCTCATGTTCCACTTCTTTTGGGGAAATCCTGTACTTTGGTGCTTGAGCTGGTTGTGGGGCTGATGACTATTTAGGTTGAGTATCCATAGATGTTGTTCCTTAGGCAGCATACGATGAAGAAGGTCCATTTGTATCACCCACATTGTGCACCACTTGCATGTCATTTACAGGCTTTGTGTTGTCATGGGTGACCACACCTGCTTACGGCGACCCTGCCGAAAATCCTCTTGCTCAGCACCCATATCGCCATTTTTCTCACTAGCCTCTGAAACCAATTCTCGTTGGGTGGAGGGATTGTACACGTTGCTTGGTTGACTCTTATAGGCATTACAATGTGAAATGACATGACCTGATGCTCCACAACCACCGCACTCAGCTCGACACTGATCCATGTAATGACCTTGTTTGTGGCAATTAAAGCACACGGGCTTGTAACTACCACTACTTGCTCTTGAGGATGATTTCGGCTGATCGGCTACTTTTTCCAAGACCTTCCGTTGCATGATTGCAAGGTTCTCCATCTGTTGCATCAATTTATCTATCCTCTTCCCCAAGCTTGTTGGTGTTGTCTTTGGGTGTTATGGAGGATTTGGACTTGTTGCTCTACCCGTTTATCTTGAGGATTTTCGTGTATGTTAGTTTGTCCAACACCAGGTGCAGAAGAAGGATTTGTAATCAATCGGGTTTTTCCGCTCATTATCATCAATGCCTGAAACGCCCTCAGGCGACCATTTGGAAGTCGCCCAAACACCACCAACCATATCTCTCGACCCCAAACTTTCATGGGCGCAAATCGCACAGAAGAAACGGGTGTCTTTGGTACATCGCCATTTCACGATTGCAAACGCTGGTGAGACGAATCAGCAAACCGTCATCCATTCGCATGTTTTTCGTCGAGGTCGATCCCCCGGCAGCATTTTCTTTGACGTTAGTTCTCGTTCTGGCACTCTGAAGGATATCTTGAAACTGCTCACAGAGCAATTTCATCACGTCAATGGTGTACTTGTTCATAGGGAGGGTCCTCGAGTTGTCCTTGAAGCTTATTTCAACACACAAGAGGAAAGTGCACGTGCTTTGACACGTGGCTTAGAGTTTCCACAACAAACATTTGTTCGTGGTACAGCTGGTATCACAGGCGATGCTATCGTCAAGAAGATTCGTTTGACGCATCTCCCTTTTATGGATCTTGAAAAGCTGAAAGCTGGTTTACATGCTACCATGGCAATGTATGGTCAAGTTTTGGATGTCGGCATTAATCGAGATGAAACCACCAATCTCTTCATGGGCAATGGTTTCGCTGTACTCAACGTGGCTCCGATCGAAGGTGAACAAGACTTTTTGCCATTGGGCCACCATATTGCATGGGAAGGAGATGAAAACAATTTGATCTATGCTACGTATGCGGATATGCCTCTTCACTGTTCTCGTTGCCATGATGCAGGTCATGGGGTCAAAGATTGTCCTTTACGCAGAAGTCAAATGAGAGAATGTTGGAATTGTGGAGCACGTGGTCATCTCTCTTACAATTGCCCTCGCAAGAAAGATTGGGTGCTAGGAGAAGAAAATCGTACTCGTCGTAAGACCAATCGTAGCCAACATACTGTGGTGACAGAGGATATCCCTAAGTTGACGGATCGCGTTGATCAAAATGTTCGCAAGAGGAAATCCCGCCATCAGGTCGAGCCATCAACACCCATTATTGAGCAACCCAGTTTGGTGGAACAAGCCGATTCTACCACTGCCGCAGATATTCCGGATGAGGATTCGGCTTCTGACCTTGAAGATTCTATGGATACGGATCTAGATGTTGATATGACACAACAATCTGAATTGGAAGAGACGATCGACCAAGTAGTCGTTGCCGTTTGTGATGGCACTTATGAGGCGATGTTATCGAGCGACGTATTGAAATCAGCACAAGTTGTCACACTTTCGAAGGACTGGTATCGACGCTTGCCGATGTCGAATGGTTGTATGGATATGATTGAAGCAGAGAATTTTGACAATCACCAGGAACGTACTCTTGCTGCCATAATCTATCATCGTTTGGCCGAGATGGGAAAAGCCGATCAATTTGCTGCACACCTCTTTGCTAGGGTCACTCGTTCGGGTCGCATTAGCTTCCCTCGTGATCCTACAGAGGCAGGGTCCCAATAAGTGGCCCATACTCCATCATCAATTTGCTCATCATGATATCCAGAAACAACCACATTACATTCCTTTCACTCAATTGTAACGGGCTAGCCAAACTCCGTCGGCCTTCAGCTCGTGCATCCCTCATTCGATTTCTACGACAGCAATCAGCTCACATTATCACACTTCAAGAAACCCACGCTTCCACACCAACTCTCAAAGACACTTTTCACAAACAATTTTGTGCCCATCAATCATTTTGGACTCAACATTGTGGTATCGTCCTTTTATCTTCAGCCTTGCACATGCACGAGATACCTCTTGATTTTACCACGCGTGCTCAACTTGTGCACATCCAACACACTGACAACGCATTTCATGATTTTTACGTCCTCAACGTTTATGCACCAGCACACTCGAAACGAGAAAGATATCAGTTTTTCAACTCATTGTATCAGCACATTGCACCTTTGGTGAATAACCAAATCCACACTGACAGGTTATTCATCATGGGTGATTTCAATTACGATTTACAACGCAGCGGCTTACATTTGAATGCGCCTTCAACATGGCTTACATGGCTCGACTTGCACTTTTTTAATTGCACACGTGATGAACTCCATTTCGATGGCATTCCCACATATCGACACAGCAATTATTTATCGACCATTGACTACATCTATGCACCAAGCCAGTTCAGCAGCTCCATTCATCACAAAGACATTTCATTTGTTAACAACGAGTGGACCGATCATGCACTTTTGTCTGCAACATTTACCATGGGACCGCCCAAACTAGGCAAGGGGTTTTGGCGTGGCAACCCACTGCTTTTTCAACAGCCATCTTTTCGTCGACAGCTCAATGATGCTTTGACATCACATTACCCACGACTCCATGACATGCCTTCTCCACAATCTCAATGGGAGAGCATAAAAGGTATCCTCACACATCATTTGAAGACTCATTCTCGACAACAAGCAGATTGGCGAAAGAAACAGCTATCAGCATTGCAATCTAAAAGGAACCGTTTCCTAAGATCCAAACCTCCAGCTGCCATTCGTGCATGGCGTTTGCCCATTATGGAACGTCAAATAGCCACGTTGCAACAGGAGATGGTGGATGTTCAAGCATTGCGTGCAGGTCAACGATGGAGGGAACGTGGTGAGACATCAGCAGGGTACCTCAAACGTACGATACAGGATCGACAAGTCAAACGTAGCATTGCAACATTACAACATCCACATACCGGCGCTATGTGTTCAACAACCAGTGATATGCACTCGGCAGTACAATGCTTTTATCAAGAATTGTACTCACCAGAACCTATTTCAACCTCGGCTATGGATACAATGTTTACACAATTGCCTTCCACTCTTCGTTTGGAGGATTCAGACCAAGAAGATTTGGTACGTGCCTTTTCGCTTGATGATCTTCAATCTGCTGCTTCTCGCACACCACATCACAGTAGTCCTGGCCCTGATGGTTTGCCATACCAAGCGTGGAGATTGGTTTTCACCCATCCGTTATACACTAATTTGGTCATGCGAGTTTACGACGATGCTCTACAACATGGTATTTTCCCCAGCTCTTGGAATGATACATGTATGTGCCTTCTGCCAAAGAAAGGGGATCTCACCAACCTTGCCAATTGGAGGCCCATTTCTTTAATCAACTGTGACGCGAAGATCTTCACTCGACTGCTTAACGCAAGGATCATCAATGCTGCCTCTTCCTTGATCACTCCTTATCAAAGTGGTTTCATGCCAGGCCGCTTCATCGGTGTCAATGGTCTCCTGACCCGCATTGCTATGGAACAGGCCTCTCAACAAGGATCAACAGAACTTGGCTTGCTTTTGGATCAGGAAAAAGCATATGATAGGGTGCATCCGGATTATCTCAGAGCTGTGCTGCTTCGATTTGGTTTTCCAGCCTCTATCATTCACACTATTTGCGCCTTGTTTTTCTCAACATCGATCCACATCAACGTGAATGGCCATATATCAACACCGATTCAGCAGCTACGTGGATTACGCCAAGGTGACCCTTTGTCACCAATCTTGTTTAATTTGGCCCTTGAGCCATTTTTACGTACCATTATTGGAGATGCCAATTTTCAGGGCTTTCAACCTTGGCAATCAGCTACGTCCTCACCTCTCCCACCCATCAAGCTTTTGGCATATGCGGATGATGTCATGGTTTTTCTCAAGGACCCCATGGATTTTGAACGATTGTTGTCTCATGTTGCCTGTTATCAGAGGGCCTCGAATGCACGTTTTAATCGCCAAAAGACTCAAGCTATCAGCCTCTCAGGTGCCACTCATGCCACTTGGAGCCAAGTTTTGATGTCTAACAACATGCCAGCACCACATGATCGCCTCTCACCATCCGCAATTACTTATCTTGGGTATCCTTTGGCTTCGTCAACACACCAACTCCAACTATTCCTTGACCAATTGCTACACGACCTTTCCACAGCATGTAAGCAACATAGCCAGCGCACATTGTCGATACGAGGGAGAGCTACCGTTGCCAATTCACTTGTATTATCACGAGTATGGCACGTGTTACGATTGACGCCTACGACCACTGTTTATCTGAACCGCCTCAAATCCATCATTGGCAAGTTTTTGATGCGCAACATGTTTCCTCGAATCGCCTTTGCCACTCTTTGCAGATTACGCTCTTATGGCGGCATCGCTATTCTAGATCCAGCCACGCAACAAAATGCACTACAATTAAGGTGGATCCAGGAACTATTGAGCTTTTCAACAGATGAATGGTTACCTCACACCCATGTTTTATACCATCACCTTCTTCGGGATCGTCGTTTTTCTGATGGCGATATCCACACATTGTTACGGTGTCAAGAGGCTCGCAAACCAAGCACCAGAGAAGTATCCATATCGACCCTGATTTTTCGCGCCATGGACAAGATCAACATTGATTGGGACATCATTCAGCCATCACCTGCAACCAGTTTGCTTTTGCCTCTTAATGCCATTTGGTCCACAGCGGATGATGCTACCTCTTTTCGGCAACCGGGTTTCAAGAATTTGCTTGTTGGCGACTTGTTTGTTTTGGATGGGACGTCCTCTTTACGATTACAGACCAGAGCTGATGGTTGTCAATATCCTCTCCTCTTATCACGTTTTCGAACTCACATGGATCAAGATCGCCTTAAGCTTCACTCATTCTTTGCACGCTTGTGCGACCATACACAAGCGACACACGTACACACATCATCTCGTTTGCCCGATACATCCATCTTGACAAGTTCTTTTGTTGAAGCAATGGATGGCAACATGTGGCGCTCAAAAACATACCGCAAGCTCATCGCTCCAGACAATCCATCGGACAACTCTTCTGTGTCATGGACTACATTTTGGCGTACACCTATGCATCATACAGCGCGGAATGTTTGGTATCGCCTTCTCCACGATCGTCTTCCTACTTCCAGTCGTGTTCATCACATCGCTCCTGCTTTTGTCACCTCTCATCTCTGCCGTATTTGCTTAACGACATGTGATGACGATTTTCATTTTCTCATGGGATGCCCCAAAAAAGGCGAAGTTTGGCAACAGGTCTGGAGACCCATCCACTGTGCGGATCCGGATCTCTCATCGCTTTTTCAATGTCTTCGTACCGCCCAATTTCCTGGTTCTGCTCAACAACAACGACAACAAGCTACCCTTTGTTCATGCATTCTCCAAGCCATATGGTGCGCCCATTGGGCTTTCATTTTCAACAATACCAATTTTATCTCTACAGCCGTGGCTGCACATGCCAGCCATCTGTATTCTTCTTTATCAGTATAATTAGCTACCTATATATAGACATCTACTTTCTTTCATTTGATTACTTTTTGTACCTGTCACGGCCACGTCACTCTGCGATACGAGGTCGTATTACAATAAATGCCCACGGGCCATACACAAAAAAAAAAGAAGAAGGATTTGTTTTACATTGGTCAGCAAGGCGTACGATTTCTCTCAACTCCTCGATGGTCTTTGGCTTTGTGAGCTTAAGAAAGAACTCATTGTGTTGTTGCAATCAACAACGTATGGCACTTAGATCGGGGTTGGTGACATCTTGCTGATCCAGTTGCAATCGCCCAAAGTTGAATTTTTGAATGAATATAGGCCTCGCTAGGCTCGTTTTCTCCTTGGGTGCGCATGTAAAAATCTTCCTACATTTGGTTTCTCCTTTCTTCAGTGAGGAACCTTGATAAGAACCTTTGTACAAAACAATTTAATGTGCCATCATCAAACGGAAGATCCTTCTTGCCCTCCTTGCGAAACCAGTCCAACACTTCTCCCTTGAGATGATGATCCAGAAGCTGATACTTTAACTTGTCACTCAAGCTGTTTCTTGTTGTAGCACTCCTGTGGAACTCTTCAAGGAACAAGACTGGATCCTCATGAATGCTCTCACCAGAGAAGTAGCACATGGGTGGTGGTGGTGGGATAGCGTACCCTGGCATTGGGAACGACTAGGGCTGTTGCACGTTGTAATACTGGTATGGGTTGTACATTGGGTAGAATTGGGGAACACCTTGTATCCAAAAGGGGTCACGTGGTTGCACAATGAGATGAGATGAAACTTGGAATGGGTACTCTTGATAGTGATAGATGCTTGTGGGATAACTCGACTGTCTTTGCTGATGAGCGGCTTCTCTACCATGCAATAAAGGAAGCGTGCAAGCAGAAAAAAAAACAGCAAGGCCTAAATCAGAAAATCCTGGCATGTGAGTCGAGTTGTACATAAAGGGGGGCATCTATCATAGACTACGTACCAAATAAACTATTATTGCTATAACAAACACAATCAATGTATCGAACACGCCGATCCGATGAAACAAAGTCAAAGCTCAAAAATCAAGAAAAGGGTAATCGTAAAGTGTAAGCCACAAAGAGATGAGAGATCCCTAAAAGAAAGCCTCCCATACAAGGTGTCAAAGATGACAGCTACACCTGGTTATGCATGAATGTCTTTTGACACAGAAGAAGTGTGGAAAAGAACGCCGAAGGCCGAAACCTCCATTGTTCCTAAAATAGATTGACAGGTTGCTGTGGTAAGGTGGTTGCCATAACAACATGGTTGCTATGGTATAGTGGTTGCTGTGGTAAGTTTGTATGCAAAAATAGCATTGAATGATGGATCAAAGTATGCAGGATTGTTTAGCCTTATTGACTCGCGCGCTGTCAATAGACTAATAGCAATTTTATCACCGGTATTTTTGGTACCTTATACAGACATCCTCAAATGCAACATCTATTATCCGCATTTAGCACCGAAATCACTCATCAACCCAAAGATCATCATCATTATCTGTGATCCACTATTCACTGGACATGTGTAGATAAGGAAAAAGAGCCTAAGGAATCTCATAAGGATATACTAACAAGGGGCAAAGAATGGTGTCTTAAGGCCAACGTTGACAAGGGAGTGAAAAGAAAAAGGGTATATGATTTCCATTCACTTCCATTTTACTACAATGGTATAAGCTACTACGCAACCAGACGTCACGTGACCCATCCAAAACCAAAAAATAAAAAAGAAACTGAAGTGGAAACATCGCGAAAGTTGCTCTCGGACCGGGAATTGAACCCGGGTCTCCCGCGTGACAGGCGGGGATACTGACCACTATACTATCCGAGATGGTCTGTTGCAATTTTCCTTGTTTTTTCACGCGCGCGGGCATATATATACCGCAGAATTGCCCGATAGGGAAGGTGCAAAGAGTGCAAAAAAGGTGTCGTAGGAAAATAAAACGAACACCATTGTGTAGCGGAATAGACGCTCTACGTAATGGTATACACCAACGACGGATAGGGAAGGTCAATCAATGGCAATTTAGGTAAAAGGAGAATGTATATTTTGCATTGTCAATGATTGGTTTTTGGATCTTTGGCTGATATGAGTGAGGCGACTAACAATGAACAAAGACCTCTTTTCAAATTTCATATAGCATCACGCTTACAACATGTGTAAAACATAATGGCAGTCAATAGCAGCTAGCTATATACCCATATCATGCTTAAGAAAGGATTCACTACACTTTATTATCAACATGTGTTATAGTGTCTCATAGCAATGCGATAAGATCGTTCTCCAATAGTGCGATGATGATGACACGTTTGAGGTTGATGTACGACAAGAGATTAACAATGGCCCTGACAGGGATATCTTTAAATCACCCCTAGTTAAGGGCGACTTAGAAAAATTTATCCGATTATGCAGCCCCCACTTGAAAATCGACTAAGTCAGCACGCACGCTCCAAATCCAACAGCTTGTTCTTCTTTACACACCTCTTTATTCTTCTTGTACAACTACTCTGTTCACGCCTTCCGCCTCTTGTTTGTATTCTTGTCACCATTCAGACTTCTCCATTGTCACCATTTACTCCACCTGGAACTCTCCATCTGTAAGCATCGCGTGTCCTTGGCTGGCTTTCTTGTCGCCACAACGCGTTTTCAAACAACACCTTTTTCAACACAAGATACAACCCACGCGTCATACGTTTCTTCACCACTGTTGCAATGCACTTTACAAACACATGTTGGTCACCTCATTGGCTCCATCTTGTTCGCCATTGTCAAAAGCCTTGTCACCAAAGCCCACACAGCGTACCAACGTGCGTTAGGCTATAACCCAAACCGAGGACATAAACGTTCTCTTTGCAAGCTTGGTATCATGTTACAGTGGAAGTTTTCATTCATGACATGATCGGATTGGTAGGTATTGGATCACAGGGAGCAGCTATACACAAAGGTATTGTATCAGGGATATGGTGATGGGATGATGATTGCATTGAAGGTGAGGGCGCGTTGTGATTGCGTTTTGTGTCTTTTTTTATCACCTCGCGCTGACGACTGCTACGGGACTCTATGGCTTTATACAAGAACATGCATTGGATCGTCTACAGCCAATTTGGGGTACATGATAGGATTAGAATAGTGTATGAATCAATAAATGCGTTGTGTTAAAGTAAACATGAAAGTACGCTTACATTCATAAAATGGTCTTCGTTGTACCATACAACCCTTTGGAAGTATTAAATGACAATCATCAAGCAGGAGTATAGACGTAATGTAAAGACGAGCATGTGCGATGGCATTAAGCATACCTTGTTTAACGCTGAAAAGCAAGGGTAATCATGGTTGAAGTCATTCACGTTGGAGGATACATGGTTTAAGTAACTCAACTTCGAGTACTCTTGGTTGAAAAGATTTCACCAGGAGCCCTCCACATTGACAACGTTCAACCAAGTATCCTCCAATTTTACCATCATTAAATTATGTACGCTTAATCCGGATACCGATCCTCTGCTTAAAACCTCGAACCATATTAACTTATCATATAGGCTCACTGTATTCAAATAGCGGCTTTGCACCATGGAGCCCATTTTATGAACGTAGCGTACTCTCATGTTTACTTTAAAACAATGCATTTATTATTGATTAATACACTGTTCTAATCCTATCATGAACCCTAAATCAGCTAGTGACCATCTCATGCACGTTGTTGTATATAGCCATAGCCTCCCGTAGTAGTATTTAACGCTAGGTGATGAAAAAAACCAGCTGAAAAGGAAACGGGATCACCACGCATCATCACCTTCAACTGAACCATCTCCATCATCATATCCCCAATAGAGTACCTTTGTGCATACTTTCTCCCTGCCATCCAATACTTACCAATCCAATCCCGCCTTGAATAAAGACTTCCACCAGTAACATAATACCAACCTTGCAAAGAAATCTTCCATGACCTCGATTTGGTTTATCGTCTGAACCCAAGTTGGCACGCTGTGTGAGGCTCTGGTGACAAGGCGTTTGTTGATGGCGAGCAAGATGGAGTGAATGAGGTTGACCAGCATGTGTTTGTAAAGTGCATTGCAATAGTGGGTGAAGAAGCGTATGACGCGAGGGGTGTATCGAGTGCTGTAAAAGGTGTTGTTTGAGAAGACGTGTGGTGACAAGAAGGCCGCCAAGGACACGCGATGCTGATAGATGGAGAGTTTCAGATGGAGTGAATGGTGACAATGGAGAAGGCTGAAGGGTGCTGAGAAGGTATACAAGTGGTGGAAGACGTGAACAGAGTAGTTGTACAAGAAGAATAAAGAGGGTGGTGAAGAAGAACAAGCTGTTGCAGGCGGAGGAGGAGCGTGCTGACTTGGTCGATTTTCAAGTGGGGGCTGCATAATCGGAGAAATTTTGAAGTCGCCCTTAACTAGGGGCGGTTTAACGACGTCCCAAGCGTTACATGCTGTAGTTGCAAAAACCTTGGCATACAGCCTTTTTCGTTCAAGGCATCACACTCAGAATGGTGATGAAAATAATACATGCTTTGCATACTGGCTGCTATAACCCGAAAGCTTTATTTTCGTTCATCTGGATCAGCTTGAAGCATTGAAACGATAATCAGGCTTAGTTTGCGCGAATGGGTGTGCTCTGTGATCTGAATTGTGTAAAAACATGCTGTTGCCAAGCTGCGTGTAATCATAAACTAATTATCGTTGTAGACCTGTTGCTAGGCATCCTCAAACACAGCTTTTATTGATCCACGTTTGGTCCCTTAATCACGCAGCAATCCAAAGAGCATTATCATCCGTGATTGGCTATTTATTCGAGATACTAGGTAGCTATACACTCTTAGCATTCTTAAGAAAAGCTTCCCTAAGGCCTGTATTCCACGTCTGGTATACGGTCTCGTAGCAACGCGATAAGGTAGTTCTCCACAGGTGCGATGATGATGGCATGTTTGAGATTCACGAATGACAAGAGGTTAACAATGTCCCTGTCAGCGATTGATGATGCTTGGATTCGGATACATTGCAGCGTAGGATGATCTTTCATGTGCGTGATGGTTCCTTCAGGTGCTGGTTGACGACCAAAGTATAACTCAAGGTGCAAAAGAGATGGGCATCCGTTGGCAATTGTTGCAATGGCAGATAAGTATGCTGAAGGTGTCTCAATGTGTGATGTCAATAGCCCAAGCTTCGTCACGCTTTGCAATCCACCAATTACATTCAACCAAGAAAACGTCGATACATCAGCATCTATGTCAACTTGTAGTTCCTTCCATGGTGAATCCTTTCCAAGCTGTACTTGGTGCTCAAGTAGGTTGCGAAACGGTATCGAATCCGCCCTCATTTTTCTCGTTGAAAGCGTTTGCAAGCTGGATAATCCTTTCAATGCATTCCGTATATCATCTCGATTCGCTGCATGAGCACCCAATGTGGCATGGCGAAGATGAGGTGATCGGTTGATGGTTGACAGAGCAAGTATTGCAAGTTGATCATTGCTTGCGTGGACCTCAAGTTTGTCCAAACGGTCGAATGTCAACGATAAATCCAAGCTCTTGTAATAATGTGAGACGCTTTCACCAATGAGTCTTCCCGTCAGGCGAATGTGGTCGAGGGATTGTCGGTTTTCAATGAGCAGTGGAATAAGGTCATCAGCGTCGAATTGCTCGTCGACATCATCAATTCCCAAACACAACTTTTGCAATCCTTTAACATGTCGATCATATATGTCTTCATCAAACGAATCGTATCCACCGCATTTCAATAGCTTCATGTCTGGGCAATATCCACAAACGCTCGTTAGAAATCCTGAATCTGGGACGTGGTGTACATCAAGGTATACGAGTGATGGAAGGTGAGCGAGGATGTTGATCATCGTATCACATGATAATGGGAAAATGTCGACGCCCAAGGTGAGGTGCGTCAACATTCGGTATTGCACTGTGAGGTCGTATGTGGTCATCGTTATCAGACTCAAAGATACAAGGCCAGGGCAGAGATCCAGCACGCCACCCAAATGAATTTGAGATGTATCATGATCATCGTCGTATCCCATAGTATCCTCCATTAACAGGACCAGATGCGTCACGGTTCGGTGTACAGATTCAAGAGCAAATAGAACGTCTTCTTCTTCATACCCATGGTCTACATGAAATATACACATTAGATATACCGCATAGATGTTCTTTCTTTCGACACTTACAAAAGATGGTCAAATGGGTGAGATTAGGGAAATCGCACTCATCGAAAACGGAAAGAGGATCGTCCTCTGGAACGCTTCTGCCTGCTTCCAAGGACAATTCCTTGACATGATCTGCAAATCGTTCAAGCTCACGGAATTGAATTGGAGAGTTGAGGATCCCTCGATAGGAATAAAAGCTCAAGTTGTTGCCATGCAAGATCCGTTGTCGCCATGTACGTGATACATAAAGGTAAGGGCATCGCTTGTCTGCTGCTAGCTGGTAGTAGTTGTGAAACACCAAAGGCAATATTTCTGACACAACGAGCTCCAAAGGAAGTTGACTGATGAAGTCGACGCGTTTGTTTGTTGCATCCAGTGCATCCTTTTGCCGCATTTGGAGGTTGGTGTAACGATAATCAGATGATGATACATGCGCAAGACCTTTTTCATACATGGCTGCTGCGTCTTGTTGCCTTCCTTGTTGCTGATAAATGTCACCTGCTTTCAAGTAGCCAAGAGAAGAGGTTGGATCGATAGCTTGCATAACGGCTGCATCGCGCAAAGCAAGATCAAAGTTGCCTCCATTCGCCATTGCCGTCGAACGCTCATTGAGCTTCTCCATGAATTGACATGTGAGTTGCGTGATCTTCTCAGTTGCCGTTGAAATGATGGATTGTCGTTGGTTATGAAGGGAATTGATAGGTTCCATTGAAAGAGGATTGGGATCGTGTATTTGGGCCATTATGAATAGGGATTTGGTAAAGGAAGAGGCGATCATTCAAGATGGAGACATGCCTAAAATGTATTTCACAGCCCGCTAGCTTTAGACCGTGCACATTATACATCCATTCCCCACAACCATAATCCAATGTACAAACACAATGAGCACCAGCAATAAAAGAAAATAGAAAAGAAAGTGTGGAGACTCACCTGGGGAATGCATCCATCAGCAGTATCATTAACACCCTGATGATTCCAGTGGTCGACGCCCATTAATGGCCCGTTGTCAGCTTTTCGATTACACTTATCGTACCTTCAATTAAAAAGCATCCAATCCTTTCTACCACAATGCTTTGCTTGCCTATTTCTTGAGATCCCAACAATACGATATGGTTTTTGTTCCTTTGCATCATAAAGCCATTCCCATTCATGATCATGAGAACTAATGAACGATCCATGTTGACTTCCTTGGACATACTGTACCTTGATGTATATAGTAATACGGTTGTAAATGAGAAAGATAAAGCGAACGTTAAAGACATGACAGCCTATTGTTGCCATCACACCATGCCCACTACCAGTGATCATGTTAACCTCCTTTTCAATTTGAGTCATCTATTTTTATTTCCAGACATCTAAGAACTACACTAGTACAGCTAGCGATACGACAATCGCCTCCATCCATTTGTATCCCTACTGCATATGCTCTTACCATTTTCATTCACCTTTCATTCAACGAGTATAGCTTTTCCGGATGGCTGGCAAACACACATACAAAACCTGATCCTTCTCGAATGAATCCATCCATCATACAAACATACCTCGTGAACCCAAAGGAAGAAATCATCCATCCCTCCGTCAGCACCCAACAAGATCATTACATGAAATAAAATGAAAGCACCCAACAATCATCACGACAAAATACAGCACAAGGGAAGCAGGGACTGGATAAAGATAAAGGAGTTGCTGATCCAAAATGTGCCCTGGGGCCGGTAATCCGTAGTAGTTGACATTGGTTCCATATCCGTTCAAATAGACAGGAACAGTCGTTGGGCGCTTGAAAAAGTGCGTGATGATGATGATGATGATGAGCAGCCTGAAATAAACAGCCCTCTACCTTTAAATCATCCCACCCTCTCTCGTATGATAATATTGTACGTACCATATCCATCATTACAAAGCGACAATGGTTGGGTGCTTGAAGAAGTTCGTGATGATGATGATGATGATGATGATGACGATGACGATAAGTAGCCTGAAAAAAACAACTCTCTACTTTGAAAGCATCCCACCCTCTCTCCTATGATAATATTGCACGTACCATATCCATTAATACAAAGCAACAATGGTTGGGTGCTTGAAAATCTTCCTGATGATGATGATGATGAGCAACCGGAAACAAACAACCGTCCCCCTTATAAGCCTGTCAACCCGCTCTCCCATGATAGTGCACATACCGTATCCTCCTGTAACCGTACCAAAGTGCATGGGGACAAGTTTGTGAGACGACGTGATTACTTGATAGAAGCCGTATAATCGTATGGCCAAGCCTGGTGCCTTCGGGCCAGCCAAGATTCCAAGGTTCCTACAATCTTGAACAAGCTTGAACAAGCTTGAGCAATTCTGATTGATGGCGATTGTTTTGTTGTGGACGTGTCGTTATCAAACGTACCTGTTGTGTAGCGTGGTGTAAAAGGGGAACCTGAAACGAGTACAGGTGCGAGATGCGCCACCGGAAGCAAGTGTAGAGATGTCACGTAATGCTGACCGAACACCAATCTGTTGGCAGATGGAGAACAAGCAATGTCGACAAGGAGTAAAAGTAAAGCTTTAGAGAGGGTGGTCAAGAATAGAAAAGACTCGTTGTGGGAATAAAGGGAATAAAGGCGGTGATGACTGGGGCGGCTTTGGCCCAGCAATTTTAAGCTGTGAACGGGACTTGGGCTTGTTACACACTTCTTCCTCAGCCAGCATACAATGACATACTCTATTTGGAATGATTCATGCCAACAGCCTATGCTCATAGCTTCTTCTGGAACATACACAAAGCTTGTTCAAGAGTCCACGGCCAAGTTGAAACAACCCATTGACTCCATCATGTCGACTCTCAATGACCGCGCCATTGGGTTGTCAAAGTGTGTCAACTTCATTGCTGCTCTTAATGATGCGAAGCTCATGCAACAACTGTCGCCTGTCTCAGCACTTGGGTATCTACGCGAAGCCTCCATTTACAGCGAACAAGGAAAACAGCAACAAGCTATCGATATTTGCATGAAGGGACTCACTATGGCGGTTACAAAGGATTCAGACTATGCTACATTGCAACAAGCCAAAATCGACGCTGAGCAACGCCATGCCACACGCATTGATTACATCAGACAGCTTCCTCACGACCTTGTGATATCAACCCTCATCCCCATGTTTATCGATGATGGCTATATGGATTCATTGAAGCCAAGCCCGTCTTTGTATGTTTCCCACGTATGGTGTGATCGCATTATCCAGTCTCTTGGTGGATTGCGTTTCTTGATTGGATCAGAGGAAGACAACACCATCGCACCAGTCATTGAGTTTGCACGGCACATAAAGGCATTGCACGTTGATCAATATACCGAAGGAACATGGCTGGGCGATTTGATTGGCGATCATGACTTTTCCTCGTTGCAGGAATTACAGATTGATGGTAAGTTGTGCCCTTCTTTCTTAAGCTTCATTTACTTACCGTTGGCATTTATAAAAGGGTTCACGACACTACACATTGGCCATTTTCTCTCATCGTTGAAATCCGTCAGCAGCACCTTGACGCATTTTGTTGCTGATATGGAAAGTGGGCCGATGTTAGGCATACCTGAGGTTGTGTTGACTTGCCCAAAGCTGGTTTCGCTTAGCATTGGTGACACGTATGATCCCGATGTCAGCTCTCTCCCAATGTATCATTGGCCAACAATAACGTCACTACGTCTTACCTTTTCATGCAAGCCTATCACTTGCACTCATACCATCGAGATCTGGAAACGGTTTCCATCACTCAAGGAACTTGAACTTCACCCATGTCCCGATATCAAGCCAGCACTTGTTGTCTCGGAATATCACCCAACGATTAAAAGCCTCCACCTTTGTATCGACGCCATGGGTATTCGTTACACTTACTCGGATGAAGGAATCCACGGCGAAGAAGCTGGCGTGACAAAGCTTACCATCGGCACTATTGATTTCCCAGAGGAGATATGCAAGGACACCACCTCGGTTGTAAAGCGACATCACAACACGCTCAAGCATCTTGAATGGGATATGGATACTAGCCATGACACTGAGAATATCGACAACATTGACTTCCCTCGTCTTACAAAACTTTCGCTGTTTTATTATGGATGGGAGATGATACGCAATGCACCTGTTGTAGTGCATTTCGGGACCCGTGCATATCGCGATATGCCCTAGTGCATTTCGGGATTCCAAAACACCCTAGTGCATTTCTGGACTATAGGCAGCCGTTGATGATTGTGCCCTGCCAAGATGATAACATAGGTCCTCATGTGTTGTTTTGCTAGTCGAGTATGATCACAAAGTATTTTGCTCACAAGTGACAACATCGCCTCATATTATAACACGTCCTATAAGCATGATCAGATTCATAATTCATATGGCATTTTTGGGAGAAGTTATCGGGACGAGAAGTGTAAAAGTATATGTAGGTGAGGATTTCTATTATAGTATCAATACCGGAAAGAGTGAAAACTTCATTCGACATACGATTTTAAATGATCACAGCACTTCAAGTTAAAAAGCTGCCTATAGACATGAAATGCACTAGGGTGTTTCGGAATCCTGAAATGCACTAGGGCATATCGCGATATGCACTGAATCCGGAAATGCACTACAACACACCTATGCTGGAGGAATTGAAGTTGACATCGAGAATGATCAGCATGCACCCTCGAGTACTTGATACGATACCACAGAGCTTGAAGTCGCTTGATTTGGACCTCCACACTCGGCAGCAAGGTCATGATGATTCACCCATCCTATGCTATCTCAACACCATTGCTCTTCAATGTCAGCTAAAGGAACTTGTGTTGCAATTCAACAGCCATGCCAACGTCGCCAGGATTCTTGATGCTGTCTACCGTCACAATCACCTTGAATGCCTAAAGATCAGCTTTACCGATGAGTGGAAATCCTATCCAATGGACAGCTTCCTTGATGGGCTTATCAAAGCATGTCCTCGTGTGTCGCACCTAGAACTCAAGTGCACCAATGCGCCATCCACCTATGCGATCAGTACACTGAAACGGCTTCCACAATTGAACAAGGTTTCATTTTCGGTCAATGGCCCCGTGATTAAGGACAGCTTCTGGGATGCTATTCAGACATTTTCACAGCTCAAGTGCATTACGATCTTCAAATCGCCTGTAGCCCAGCATGAAAGAATCGATCACCTCAAGAAACAACGACCCGACATGGAGATTATTCATTGATAAACCTATCAATTCCATCAGCTGTTCTCGGCAATCATTAGCGTAACACCATTGTAGTATACAATAAAGACCACCCCCATGGCTGCAAACATAAGCCAATATCATGCATCATAATGAAAACTGCAATAAGCTATAGTTGAAGCTGCACCATTTAACTCCTTCCCTTTTACAAACACCATTCTACGTACATAGACTATTATTGCTCCATTTTTATTTTACTCTCACTCATTGCTTACTAGTAATGCTCCGCTGCAATGTAGGATTTGCAAATGAAACCATGCTCTCTAGAGAATCGCCGTTAGCATTTCCGGTAAATCGAAGCGAAGATACCATTTAAACATGAGTCGACTTTATAGTTGGTTCCCATTTTGCTCTCTTTTATCAAAGCAATTTTGCCTTGAAGTCGTATGTCACAGTCGTTCCTAGCCAAATGTAACATTCTGCATCTTTGCCTCTAGCATAGGTGAGGCCCCTGACACTATGTAAAAATTACATTCCATACAGGGCCACCTTTACATGATAGTACTAACATACACGCACCTGTAACTCGAAAACTTTCAATGCTACATGAGCTCTTTTTGGAACCAGCACGCTCAGCATGGTCGAAAGTACCTTGTGTGAAAGTTTCAGGATCGAACTCGTCAATAGCAATTTTTCCATTTGTCGACCCCACCCAAAAAGTTTCAAGAGGTCGGCCTGATTTTATTTTGGCGGGTGGTGACATGGCCAAATTTGAGATTGACGAGTTCGATCCTAAAACGTGCACACAAGGGTGCTTGAGCTAGGAGAGGCATGTTGGTTCCAAAAAGAGCCCATGCTTCATTGTGACATTTTGAGTGATGGCTGTGTTTATGCTGTAAACATGATGCTATATGACAAAGTCGCCTTTTTCAATTTTCACTGATATAACGACTTATAGTGCAATAGCTGGACGAGGCCGTGTTTGGGTAAGAAAGCAAAGAAAACAGCATTAAAAGAGCAATGGATCATATGTATACGCCATGTCACAGTCATTCCTACATTGCTAGCCATTAGCCAATTCCACCCAATCAAGACCATCATCGATTTCATAACGTATGAAAGATGCACCTGCTCCAAAGATTCACTTTGATGGTTTCATTAGATTGATCCGAGCCGATTTGAGGAAATTATGGCCCAGTAACGGGTACATCGGTTCCAACATGCAACGTACACGTGTGTATGGAGTAGCCAAAGCCTGGTTTAAGCGTAGCTCATCCAAATTGGCTCGGATCAATGTAATTAAACCATGAAACGGAACCTTGGAGCAGGCGCATTCACCACACGTTGTCAAATCCACAATGGGCTCGATTGGGTGGAATTGGCTTATAGCTCGCAGTATATGAATGACCGTGATACAGTGTACCCATACCATCCATTGCTCTTTTATTCCTTTTTTCTTCGCTTTCGTATACAAACACCATCTTTCGCACCTATCTCACTATAAATGTACATATGAGTTACAATTGAAAAAGACCCACCTTTATAATAGCAAAAGATACACGCACTTGTAACTCAAAATCTCACAATGCTACATGAGCTCTTTTTGATACCAGCATGCGCAGAATGGTCGAAAGTACCTTGCGTGAAAGTTTCAGGATCGAACTCGTCAATAGCAATTTTTGCATTTGTCCATGCCAGCCAAAAAGTTTCAAGAGGTCGGCCTGATTTTATTTTGGCGGGTGGTGACATGGCCAAACTTGAGATTGACGAGTTCGATCCTGAAACTTACACACAAGGTTGCTTGAACTGGGCTGAGCACGTTGGTTCCAAAAAGAGCCCATGCTTCATTGAGAGGTTTCAGGTTATGGATGGTTGTCTTTATGCTGTAAACATGATGCTATATGAGAAAGTCATCTTTTTCAATTGTCACTCATATAACCACTTGTACTGCAATAGCTGGGGAAGGCCGTGTTTGGGTACGAGAGCAAAGAAAATAGGATTAAAAGAGCATTGGATGATGTGTATCCGCTATCGCAAAGTCATCCATACATTGCTAGCTATCAGCCAATTCCACCCGATACAGACCATTGTGGATTTGTTGTAGTGCATTTCGGGATTCAGTGCATATCGCGATATGCCCTA